GATGTGTTTAGGGGTACATCTTCTATATATTTTTCTATGTGGTGCTCTATGAGTTGCAAATAATGATCTCCAGTTAATTTTTGATCGGTAAATATGGGACCCAAAACATGCCCATCTCTGACACCACACCATACATTAATTGATTGGTAACTATGGGTTTTTATTTTGTGTACTTGTCTAGGAATATTAAAAGACTAATATCGCTTATTTTGTCTACTACAACCCTTTCTTATAGTGAACGAACTTTACTCAGTCCATAAAATTGTTTTCAAAACATTATTATTCTCATTATGTATATTTAAAAAATCCAAACAAGACTGCATGCTGCTTTGGCATTGTTCTGCACTTAGTTTTTGAGTTTTACTAAATTTAAATTCATTATATTAAATGTCATTTGATAAAGACAGGGTGTTGTGGAAACAATTGTCATGTCAAAATATATAATTTCGTGAAAATCAGAACTATTAGTTTTTATTCGTTATATTTGTATTCTTTCAAAACTGGGTGGATTGATGCCCGAGAAATACCTGTCTCTTCATATACTCTAGTAATGGAGGAAACTGGACGTGCTTCATAGAATCCTAATATGTTTGCCTTATTTTCTTCATACCGGCATACCTTTTTAGCATTTAATACGTTGCCGTTTTCTGCAAATTTCTTTGCCAGCCTTGGAAAAATATATTATATAAAGTCTGATATATTGATGACGAGCTGCGGTTGCACTTTTATTTATGTCAAACATATAGATATTTTTATTTGTCACTCTTTGAAATTATATACACATTTCGTATTTTTGCCCATTCGTCAACTAAAATATAAAGTGTGTTGCATCATTGTAATCGGAATAAGATATTCTATCAAAGATATATATAATATACTGGGTGTTCCATTTAAAAAATATGATGCAGGCTTAGATGTCAGAAAGTTGATAGTGTTTTGTTCTATACGTCACTTGTCACCCAAATTTTGTTTTTTTTTTGTTTCCCTTGATATATCTAAATACAAAAAAGGTACAGCAACTGTAATCTTTATATGATCTCAAGAAACTCTTACAAAAAATAGTTATTTCGTTTTGACCGTAAAAATTTATAATAAATTGCCTAGCGGACTGAAGGAGATAACTAGTCAAACAAACTTCAACTGCACTCTTATAAACAAATTGCTACTCCTCACCAATTACAATATTAAGGATTTTCTTTCTTGTAATAGCTTGTAATTCGTATTCGTTATTTGTTATTGTCTATATATTTGTTATTTATCTAACATTAATATCATTGATATTTGTATTATACTGACAATATACAATTTTTTGAACATCTAATTATAAACTTTTCGCTCACCTCTCCGCTTCATATTCCACGCGCCCATTCTCAATGCATTTCCCTCGAACACTCGTTCTAAAGTATTTGGGAGATTGACTGAAGTCACATTGCCGAGATTATCCTAAGTCTACGCGTGAGATTTATTTGTCTTATCTGCCGATTATGTTGTTGTGCCGTGTCGAGCGTTATTTTTTTCGTACCTGTCATAAACATTATGGGGGCTTGTTCGATAAAACAAACAGATAACTATCTACGCCAGGCAAACACGTTGACGTCTGATTGTATCGCAGTATTTTTTAAAGCATTAAAAAAATTAAATAAAAAACGTATTACTTTTTTTTTACGTAGAACGTAGATTAACTTCCTCACGTTTACCTTTTTTGAGTTATAAATGAGACCTATTTCTTAGACATCTGTCAAAAAGGACCTATTTCAATGTGAGTATATGTGAATAGGTAGTGTAAATTATCCTACTGACTGCGCCACTTTTCTAACAGGAAACCGAAAGTCGCTTCTTAAAAGTCTTATTTTGCCAAACTATAAAAAATTGTACTTTACCGCAAGAGCGCATTCAACTAACTAACAAATAAGCGAAACATCTTCTTCCTATTGGTGTAGGGATGGATCGTGACGCGTTAGCGTGGAAGTTGAACATTGGTTTTTATTTATTATTATTACAAAGAATAAAGTGCAGAGGAGAACCTATTATGCATATTGACAGTTAGTAGTATGAGAAAAAATATAATAAATATGTAGTTATTGCTGTGAAACAATACACTGTGATTTCATTATAGAGTGTATAACAGACGCAGCAGAAGAAGCTCTCGGGAAAACAGCAGAAAAAGGTGACAAACCCTATTGGTGGGATAGGGACATTGAGAAACAGATTGAGACAAAGAAAAAATTACATATACAGCGATTACAAGACAGAGATAATAGAGAATTACAGAAAAAATATTATACACTTAATAAGGAGATCAAACGACAAGTAATAAATAGAAAGAATAATAGTTGGGAGAAAAGATGCGAATATATTGAACAATATATAGGAGGCACTAGGAGTTCTGAGGCATGGCGTACTATTAAGAATATCAGAAAAAACGCGAAAAATTGTGCATTTCCAAATAACATATCTAATCAACAATGGACAACACACTTTAAAGATCTATTAGAGGAAAAAAGGCCGGAATTTGCAAACGATATGGTGGAAGTCATCGAACGAGAAAATGAGAAGATATATATAACACAGCTAGATGTGAAGAAAATACCAAAACACCTTAAGAATAAAAAAGCACCGGGCATAGGGGGAATATACCCAGAATTTCTGAAATATGGCCCTAATGAACTGTTCGAGGTCTTGGCTAAACTTTTTGAGAGATGCATAAATGGTGAAGAATTGCCCACAGATTGGCGAAATTCTTATATAACGCCTATACACAAGAAAGGAGACAAGAGCAACCCTAAAAATTATCGCGGAATTGCAGTGATTGCAATAGGTAGAATAGGTAGGTAGAATATAATAGGTGCAATAGGTTGCAATAGGTAGAATATTCTCAAAAATAATACGAGATCTGGTTGAGAAAGCTATTGAAGATAAACAACCAGAAGAACAAGCAGGCTTTAGAACAGGGCGCTCAACTGTGGACAATATCTTTACGATTAAAATAGCGTGCGAAAAAAGAGTACAAAGAAATAGGGAATTGCACATAGCCTTAATTGACCTTGAAAAGGCGTACGATAGCATCCCATTGTCGCAATTATGGATGACCCTAGGAAAAGCAGAGATACCCTATAACTTAAGGAGCTCCATAAAAACCCTATATAAAAATAATTCCACTAGAGTAAGAAATGGAAAAAACTATACTGAAGCATTCTTTACCACTAAAGGCTTACGACAGGGCTGTTGTCTCTCACCTACACTTTTCAAGATATACTTAGATAAGGCTTTAGAGAAATGGAGTAGGAAGATTAGTGAGATGGGACTGAGAGTGGGAGACTACCCATTGTACAATTTATATTTTGCGGACGATCAGATAGTCATAGCAGAGGACCAGGACGATCTCAACTATATGATACGAAAACTGAAAGATGAATATCAAGCTGTTGGCCTTACAATAAATTGGGAAAAATCAGAATATATAATAGTAGGGAACGAATATCAAGAAGACCTAATATTAGAAAATCATAAACTCAAAGGTGTAAAAACTTGTAAATATCTAGGAGTTACACTTAACAAGCAGGGCAGCAGTGACGATGAAATAAAGGAAAGAACCAATAAAGGTAAAAAGGTTATAAGAGAGTTGAACTCGATCTTATGGGATAAAACAATTACAAAAGAAACGAAAAAACGGATATACACTAGCATCGTCCAGAGTATAATCACATACGGATCCGAAACGTGGGATATGACAAAAAAAGAACAGAAACAAATTGATGACGACGGAAATGGACTTCTTACGACGTAGCTGCAGAAAATCAAAAATGGAAAGAGTAAGAAATGACACCATAAGGGAAAGCATGAACATGAACACAAATATAATAGAACAAATAGAGAAAAAACAGCTGATATGGTTTGGACATACGAAAAGAATGGACGATACAAGATGGCCCAAACGCCTACTCGAGTGGGTACCAGTAGAGAAAAGAAAACGTGGAAGACCTCGAAGAAGCTGGAGAAATGAGGTAGATGAAGCTATGACATCCAGAGGGCTAGAGGAAGACATGTGTCTGGATAGAAACAAATGGAAACTGGGGACGGAGAGGCGGCACGTACCGTAGAAATCCGGTATATATATATATATATATATATATATATATATATATATATATATATATATATATATATATATATATATACAATACACTGTCCATGCGACGTTTAATTACATACCAGTTCGGCGCACACACAACATCTGGGGGTAAACTGTTCCAATAATCGAAAGTCCTGCTACTTATAAAACGCAGGCGATGTGAAGTCCTGAATTGTTCCTTTCTGATTTTAAATGGATGACTAGGTAGGCGATCATCATTGCTTAATACCACAAAAGGACGTCCGATGGAAATTGGCCATGCGCGGACCTATACATTTGAATGAGATCCCCTTCTACCCGGATATATTTGTCGATATTCTCTTTTAACTCTTGCGACATTATGTCCTTTTGAATAATACAATTTTATTATTTGTCGTCATTCTTCCTCAGTATAATCCATTTGAAATATCTTAAGTTATTTAACTGAAGCTGTAGATCTTTAGGTTGAGTAGTTGCCAAGCGTTGAACATGTTGAAACAATTACAAACATAGATAATATGGTTGCTATCAAGGCAGACGTGACCATTATTTTTAAACTGAAATATCTTAAAAACGACGAAATGAAATGTCAATAAACAATATGTTTTTGAAATCAAGAAAAAATTATCTACGATTTAAGCTAAAAACATTTAAAAAATCATGTTGCTGTCATTTTGACAGCCTCCGTTCTGAACATTTTTGTAGTTACACTTTTTTTTTCAAAATTAACCCTGTAGGTGGGTGTCAAAATATAAATACCCCAGTACAGCGTAGAATGAGAACCAGTTTTAGTTCGTCCCTGAAGAAGCCAGCGAAACGTCAGATTTGCGCATAGTATCACAGTAGCCTGTGGAAGTCACGTATTTAAATATTCCATTGTTTGTTGCAGGAACGGAAAAAACTGGACGAGAAATTCCCGATAAAGAAATCCGTGAGCTTTCACAACATCCCGGACAAATCGTCGTCGGACGAATCGGACGAGAAGACGAAAAGCTCGGGGGAAAACCTCTCGATACCGGAGGAGGACGTGGGCGGCCAACGCAAGAAATCTCTGCGCGAACGGCGCATGTCCAAGAGCCTCTATTTGAAGATTGACTTCCCGAAAGAGGTGCCCATCATCAGGCAGAATTCCGTGCCGAAATTTTTCATGGACTCGCCAGAGGAAAACCAGATACGCGACTCGTCGCTGACCAAAACTCCGACGACCATCCTCAAGAGTCCGTTGACGGCCTCTCTGGATTTCGACTTTGATCTGTACTCCGTGGTCCAAATCGAAAAGAGCAGAATTGCGGAGAACGCTAACAAGGCTCCGCCCGTGCCCATCCACAAAGAGTCCTCCAAACTCAGCTTGATTAAAGATAAGATGAAGCTGAAGAAGAGCAAGAGTACCCTTAGCGCCAGCAATTTGCCGTACACCAGTCATATGTAATAATAATTAGCATTAAGCTCACGTTTGTGTGTCTGTGTAAATATGCGTAATATAGAGTAAGTTGATAACCGGTCTTTTTATTTATTCCAAAGCGATTTGTATCATTTTTGGCAGAATTTTAACGTCGCGCGAGATTTTCTTCCTGCGTCAGTTGTTGGTTCCTTCAGACCTTAACTGAAACTACGGGGCTACAAAAAAAGGTGTTTCCATTAAAATGACCTTTATTTTTTGTATTTTCCTCCACTTTTTTATATACAGTTACATTTTTTTTTAACAGAACACCCTTCATTTTATTGCACTTTTGGATATTACTTTCAAAGACTAATTCAACGATATATATTAGTAAGGGTCTCAGAGGCACCTTAAAATTCGGATTATGTTTAAACCATCATTGTTGGGTTGCTTATTAACCTTTTAAACTTTTTTGAGTCTGTTATTTTTACGAAAATAATGCTTTTTCTTAGGCGATGGTCAAATTTTACATATTTTCTTAAAATAAGCGGTGTTGCCACGTTTTCTCAATTTTCTTACATGAGACATTCTGTATATTATTGGATTTTCGAATAGCCACTTCAATAGCAATTTCAATTATATAACAGAGATTGAAATTATTAAGATATGAAACTGGGAATGAGCTTCTTATCAGAGAACCGATAATTCTTCCCAACATAAATTTGATCGTTATGTTCCAAACAATTAAGCAAGGAAGAAACTTAACAGGAAAACTAATAGTGCTGAACAACGGATAGTTAAAACACCATGCCTTTTTTTTTATAAAGGCACGGTGTTGCCGAAACAGCTGTCATTTAAATATATTTATGTTAAAATCTGAACAACGTTTGTTCTTATTTAACTATTTTAAATGGATTTTCATCAAATAAAAGCCACTTCAGTACAATTATTGAATAAGGGAACCGAAATGTTCAATAATTTAGTAAGCATTTTAAACAATTTAAGTATAATGACGCTGCGAAAGTTTTTTTTTTCAAAATATTTTAGTATAAAGCGGATTCCTTTTGATAAAACTTAAATAACTCTGTTCACCTTTTTCAAACAGCTAGGGAAAATCAAAAGGTGATTCAAATAAATTCACATCTGGCTTAATATCTTTTATTATATTATTTATATTTTCTTAACAAACGATAAAAAAAATAAACGTATTTTGAGGTATATCACAAAATAAATAAAGCTTTTAGGATTTTAGGTCCACACGTTGGAAATCAATGGAGTTGCTTCCATCGAAGTCATGCTGAAATAAAAAAAATAGACAAATTAATTAACTAATGTCTAATTAATTGTTTTCTCATAAATAAAACTAATAGTTTACACAAGTAGTAAATATATATAGTTATTCGGTTTCTTACCGAATCCAGGATTTTCTCTTGGTTTAACTTGTCCTTGTAGTTTCTGTCAAAGAAGTGACACTGCAATGTAGAAAAAGAAATAAGTCGACGAGGCGTTACGCCAACTCATTCCGCAATTTCTTCCACTCACCTTGTATAACCCGTATGTGATCAACATCAACAAAACAACCCCAGCCACGGCGGATAATACGTACACCCACAAAGCGATGGTGTTCTTTTGATTTTCTCCAAATATTACGAGCCTGGAGTTGGTCACGATTCTAAAAAACAATAAATGCAGAAAACAAAACAGAAAGTTAAAGGAACAGACCATTCTTCGTGACACTGCGTTGCGCATGTAAAATTTGCGAGTGACTGAAAAAACATTGCACCCTCGCAACAAATCGACCGACGATCAACGAATGGCACCAATGTACAGAGTAAAAGATATTAAATGTAGGCAGGTCCAACAACCCGTTTATAAATACTCCACCCGAATTTGTCGCCAAATTCACGAAAAAGTAAATTCTTGCGTGTTGCGCGTGTACAAATTGCGAGTGACTGAAAAAACATTGCACTCTCGCAACAAATCGACCGACAATCAACGAACGGCACCAATGTACAGAGTAAAAGACATTAAATGTAGGCAGGTGCAACAACCCGTTTATAAATACTCCACCCGAATTTGTCGCAAAATTCAAGAAAAAGTAAATTCTTGCGCGTTGCGCGTGTACAAATTGCGAGTAACTAAAAAAATATTGTTAATAACGTGTTTCTAAAGACAATAAGTGTACAATATATTTTGACCTGTAAAACTTGCGAGTGACTGAAAAAAATATCGACACTATGTTCCATTTTGTTAGTAGCACGATGCTAAAAGACAATAAATATAGAATAGGCCCAAGAGTTCTTTCATAAATACTGTACGTAAATTTGTAGCTAAGTTTTAGGAAAAGAGAATTCTTAATAACATCGCGTTGTGCGTGTAAAATTTGCGAGTGATTAAAAAAATATTGTACAGTCGCAACAAATCTATCATAGCCCTCTTATACTAGTTTGACACTAAAAATAGATTAATGAAGTAATTGATGAAGTTCTTAATGAAGTTTTTACTGCGAAACCTACCGACTATGTACTAGGAAAGAGTCAATAAACTTATGAATTTATGAGTTATGTTTCATTGTTTTTCTTGTTTTGGAACAGTATTAATTTATTCTAGTTGAAAAGTCAAGATCTGTTTATATAAGAAATTTATTTAAAAAAATGCCTTATGATTGCCGCTATAAATCTGTTGCTAACCAAGGTGGATCGGACATTATGACGCTAATTATAGTCATGTTCTCTGGTATATGATAAAAAATTGGTTAGATGCGCGTGTGTATTGGTGTATAACATTTGATTGTAATATATCGATGAATGTTTTATTATTGACTAGTAATAAAATCCCATTGTATTTTATAAAAATAAACTATATAGTTAAAACAAAGGATTTCACACGAAAGAGGATTTTCGCCATACACAACAGTTCAACAGTTACGATTATTGAAGTGACAGAAAAATTTGACAAACATAGAAACGAGCCAGGTGAATAAATTCATGAATTTGTTTCACGAGCATTTGATACTAATGTGGTGCATTAATTTGTCCGTGAGACAACTTCATAAAAAATTGCGAGTGTAAAACTAGCAGTAGTATTTGAGACCGAGCCACAGGGCTATATTTAAAATACGATGTCAAATAGGTAAAGCTATTAGAACTTATTACCTGAGATCCAGTGGCTTAGTCAGTATGTTTAGAATATCATTTTCCTTAACGTATCCACCATCATATTTAAAAATTGTGCAAGCATTACAAATGTATGATGCTGTTTATTATTCTTGAAAATGGACTTACGTGTGGGTCGAATTCCTTAAGTACGCTGTGGGTACGAAAGCTATCACTTCATTCACCTTCAAATCATTTTTGTACTTCGCGGCTAAAGAAAAACACCAGCAGAATTATCATAGCAGTTACGGGTGTTGGAAAGTATACTTAGCGGATCAGATTCGGCCAGCATTTTGATTTCGTACACTGCTACTTCCGAAGACTTCGTCAAGTAGTCGCCCGTGCAGGAATATTTGACGCATTCGACCGTAGCGCACGACAACAAAATTGTTTTGTTCAAGGGAACGTTCAAAACCCCTTCAAAGTCGGGCACGAGATCGATTTCACCAAGTTCGATTGGAGATTCCGTACAGGCCATTTCCACACCGTTCAGGGACCCCTTGTAATAGGAAAATAGTTTAACCACGTATTACTCTGTATCTGCCTATGCAGGGTATTCGGAAATTGATTTCAGAAACTTGGAAGAAAGATTGCCAATTTTTTTTTAAATTTTATTTTGAGCGCACTAATAAAAGTCATCGGTACAAAATAAGAATGTTTCAGAAATCTGTCACTAGATCGACACAGATAGAACAGATTGCCTTAAGCAAAATCACAAATCCTCAAAAGTTACTTCTCTTGTTTTAAGTCGATAACAGGACTTGAAAGAGTTTATTATCCAACTGCTACTGTGATCAGGAATATTCAAGTACTGAGTATCGCGATATGAATTTGTGCTACGGAAGAGCAAATGGAAATGCAGATCAAGCACGACTTCTTTATATCGAGGCTTATCCTAATAAAGACGTTCCATCTGCTAAGACATTCATCAACATACACAGAAGACTTGGTAAAACAGGATCATTTAAACCTGATAATGTGAATGAAAGCAGACCAAGGTATAAAAAGAACCGCGAAAACTTCTTGCTCAGGAAAGAATTGGGTGAAAATGATCTTCAACCCTTTCACGTTCAAAGCCGTTGAAGCACTGGTTTTCTTTAAAGGTATGGGAAGGGATTATAGATAGATAGATAGATAAATAGATTCATTTATTGACTACGTTTCGTACAAAAGCAACGTACAATTGTAGCACGTCAGAAGTTGGATAGGCATGGCAATCAGAATTAGCGCTAAAGTTTCCTTTCGTTCTTTGTATCTCTTATAACTGGTAGGGAAGCAGGGAAGGGGCATCACTTTAAATTTTTTAAAATAAGGTTGAAAATGGTCCCTATATCCTATATTAGCAACGACTCGAATGGCTCTTTTTTGCATTCTAAAAATCTCCACAGCAGCTGAGGAATCATCCCACAGCACCGTGCCATAGCATCCGTGCGAATGCAACAAAGAAAAATAGACCGTAAGCAGAGTCCTTGCTCCTATCAGGCCCCTCAGTCGTCGAAGAACGAATATGTTGGTGGACAATCTATTTTTCAGGTCTGGAGGAGATAATCTTATAGGACCTCGTTTCTTTAATGGATCGCTTAATGGGAAAACGTATTTGCAATTTCTCCAAGAGGAACTACCACCTTTGCAGTGTGTTTACCACGTTGAATCTTTCCGCTAACTTTCCGAACTCAATTTCCGAACACCCTGTATATTGTTTGAGGGAGGCCATATGGGTAAAATTTAAAGAGCTTAGTCGTGGTTAAGATTGTCTGGTTGTGGATCCTCCGATTTTTCTTTGCAAGAATTTTAGTTTTATCGAATAAGATTTGACGTCCGATTTCGTGATTGTGTTCGGCAACTGCTGATGGGTTCATTTGTCGTAGGCTTAAAGCCCTTTCAGTGTCATGTTCATCTCAGACGAAACAAAATGTTGTCTTTGAAGGATTCAAGATGCTGAGAGGTTTTTGGAGAAGTGGCAAATCTGGTTTTAAAGTTATATTTCTTAAGAACTTTTGATATGTGGTCAGCGATGTTTTGAATGTAAGGCAGGACCACAGTGGCAAATTTCGGATTGTTTTCGGCCTCATTGCTATTGGAAGGTTATGGTGAACTGTAATTTGTGATGGAACGCTTAATATCTCTAATGTGGCTCTGTAAACAAGAGTGTTGATAACTGATGATTTTGGCATTTGCGTTTTTGGGTAGGTTGTCTCTAAACAGAGTGACCCAATGTTAGGTCTGAATTCAATGGTAAAGTGTTAGATTGCATAGAGTTTAAATGGCTAACAACATACAGGAGGGATTCCTGACCGCGAGGCCAAATAATAAAAGTATCATCAACGTAGCGCTTCCATAATTTTGGATTTAGATGAACGGTGTCGAAGGCTTTCATAAATGCATCGGTGCTGATAGTTGACAACCCATAGCTGTTTGTTCATAAATTTCACCATTACAAACAAGCATTTTTCAATTAGCGCGAGACGGTTTGGTTCCAGATTATCGGGTTTCAAAATATCTGAAATGATGTTGAGAGTTTCAGGAATAGGTACTTTAGTAAAGATGGATTCCACGAACCAGAATATCGTTTGAATCTAATTAAATGGTTTTTAATTGTTTAATTACAAGAAATGAATTAAGTACAAAACAATCAGTTTTCCCTGTAAAGATATTTTGCTAGGGGATATATGTTGGGGCTGACAATAGATACGTAGAGACGAGAAATTTTAGGTTGCATGAAACTAATAATAATCTTCCATTCTTGAAAATTTTCACATATTCTGTTCACAGAAAACCTACGCACACAGGCTTTTCTCTTATCTAATCTACATTAGAGATATTAAAATTTCCATCACAAAACACAATTCACTACGGCCTTCCAAAGACAATGATTCCAAAGGCAACTCCCTCAAAATTCATTCAATTCAAAGCCTTAAGACTACGACCAACGAACTCAAAACCACCCCACACATGTCACTGTGGCCCTTCCTTACGTTCCGAACATCACATAACAGATATCAAAAGTTCTTCAGAAATATAAATTTAAAACCAGATTTACCACTTTTCGAAAAATCTCGATCCGTCAAAGAGAAAATTCCGTTCGAGATACCAGAAGTGTATAGAAAGTCTATACATATGCGGCAAAGAATACCCTGAAGAGACCGGAGAAAAAATATCAACTAGACTCAAAGAACACGAAGGAGCCTTAAGACTAAGACAAATGAACTCATACTCATACAATCAAGAAACCGCACGTCAAATCTTATTCGACAAAACTAAAATTCTTGCAAAGAAAAATCCGAGAATCGATAGCCAAACAATTTTAACCGCGACTCAGGTCTTTACCAGGTCCTGTCTGAGCCAGTTTCAACTAAGCTCTGAAGAAGCTAATAGGATAAATTGTAAAATTAGGTAAGTTGATCTCTGCATAATAGTCCCGCATCACCATCCACCATCTAATTGGATTCATATCAGTTACCAATTACCACTTCGGTGCGAATCCATAGATCGTGTTGTACTTGAAAATTTATTATCCACAATGAAACAATTTTGCCTGTATTAGGTCCTCTTGAAGCAAAAACGGTATTTAAAGAAAGTAATTACTTAAGTAACTACAAATATTATTCCTCTATGTACATAATTTTCATAAATGGAACGGTTAAAATGTGATAACTATTATAATTCGCTCTACTTCTAGTTTAGCAACGTATACAAATTTATTAAGGAGGGGGGAAAGTTCGGGAAACACGAATTCTAGTGTACGTGTGGAACAAAGAGAATTAAGAAATAATAATCATACCATTTATGACGCCTTACTGCTGACTAAATAATTCTAGCTTTAATTCCCATTTAAACGTCACAAGAGAAGACGAGTTATCATTTATGTCAAATTTATTGAACAAAAAGTTTTTATGGTGTGATTGATTTGTAAAACTATTTATATTAACATTATGAACGTCTGTTCTATTGGCTGCTCGTCTTAGCAGGTATGGAGGGCTTTTGTCTTTTAGTGTTTTATAAAAGAAACATGTTGCATGTAGGATGCGCGGATTACACATATTTAGCGATTTTATATCTTTGAGTTTATGTGTTCCATACGACGAATCCCAAATACAAGGCTCAAGCAGGAATTTTGAAGTTTTTTAATGCATTGTGTGTCAAAAGCATCCAAGCAAGGACCGTAAACCTTGTCATAGGGGGTGACAAAACTAGAGATTCGCACAGCATATTTTTGATATTGCTATTTAAATAGTGTTTATGTGCAAATACTAATTTTAGAGCAAAGTATCCGACCTTAAGTTTTGCAGTCTAGATTTTCAGATATGATTTTTTTTAATATTTCAAAATTTTGGTTCTTTTTTTCAATTTTTTCATTCGTCAACGTTACAAGTGCCGAAGGTGATTTTTATGGTAGTAAATACGCGCATTCGCAGTATTCATTGTGACACTACAACAGTTCAGTGAAAACTTGTCGTTTAATTGTTTACCTTTTATATCAAATATTTTGGTAAGTTTTGCATAAAGTTCATATTCTCTATATTGGATTTAAGTATTTGATGTGTACTTTGAGTATTACTTGTTAAGTAGAGTCAATAAATATAAAATAGAAGTTTGAAAGTTGTTTTAAAATTAATTTTATGTGATTTTAGGTTACAAAATGCCACGGACTTGTAAAAACTCCTCAGATTGTTTTTGCTACATTTGTGGGGAATACATACTAAAAACACAGCGACATGTCATGACCGATTAAAACAGCTTATAAGCTATATTTCGGATTTTCTATCGATGAGCGAGATAAAAGTTGGTTGCCAAAAGTATGCTGCAATAGCTGCTCAAGAACGTTGAGAGGTTGGCTTGAAGAAAGTCACAAATCCATGCCGTTTTCAATGCCAATGATTTAGAGTGGAGTATTCATGCATGAAAACAAGAAGGAGAGAAAAATTTTTTTTTTTTGACACTAGATAATGATTATCAACTATTGAGCTACAACTTTACAGTTATATTTAAGCACAGCAAAACATCGGTTGTTGAATTCTTTAAGTTCAAATTTTCGATTAACCAAACAGACGTTCCGCAAATTGAAACATTCGGTTGGGAAAATGGGTCACTCAGATTAAGAAAAGCTTCAAGTAGTTCAAAAATTCTAAAGAACATAATATCAACAAGAATAAACGATAATAAAACCAAGAACCACCGTAATTAATCACTGAGCAAACATAATTTATAAATTTGTAAAGTGTGTGCGAAATTGGTAGGCGTCATTCAGTCATCTCTGTTGATATTTAAACTATCGAAAAAATTAAAATTAGAAAATACAGATTTTTTTATATCGAATCCAACGCAGTACGTCATTGTATGGCATCCGCCAAGGGCTTTTCGAATAAACGAGATGTGTTCAGAAAGTAAGATGACCTTCAAGTTTTATCAAACAGTGTTTATTTATACATCAAAGTTAAAGTAATAATCTTGTGATGGTTTAAAAATTGATCGGAGTGTACTGTGTTGTGGTGTGTGGCCAGTTCCTTTTTAGAGAACGAACTGGGTTGACGTGCTATTCGATTGTTTGTTGGATTTTGATCGGCTGGACCAGAGTCGGCACGACCCACTGTGGGTCCATTACCCAAACTAACTTGCATTAATTCGATTATTTTCCAGTAACTTAAAAACCTTAATTTTTTTTATTATTTATACATTGCCGGTAAATAATAATACAATTTTTTTCAATTTTCCAGCGTTGCCACATTAGTATTTTTCGGAGTATATTTTAAAGATATACCAAAACTAGAATAAAAAAAATTGGAAACATTTTGCAATTACTGCACAGCTTTATTCAAAAAGCTTCTGCAGTCACGTGAAATAATTTAACTGTATTTAAGGAAACAGAAAACATACTAGTTAACAAATTCCAAATATATGAACCATTTACCGAAATTAAATTAACTTATTGAAAATAAACTATTTTATTAAAACACAGCAAGCAAGAGATCATACGAAACACAAAAAACTTACATGATAAGAAAAAGCCTTAGAATTGGCTTATAAATAAACTTTTGGCAGAGATGTTTTCTACTTAACATACTTTTTTTAACCCTGAAACCCACTAAGTAAATTATAATTTTAGCCATTCTCGCTGTCATGACATGTCAGACTCACTACCCATACACTCAAAGTCATATTCGGAGGTCTCCGAAAAATAGTCATTTTTTGTAAGGCAGGGAAGCTCTGGACTTTTAAGTAGAGCTAATATATCAGGTGATAGTGGTTTTTTTGGTCTTACAGTTTTTTGTCGGTAACTGGCTATAACGAGGTCAGAGGACACTAATAACATTCGCATCAAGTCTTTATTCATGACAATGCGCGATTTTTTTTGAGTGTGATGCTCGCGATATCGCCGACAATCTTTGTGACTTGGGCCTCCTCAAATAGCTGCCCAATACGCACAACACAATGTTTAATAATATCTGTGGAATGGTGCAACAGTTTGTGGACGGTTATGGGCATATAATACCACGAGTAAAGACTTATATATTTTAAATATTTCTTCTACAAGGTTTTTCTTATGAGAGACACTCCAGAATTGAAACAACGTTTTTTTTTTTCGATATTTCGTACATTTGTAAAAACGAAAAAACAGAAGTAGGCTTGCAATTTTGAGTTTAAACGTGTGTATAAAATGGAAGCAATATGTATAAAAATAATGCATTATAATTGGCTCATTGCGCAAGCAATACATGCGATAAACAACTTTAAGAGCATATTAATTGTTAATATTTTTATCACTCAGAGGTTGACATTTTTAACTGGCATAAGTTTTGCGATTATTTGCGAGATTTTTGGCTAACAGTTTTTAGAAGTTTACACCCTTGCCTAATAAAAAATGTATATTTTCGCTTGGCACTCGTGGGCCTTCATATTTTTTTACTCTATAGAGTTTGAAAAATTATATATTAATGGTACTTATCCCGTCACTTCTTGTCAAATCGCAGAAAAAACACAAACGTTCTATATTGCATGTACAGGTCTAAACTAATTAACAGGACTGACATCAGTTGTCAAATACTTAAAGCGGCATTTGTTTTCAATGCCTACTAAGCCATTTAAAAACTACGAAAACTTGGTTATTTTATTGAAGCGATTTATAAAAAATTCTTGAAAGAAAGCAATACTGTTTTTACATGTTTCAGTATGTTCTTAATTTGAAAACATTGACAAATTTTGCACTTTTAATAATGATTTATTGCATCCTAGTTTCTCTTTATTCACGTATAGTAATACACTCCGTTGGCATAGTATATTGTGTGTATTGTGCTTCGGTAGAAACACATCCATCACAATATTTTTTATCGCGCCACTATCTTTCAGTCCGTTCCGCTGACTTACCTCCACTTTCAAAACTTCAAATAAGTTCGCGTTATCGAGTTTGACGTGCGGCAATAGAATATTAACCTCAAGATCAACCGGCGACGGTCCCAAATTGCCCACGGTGAAGGTGTGCACAATTTTAACCCTCTTGCTGTCGTCTCCAGTCGAAAACTTTATGTTATCAGGATTGGTATTCCTAAAAAGTACGCTTTATGTTTCGTGATTTTCTTAAACTAGTCCTGCCATCTGGCGACTAACGTTTTTATAAGCAAGTTTGACATTTTGAGGTTAGGTTTACTCGGTGATGTTATGGCGAAAGAGCGTTGTTTGCGTTTTTTGTGATACATTAAAAAACATTGTGACTGTTAAAAATGGAACTTGATGAATTTAATTCATCTTTTGAAGTTAAGTCACTATCTAGGACTACTGTTTATCGCTGATTCTCTGACTTCAGTCGTGGTCGTTGTTTTCTTAAGGATTAATTTCGTGAAGGTCGTCCAAAATCGGTGGTTGTCCAAGAAAACATTGATGCAGTGCGGAAACTGATTTTGCAGGATCGTTATGGGACTTACCATGGTCATTAGTGGGACCAGCATACATACAATTTTGCATGAACATTTGGCCGCTATAAAGATTTGTTCGCGTTGGATTCCACACAATTTGACATCAGTTCAAAAAAAGGCTCGTGTTGATTGGTCGAAGGAAATGCTAAAAAATACGATCGCGGTCTATGATATCGTGACAGGTGATGGAATCCTGGATCTATGCATATGAACCTGAAAGTAAGCAGCAGTCGACCGTCTGGGTCTTTCAGAATGAGACAAAGCCCAAAAAAGTTGTTCATGCGTGAAGCATCTTGAAGCAAACGGTAGCCTGTTTTTTCAGGAGACCTGGCCACGTTTCTTTGGCGAATGGTAAAACAACCAATTCTTAATGATAAACAACCATTTGTTTGCCGAAAGTGTTCGGAGAAATTAGAAAAACCAGCCGCCGAAGACGGATCACTCTCCACGACGAGAATGCTAGCTCTCACCGATCAGTGCAAACAAGGAACTTCTTGAGCGACTTTGATTTGATGAGCCATCCATCATGACTTCTTTCTATTCCCATACATTAAAAATAAATTACGTGGGAAACGATTTTTGACATCAGAAGAAGCGACTGATGCGTTTAAAAAGTATGTTTTGGAGGTGCCCGGCTCGATGTAGGAAAAGTGCTTTGATGGTTGGTTTTATCGAATCCAAAAGCGTATTGATGATCAGGGTGAATATTTTGAGAACCAATGAAGTCGTATTTGGTTGGTTGGTAGCTTATAGGTTTTTATTACAAATCCCGAAATATAAAAGGTAGCCTTCCTATGCGCGCAACTTACCCTACAATGTACGGGTGATTGTGCAGTTTTACCGGTATCACTATAACGTCACTATCCTTGTAACCCGCTTTGTTTGTTCCCAAACTAGAATATTTTATATTAATCGCGATTTCTCTTGTGGTTGGATTCAAGGCACTGACATCGAAAAATAACTGACTCTAAAAACGAAAAAATTAATCAGGGAATCTGATTTTAGGGCCAATTTAAGTTTGATATTGCCTAGGCCCAGGCTGGCTAAGATAGCAACTAGACCTATAGTCCTACGAGTTAAACCCTATAACAAAACTTCCCACTGAGGTTAAAAAAATACAAAAAAGTAAGGCCTTTAATGGTGAAAATTGCCTGCGAGGTTATGCGTTAATAATTTTAACATTTTTTTTACATATACAGTGTGTCCCACTTAAGAATCTTTGTTATTGGTTCGATTTTGCACTAAAACCTTGTTTTGCTTATTGCTTCAACTTAAAGTCATTGAGACTATTTAACAAAAGAGAGAGATGAGATAAGTGCTACTAGGGATTTAACATTGGCAAAACCAACTGCAATAATTTTTATAATGTTTCACTACACAAAAAATTGTTTGCGTCCCGCTTAAGGCTGTACGTCGTTGTAAAATCTTTGATTTGTTGAATATATCTTGAAAAAACGCAGTAAAACCTTATGGTTCTTATTACATCAACCTGATGTTGGACTAATTTTTTATGTCAAGAATTACAGGAAACCTAACGATACCAATTTCCATGAAGTTCGAATACAGGGTGTTCGATAATTTTTTTTTTGTTGGTTAGATTTCACTGAAAGACACCAACTATTTTCTTAAAATTAAAAATGATTAGAAAGGATTAGATATAAACTAAATAGACTTTACGACGCTGTATTTTTTTATTTAAAAAGAATTTTTAATTCTCTTCCAACAATGAAAATAACTGAAATATCAAAACTGATTGACGTCGGCATACTGTTTCCTTTGTAAAACCAAGTTTGCTACGGAGAAGCGAATATATTCGACTGTCACATTCACTCGCTAATTTATATCTTAATTTCGTTTACACCTTTCGAATATTAAAATTTATTAATGCCATTATTTTGCGATGATACTAAAAAATAAATGACACTTGAAAGCGCATACAAAATAATCGTTATTTACAAGATTTGCAATAGTTATTTTTTTAAAACATTAAAAGCTTTAGTCATTGGTCTAGTTATTTTTAGGTAGTACTGAACACGAATCTGTTGTCATTTTCAATTTGAAAAAATCAATAAAAGAGGCTCTCGATTTTCCACTTCAAAAAATCATGTCGGTCAGACTTTAGTCGATGCTATACGAAAAAACTAATATAAAAAATATATTAAAATTAAGCTATAACCAAACATCGTATTCGAAATTGGTATAGTTAGGTTTTATAATAAGGGCTAATAGGGGTCAAAATTTGACATAAAAAATTAATCCCAGTTAGCCACGACTTCAGGTTGATTTAATAAGGAATATAAAAAATCATAATCTAATAGTAATCAAAGATTTTACAACGATGTACAGCCTAAAGCGAGGCACAAACGATATTTCAAACACCCTGTATTAAAACATTATAAAAATTGGTATAGTTGGGTTCTAAGTACTACTGAATAAGAATTCGTTGCCAATTTATTTTTTTTTTAATCCCTAATAGTACTTCTCAGTTCTCTCTCTCTCGTTAAACAGTCGCAGTTGGCCATGACTTTAAGTTGAAGCCATAAGGATAACAAGATTTCTTTCGAAAAATCGTAGCTCGAAGCAGCATTTTATTTCAAAAAGAACGGGCTTCGCGGTTTCTTGTGGTAAAGAGCCGCATTGTTTATCTATCGTGCTCCTGCGGACCACTTTGGAACTTTCGCAAAATCGATATAATTTTATTATCCATACACCCTGTATATAGTGCCCTTCAAGCATCGCCGAATTTCAAAGTTACAGCAAACTTTGTTAAATCTTAAAATTTGTACAAATAATAGCGTTGCAGTTTAGGATACCGTTCAAATCAAATTAACGGATTTTTAGCAGTCTTTCATTTATCCCCCATAATTTGCCAACAAAAACGCAAAAATTTTAAGATGTTTTTGATATTTTTGCCCATAAACGACACACCCTGTATATGATTCATACAATGTTCGAAATAGAGGTTATAGTCCTGGATCTCCCATGTTTCCTGGTACATGGAGTAAGTGGTTTTCAAGAAAATAGTTGTTTTCTGAAACCATGCAGTACGTGATAATAGCAAATGACGTCAACGAAAACCGTGAATACAAAAATGGTAGCTTTCGATGTGGCCTGTAACACTGTTTAAACCAATTGGCCATATTTTTTACGAATTTTGATTTACAGCTAATAATTTAATAGGGAAAAGAACGACGTTCAGGATCTATTTGATTTTTGTCTATAATTTAAAAACCTTGTATATAATGGAAAAAATGCCTGAAATGAAGGATATCGTACCGGATCTCCTCCATTTCCTGGTTCATTCAGCAACGTCCAAAAAACAGTCAAAAATTGAAAAAAAAAAAGATGGATGCCGAAGCTTGGACGCCGCCATTTTTACATGTCATGCATCCCATGGACGCTTAAAAAGAAGCAAAATTTGAAGAGTGTAGCTCAAACCGTTCGGAAATTATCATCGAAAAACCCTGGAACAGAGAACGGACAAACAGACAAAGAAAAAATTTTTTTTCCACGCTGATCATTTCTGTACCAACCGTGGTCCTCTAGGACCTACCGTCACCGATATCGCAAACTTTGGTAAATATAAAAATTTGTACTGGTGATTGCGATTTTAAATTATATTTTTTCAAAAATATCTCGAGCACCCTGTGTGATAGACGAAAACTGAAACTCTCTCTCGACACAGTTTTCGATACTGCTCAAACCAAATTATCACAACTTGAATATGTTTTCATGTATCGCCAATAATTTACCCACAAAAACGAACATTTTTTAGATTTTTTACCCATAAACGACACACCCTGTATAGAATTCAAACAATATTCGAAATAGATGTTATAGCCCTGGATCTCCCACGATTTTCAGGTCTTTTAGATTTTTGTCTATAATCTAAAAACCCTGTATTTAATGGAAAAAATGCCTGAAATGAAAGTTGTGGTCCCGGATCTCCCGCATTTCGTGGTTGCGATCGGGTTAATAGTTTTCGAGAAAAAAAAAAAATTTTTGGAAGTCAAAATATACCAAAAAAATTTTTCAAAAATTAAAAAAAAAATACTTTGCGAGATTTGAGTAATTCCTTTTTCAACAGATGAAATACGGGTGTGGACTTCTACCCTCCTTTTCCGAAATTATTTTTTTCTTAGACCCTTGCAAACGCGATTTTTAATTTTTTTAAAATACTTCCCGACCCCCAACCCCCGCAATTTCAATAAGTTCCGTTACGGGACCAAACTTCATATGTGTTGCCAAATTTGAAGTCGATAGCTTCAAATTGCGGACACTTATCGTGTTTCATAGCGATGTCCAAAAGAAAGTCGAAAATCGTCCTGTAGGACCTACCGTTACCGATATCTCGACTTTAGTGATTTCATCGATTTTTCGAAAGTAACAAGGTTTTAGTGCATTTTTCAACATTTTCGACAAAAAAAAATATCAAATCAAACTATAAACAAATATTTTACAAATGTGTACCGTTCTTAAGTGGGACGCGCTGTATATATTTTTAATGTAGATATCTACTAAGACTTTTTATAAGACATTGTCCTATACTATGTTAAAAGTCCATGAAAATAAAAACGCATCTTCTACAGTAACTTGTAGATAATTTAATACCTCTCTGGATTCGATCAATCGCTCATCCACCAAACAAGTATACGTCCTATTGTTTCTATTACAGTCCTTGAAGTTCCTCAGTTCGACGTTTTTTGGCAATTCGAGCGCCAATTCGCATTGATAGGCCGGTTCGCCGTCATTGTTTACGACGACGTTCACTCGCAACTCTTTGTCCGCACCCAAGATGATTTCACTTCTGCGGGAGTAGTTTTGATTAATTTAGTTTAGGTATTAACGAGAAAATTATAGAATGCGGCAATCCATAGAACAGTGCGTTCAATTAATCTTGATAACATTTCAATTAGCTGCAACTTTTTTGTTTTTAGAGATATCAAGATATACAAAAAAAATTAGCAATTTTTTTTTCAAGTGACGTATAAAACAAAACACTCAATTTTCTGACATAAAAGCCCACATCATATTCTAAAAATCTAAATGGAACACCCTGTATATGATATATGTGTTTAAAAGAATATCTTATTCCGATTACAATGATGTAACACACATTATATTTTTGACAAATCAGAAAAATTAGGAAATTTTTATATAGGGTGTTTTTTTTCGATGTATAGAACTTTAAGTTGGCATTACTGTTCAAAATGGCGACTGATTTAACAGCTGTCAAGTGATGTTCAATTTTTTTTTCAAGTTTTTTGGCAATTCTAGCGCCAATTCGCATTGATAGGCCGGTTCGCCGTCATTGTTTACGACGACGTTCACTCGCAACTCTTTGTCCGCAACCAAGATGATTTCACTTCTGCGGGAGTAGTTTTGATTAATTTAGTTTAGTTATTAACGGGAAAATTATAGAATGCAGTAATCCATAGTACAGTGCGTTCAATTAATCTTGATAACATTTCAATTAGTTGCAACTTTTTTGTTTTTAGAGATATCAAGATAAACATTCGATGTATAGAACTTTAAGTTGGCATTACTGTTCAAAATGGCGACTGATTTAACAGCTGTCAAGTGATGTATTCTCAGCTTGGTTGATTTATTGAAAGACACGTTTGGTGACCGCCTAATTTCACGTTTTCGATCTGTGAATTGGCCTCCAAGATCTTGTGATTTTACACCGCTAGACTACTTTGTATGGGGCTAAGTAAAGTCATTGGTCTATGCGGATAAGCCACAAACGCTTGACCATTTGGAAGACAACATTCGCCGTGTTATTGCCGATATACGACCACAAATGTTGGAAAAAGGCATCGAAAATTGGACGTCCAGATTTGACTACATCCGCGCCAGCCGTGGCGGTCATACGCCAGAAATCATATTTAAAATGTAATGCCACAAGATTATCTTTCTGATAAATAAACTTCATGTCAATCGAATAATCCATCGTTGTTTTATTGCAACTTAAAGTTCTATACATCGAAAAAAAGCACCCCTTACAATTTCAAAGGGTGCCCTGACTGACAACAACAATAACTATTTCCAAATTAAAATAAAACAAAAACACTGAAAACGGCAAGACACTAAATTAAAAAAATCTTTAAATAATCTACGTAGTGCTGTATGTGACCACTATTTTCCTGAACACATTTCTCATACACTCTAATTGTAGGGCAGAGTTCCATAATTTGGACTGGCCAGAAATTGTGCGACCAAAATCGATTTAAGACAGAACAAATATTCAATGTCGATGAAACCGAGATGAAATGTCAGAGAGTCCATTTGTTTGGTCCTTGGTTTAACCATTTTATTCGATGTGTTAAACCTAGTCACGAGCATCCATTTTTATTGCTTCTTGGTGGACACAGCACCCGTAGGAAAAACCTCGAGGCACTAGAAATTGCACGTGCTAATGGAATAAATCTACTCCAACTACCTAGTCATACAACTCAACATTTGCAACCTCTTGCGGTGGGATTTTTCAGATATTTTCAAAACAACTACAGTCAGATTAGAAGTAAGTGTAACAAACGCTGTTAACGCTTTTCGGGGTGCTAGAATATGGCCAACTAATAGGCAGATGTTCAACGAAAACAATTTTATATCTGCAACTACTTTCAAATCAGCTGTTGAAGTTGAAGGCGGGAATATGGATTCATCTAGTGAAGAAGAAACGAAGAAGAACAACAGAAGTCTCTAATCCTTGTTACGTTCTAATTTCGACCTTAGGTGATATTTCCAGTAAAGTAAAGAATTACCTGTGTATTTGGGTTTTATTAGTTAAATCACGCTTCTCGTGCTGATTGTGTTTGGTACTTTCCTTCAAATTAATCTTATTTTATGTTTCTATTCGTTACAGATATTGCTTTTTGCTAGTGATTTTACCTTGCAAATGTTATCCTTTCCCTTTTTTATTTTTATTTTATTTTTCCCTTATCTTTTTTTTATTTTTTCTTTATTGGAGATTACAGCAAGTAGGTTCCAGGCATGTAACGGAAACCCAATTCCACACGGGGGAAATGCTGGTACATTCCGTCGCAGACCAGTGGCGCCCAATAACCCACCCCTACTCGCCGGTTAACTTAATTTACTTTGGTTGTCGTCGAGCTAGGGTATAAATTTGCACACACCAGACATCCGTTACGACCTACTCGCTGCTTTACTGAGTGTTCCTTATATACATTTTTTTTTAATATTCCAATTTTCTAATTTAAATTTTCAAAAAAAGAACGTGGCATTCTTCTTTAAATGCTTCCATCTTAGAAATTTCTCCTTTGCCACTATGCAAAGAAATAGTTTCTAAAAGAATGGCAAGAAAGCAAGAGGCAGTAGAATTAACCAGTTCTCCCTAGAAAAACGATTTAGAAGAATCAATAGCGGGTCCATAAAAAACAAAACGATATTCAAGCGAAACTTAGGTTTGACAAATCCACTCCTAAAAGTTCAAGAGGATAAAGAGTTTTGGTACTGTGCTTTTAAACAAATTTTATTTTTCCAGGAAAGATATGATTTATAATTTCTTTTTTTATATTGTGTTTTCTTTTTGGTAATACATATAATTGGTATAATGTTCTGGTATATTTACATTTGCTTAAAATTGTGCTGATTAAAAAGAAAAAATCAAAAAGAGGTGGTCCAAATTAGGCTCCTTTACCCTATGACGTCTTGTATTTAGTAACGTTTCCGCATTGTCTCTTAGCTGATTAATTACCTCTGAAATCCTTCGCCGAAGTTCCACATTATTTCAAGGAGTACTGTGCACGTAATTTTTTATGTATCCCCAAAAGAAAAAATAATCAAAGATAAGTCGGGGCTATTGGCTGGCCAATCCATAGTTCCGCCGCTCCCTATCCAGCCCCTGGGATTTTTAACTTGCGCAACATTGTGAGAAGGAGCACCGTCTTGCTGCCATATAATCAGCGCTGATATATTTAGGGGTAAATTTTCTATATATTGTTCTATTTGATGCTCTAAGAGTTGGAAATAATGATCTCCAGTTTACTTTTGAACTATAAATATCGGACCCAAAATATGCCCATTTATGACACTATACGATACATTAATTGATTGGTACCCCTGGATTTTTATTTAGTGTTTTTGTCTAGGATTATTTAAAGAGCAATATCGCGTATTTTGTCTATTACCACCCTTTCTTATAGTAAAAGAACTTTCATCAGTCCAAAAAATATTTTTCAAAAAATTATTATTCTCATTATGTCTAAAAAATTCAAACAAACTGCGTTCTCCTTTAGCATTGCTCTGCACTTAGTTTTTGAGTTTTACGAAATTTAAATGAATTATATTCATATTCTTCCAAAACAGTGGATTGATCCTGGACAAATATCTCTTCTCTCTCTTCATATGCTCTAATAATAGAGGAAACTGGACGTGCTTCATAGAATCGTAATATGTTTGCCTTATTTTCTTCACACCGGCATACCTTTTTAGCATTTAATACGTTACCGTTTTCTTGGCCAGCCTTGGAAATATCTGTTTTAAACGAGCTCGGCGCTCTGGGTCTACTATACTGCACTTTTATTATTCAGAAAGTATACTTAAAGCATATCACTCATTTTCACGGATGCTAACTTCGCGAAAAACCATTTTAACAATAATGACAATAATAATAATAATTCAACCATCAATGTTGTTTACTAATATGTCAAACATAAACATATTTTCATCTGTCGGTCAGGGCACTCTTTGGAATTATATAAAAAATTCCTATTTTTCCCGATTTGTCAAAAACGAGTTAACCGGAATAAGATATTCTATTAAACCCATATTTAATATACATTTAAAAAAATATGATATAGGCTCATACGTCAGAAAATTGATAGAGTTTTGTTTTAAACTTGGCTACGAACCCTACATTTCGTTTTTGTGTTTACCTTGATATCTCTAAAAACAAAAAAGTTACAGCCAATTAAAATTTTATCAAGATAAATTGAACGCACGGTACTTTTCTACGGCTTTATCGATTGAGAGAACTCACTTATCTGACGTCACATTCAACCACAGACCAGTATTGCAGACGTTGTCGTCACCACAACCGTGAGAAAACGGTATTTGCAAGTCGACGCCTTGTTTCCCGTGTGCGACGATATCTTCCGTTTTCACTTTCGCCTTCAGTGATACTTGAAACGGCGATATGTCCTTTATTGCATTCTAAAATGTTACCCCATTATTTAGTTTCAGAAAATCTGTCTATTTATCTATCTATCTGGTTCATTACTGGATGTCGTAAATTGACATAGGAATTTTGTTTGTCAGTTTTAAAATACGTGTCAAAAGGTCTACAAAACTTATTGACAGATGTATTTTGAAAACTGAATTTATATAATTTTGATGGACTTATTTCAAAAATTCTTGCATTTACTGGTATCCCGTGAGATTTTTTCCAAATATTAAAGGAAAAAAACGATATTTTTAAAATAATTTATTTTTTTATTCAGTAAAAAAGTGGGGTCCCAGTTAAAAAAAAGTGAAAAAAAACTTTACTCAGACATTTTTGAATGAAATCTTCGTCTTTTTGCCAGAAAGTTGATTTGTCTGCTACCTGGGCATCGCCGTTCCATTTCCTTAATGTCCTGGTGAAACCTCTCTCCCAGTTCTTCTCTAAATACTCCAAGATTTTCAGGAAAATAGTGCAAGTAAGAAAGCAAGAAATGCACTTTCTCATATTACAACCTAGACGATGAAAGTTTTCGTCCTTAGAGGTCCAAAAAACTTATTAATTACTTCTTTAAATAAAACCCAGCGGTTTTTCTCGACATTGTGTTTTTAAAATCCTTGTCTTTGCATAATGTTCATAACTGCGGATCAACAAAAATACCTTCTTTTATCTTGGCATCAGATGTGGCTGGAAATTTCTGGCACAAATTTTTGCAACACTGTCCACTTTTGTCTAGGGCTATAACAAACTAAGCTATCTCTTAATATACTTTTGCTACCAGGTGTAAGGCTTGTCCTAGAGGGCCATTCTATTTGAGTCCAATGTCTATCTCTTGCTCGACTATCCAACTCCCTAAGGAGCATTCACAGCACAGGTCACCACAAAGCATTCACTGACGTTCTCGGTAGTTTATTTTCTTGAAAAGATTTCATAAATTACGTTACCATTGTGCAATAAAATGCCTTTTATACTACGCCTACTTGAGTCAATAAACAGGGGCCAGGAATATTGTTGCAATACACTAGCGGTCTTCCCTGAGTAAAATATTGATATAACTCTTTTTCGCGATCAATTCTTTGGAAGGTGCAAATCTCCAATTAAATCATGTAATTTGCTCTGGTCAAGCACTTCAGGCTCTCGGAAGTCTGGTATGAAATCTGAGTCAACTGGGTAGGACCTAGATTCCTTTGATTCTGACGATATGACGTTTTCTAGTTCTTTTGGTCCATGAGAAACTGGTCAAGTAGCAGAGTCACGATTGAATTGTTGAATCTTGGAACATTACACGAACAAAAATAACAATCATCCTTGTGATACCTAGGCTGTCGCCATACCATAGGAACGCCAAAGCATAAACATTTCTTACTGCCTTTTGGCCAGTTTCTACAACGTAAACGAAACAAGTACGACGAGCCCAGGACTTCTCTTGGTCGCCACTTTTTACACCAAAATAAGTGTGGTATACATTTTTAACAAAAGAAGTTAGCTTTACTACGACACAACTGCCACAGAAATAACAAAAGTTATTTGAATTGTTCACAAAATGATTCCTCTCCATATTTATACGTTCTAAAACACTAGAAACATGTAATAACGAAGACAACAGCCGCGAACACAGTAGTACGACGACCAATATGACCAAATTGCGCATAAGCAACTTACAACGCTGTATTGATACTTTGGCGCCAACTCTGTTACTTTGCAGATACATGTGATATTATCCAGCAATGCCAAATCACATTTAATTTCTTGGAACAAATATATTCATGTCATAGGTATGTATATGTGTGTCATAGGTATGTCATAGGTATGACCCCCAAAAATATATACATGAGCAAACAGCTTTCAAAAATCAAAATCGCTGTAGACCTGTGTAATTAAATTGGTTCAAAGTGGCCCAACAATTTGGAGAAAAAAAATGCGGGGAAACCGTTTTCACCTTTAAACTCTGAGTAGAAGAGCTATGAGCGTTCAACGGCAATTTCGGCCGTTTTTGCACCCCTCTTAGCACCAACCTACCCAGCCTCACCCTCTCTCTCAACTCTCATCCCCTCCTTAACCCTCATCCACTCTTTAACCCTCATCCACTCTCATAAATCTTCACCCCCTCTTAGCACCAACCTACCCAGCCTCACTCTCTCTCTCAACCCTCATCCCCTCCCTTAATAATAAATTAATATTAAAATTAGCATAGTCCCTATGAGTAATAACTTTTGGCTGTAAAAGAGATACTACCAATCATCGATTCATTAGTCAAGAAAATAGGATCCAACGAAGTTGATCTGGACATTCTAGTGGGCTGCCGAACTATTTGAACAAAGTTGTAATTTTCAAACAGTTTAGTGAGAGGATTTGATGCTATACTGCGTTTATGGACTGAAGCACTTCCTCGAGTAAAATAATAATAATACTTTGTTTGAGGCAGCTAAATCAATACTTTTGCGGATTTGTATGGACGAAATCCTTGAGTGCGATAGTAAATCATCTATTGTTAGTTATACCTCTCAAACTCAAGACAAACAAGACATTAAAGACTTTGGGAAGAGTGTCGATTAGAAACCTATGGATTTTGGCATTGACAAGTATATGATATCGGTTGTCGTAACTCTTCGTGTTTATCTACAAAATGTAGTCCTGAATGACATTTAACTTCTGCAAGGCACCGTATAAGGGAGTCTACAAGTATATCAAGAGTAAAAACTTACACATAATCTGCCTTATTTGATAAAAGATAAAGACTGTGCAGGTGATCTTGTCTCATGAGAAGTGTGAGAAGAGCATTTTATTTATATAAAGCAGGAAAAGTACTGGACCATGCACAGTTCCCTGTGTGACTTTCAATTGGTTCACTGAAGATACCATTTACTCTAAAGTGAGTATTTCTATCTGATAGATTAAGCATGTTTTTCATGGTTAACTTCGCCAAGTCTAGACACCAACAAAAACACGTTTTGTTTTCAAGTCCAAATTGTTTGAAATTTCATTAATTAACGCAAACATTGCGTCAACTGTGCTTTTCCCTTTTTGAAAGCCATACCGATGGTTATGGAAACTTTTGTTCTCTACCAAAATCTACCAATCGTTATATCTAACCAAAAAGAGCTGCATCACTATCTAAAGTCGGCCACCAAATTTCAATAGGCAACTTTTACCTTCAACGTGACGCTCCGATTTCTGCAAAACTCCTCCGAAAGACTAACCACCTGGTCTTCGGTTACGAAGGTGGTACCGTCAGCTCGATAGTCCAGCGAAAACGACAACCCGAATCGTACTTCCTTAATATCCTTCAAACGGCTCCTCTGAGAATACGATATGCAATATCTCACGTGAAACGCACTCGTATCAGTGCTGATCGTGCTGACGCTCGACCCCAGACTCAACGTGTAGTCTATAATATTGTAGCTTGTTATTATAAACAGCTGGTCGGATTTGTAAGCACCTATGGCGACATCTACAACTCTCACGTAAGATTTGAAGAGAGGACAATGATCGCACAGTACCGTTATGGCCGTTCTGATCGATGTCAGCTCCTCTGGATACGCCCAGACCGAACCCTCTAACCAGATTCGAAGCCCTTATGTTCAGTTCTAACGGAGATAGTCGCTGACTGTACTTGCGTTCCAACCCTTCCGGATTGCCTCTGTAAATGTAGACGGCACCGATGCCATCGTCTTCGTAGGGCGCGGATATGGCAACATCTAATGAGAAAATGAGTAGATCACGTTTTGTGCTAAAACAAAAACCATCTACACATACCACTGAAGGAATCCAAATCAAAGTCGCCCAGTGAAACCATGGCTGCACCAAATCTACCGCCCGATTTGCTGGAGCCCACCAGTTTTACTACGCTGCTGGGTTTCTGAAAGGAAATATCTCGCTTAGAGAGATTGTTATGACTAAGTGGACGATACAGTATGTTTTCTATGTACTCGACCAATTATCGGTAACAGGAAACCGTAACAACCCAGAACCCAGAATCCAGAAGGTTTGCAAATAGGACTTACGTTCTTATCTAGCATTCTATAGAAGCAAACGTATCCTTCGTCCCAAGTACGACCCTGAGCCAAGGGCGCTCCTATAAAGACGTCATCGATGCCGTCATTCGTGACGTCAGCGGCCAGTAAAGTCGAACCGTAATATGAGCCGACATCTTCGCCTTGGAACGTGATGGTTTTCTTGATTTTCTCCGCGGACGAAATGTCGTATTGGTAAACCAGCACCTGCATTTCGAAAAACGCGTATGTGACTGGTTTCAACCAGAAAATCCGAAAGACGAACCTTGCCCTTAAGGTTGTTGGACCTCGGGGCGCCTGCGATATACCAAATGCTCTTTCTCGTAGGCTCGAATCTAGCGGTGGTCACTTTGTATCCTGTAAGATAATGTGGTACAGGATTTTCATTTACATTTTGATACCTATTAACTAAAAGGTCTAGGAAAAGCTTTTTACGTAATAAAAGTTGCGTGATTTTCTTCTCTATTATCTTTTAATAATAATAAACTTTTTTGGATAACACTCTGTATATTTGTAATCAGCATAGAGTTCTGCATCTCGATTTTAAAAATATACAGGGTGTTTGTCAATAATTAAAGTGGCGGTTTTTTAAAAAGAAAACTTCATATGTCCTAAACGTCTTAACTATTGAGTTACAGGGCGGATAAGTTTTCAAAAATAAGATTTTTTTTTTAATATCTGACTTACCACTTTAGATATTTTCACGAAATTTAGCACACGTGTATTACGTATCAAGAGGCGCAATTGTGCCAAAATTTTTTTTAAATGCACCAGTGGCAGGCCTACGGAATTTCACCTGTGTAGACGTTAATGGCACGCAACTGATTTTTCTTAAAATAAAAATTATCCTTACAATACTTAAAGCAATCAAAGTACGAATACGTACGTGAATAAGTACGTAAACTCTGAGGTGTATGTTTGAAATCTTTCTTTCTTATCATTGTAATAGGCTGTGTCTGTAAGAATTATTAATTCCGTCGTCAAAACCGTTGTTTGACATCAGTTTTTAAGTTTAGTTGTTCGCGTCTAATTAATTTGGTGTTTAAAACATCCAAACATTATTATTTACTAATGAGGAGTTGGCAGATGCATGTGTTATATATTATTCGTCTGATGGCAGTGTGCCGAAAGTTAGGCGATTATACGAAGAGCGCTTTCCTAATAGAGCCTTACCAGATAGGCCGATATTTTCAAATGTACCTAGAAGGTTGACTGGAACAAGAACTTTAAGGACAAAATTTCATTTACAAGGGGTCCATCGGACTGTAAGAACTCCAGAAGCAGACATTGAGAAGAAACAAATGAATACTCATTATTTAAAGAATTATATGGAAACATTAATCGCTGATATTACTTTTTACTAATATAGTAAATATTAAGGCGATTGACGATATGATATGACACAGTAGGCTAGTAAGTTAAATGTTACCTAATGTATTAAAAAAGAAGTAGAGAGAGAGAGAGAAAAGAAAATAGCTTAGGAATTGGGTGTATCTATTGCAAATGGAAATGAATGGTAGTACAATTTGGATGAATACTTGAGAACCATAATAATTGTATATTTGTGTCAATTATTAAGATTGTGGACATCAGTTCTAAAATTTATTTTATTACGATAATATGATGGAGATCTCAAATTAATAATTTTGTGGAATCTATCTGCAACTGTTATTTAACAATAATAGAGACTGTCGCAATAGTTTAAACGTGCCAAGAATACGGAATCGCACAGAAATGTTATAAAGATTTTGTAACAAAAAATTAATTAAATTATTTATGTTTTCTTTTAAATAAATGCATAAATTCAAGTCAAGTATTTCCTAAGAGTCTTTGAGTCGATCTAATGATATATGTTTTCTAAATTCCTATATTCCAAAAAAAAATTGAATTTATCCAAATTCGAAATCACTTTGGTCCGCATTATTTTGGATAATCGGGACTATACTGTATGTGAAATATGCGAAGCTTAGGTCTTCACTGATTTTTATCCAAAAAAAATATTATCTACCCTGATTCCCACGAATTTGCTGCTGTTAAACTTTAAACAATGTCTTTTCCAAAATTTCGGCGGTCTGACACAAATCGTCGTTTATTGCTGCCATTGTTTGCTGAGATTCTTTCGGCTTAATCGAAATATATAGCTGTGTATCTGATGACACGATGAAAAAGCAAATGCGAAATTTGAAGCATAAATAGAAAAAAAATTAGATCCTAGTACCGAACCCCGCGGAAGTCACAAGTTTGACGTCTATAATTTGCAACTTGCACTAAAGTGCACATCTATAGCCTAAGTTTTTCGAAAAGCTTGGGAAAGATAGGTAAGATGCTAATTGGTCAAATGTTAGTGGAAGTCACAGAAGTGGCAACCTTGGAAAAAGTGAGTTTATAATACAAAAATTAATTAAATGAAGGAATAAAAAGGGTAAACATAATTATGCTCTTTATCAGATTGAAAACGTCCATTTTCTCGACACAAACTTAAATAATTCAATGGTAGTTAGAGTAAAAAATTCATTGTTGAGCATCAGCTGGAAGATGGTTCTTTGGTTATCTTAAGCAAAAATATAGAGGACGTTCCACTTGTTTTTTTACTTTTGCTTTTGCATTAGTAAATTCAGAAGATAATAAAAAAACATACAACTTTTATGTGAAAAGTTCTCGCCCCTTTAATAAACCTAGTAGGAGGTTGTCAAAATATAAAGGAAAACCCTGTATGAAGGTGCGTAATACCCGTATAAGAATCTTCTTCGTCGGGATCTGGCATCCTTCGGTTGGGTAGAACGCTGTACGAGTTATCGACCAAGCCGTACGTCACTGTGGCACCTATTCATTGATCTATTAAAATCGTTTACCGGACCACAGTTAATACGACCCCCTACCGTTAAACTTTTTGATTCCAGGCGCCCCTAGCAGCACCTCATTCGATCCCTGAAAAATTTTGAAATATTAATTTCGCTGTACCATGGATACTTTCGCGAATGCGAGGTTGCCAGATCTATTCCAAATGGAACGAAGTAAATTTTATTACCGATCGCGATCCTACTATAATCATGGCGTTTGAACAAAAAACAAAATACCGGTAATTTCAGGAAAACATTCTGCTAATTAAAATTTAAAAAAATTATGTTAATAAACATGTATTTTACAACCTCCAACTGCTTCCACATTCTCAAAGAATAACGAATGACGTAATTTCAGAAACCATTGACGTTGGGTGCATGTAATTTTGTGATAAATGAAAATACTATACCACGTTCATCCCCATTGCTTAGGAAACATTACGTTTTAAGTGGGCATTTATAAATACAGATCCTAGATGGCGGGTCAATTTTCATTTTTGACGTTACTGTAACTGTTGCAGATGTTCTCTGGATCAACGGTTCAGAAATTTTTAATAATTTGAGACAAATAGTGGTATCTAGTTGACGGTTCGTTGGTTGGTCTTGTATATCTCTTTGAGGCAATAAGTTGATATGCGTTACGAGTATATCTGGCAACATCGCATGGTCAAAAATATTTGTACATCCGAAAAGCCCTTAGCAGATGCCATACAATGACGTAAAATTATGTAAAATAATACAGTGTTCTATTTATGACGTAATGACCTATAGAAAAAGCTAAGAAATTAATAATTTTCTCTGTTTTTCGACCAAAACATAGCTTCAATTAAATTTTTGTTACTACGACACGGGATCCAGTAGAAAAGTAAGATTCTCGAGATAGCTCAAGTAGGTTCTGTATATTCTTGTTTAATATGTACGTAGAAAACATTGTTCAAAAGGCTCTAAATGGTCTTGGATTTATTTTACGGGTGACTAATGGGTTTAATAATCAAAAATCTTTGATAATACTTTTTTACAGTCTTGTCAGACCCGTATTGGAATGTGCTACACATATGCTACAATGCTATGAGTTATAGATTTAATAGATTTTTTTCATTCATTATTTCTTTATAAAGTTGGGAACAATTTGATTGACGTTAGAAGTTTGCTTTCAAAAATAATAAAAAATTTTTTTTTTTAAATGACACAACCAACCCCGGGATAGTGAACGCGTCTCCGCTCTGAAGCCTACTGTAATAAATAGCAAAAAATTATTTAAACTCGTCCACTGACAAGCAATCTTTTTTTTGTGACATTTTGTGCTTTCCATTTGTTGGACAACTGCGCCTGTCTGTAGAAAAGACTTGTTTATAAATAAATAATGGTATGCGATATGGGAAACTCCAAATTTGAGTCAATGAGTAAATGAAATACTTATGTTTTAAAGTTTCCAAAGCTTAACGGAAAATTGGACAATAAAACCTTGTAATATTTTCGCGTCAACTGGTGTCTTGGATATACGAAGGTCAGCCGCTGCCCTAATGAATCACTCTGCGTTATGCTAAAACCGCAATTTATCTGCGAGTGCAACGACAGTCAATGCCGTTCGTGATGGATCATGGCGGTTAATAATTGCGGGGTTATCTCTGAGTGAGATAAAACTTTTTTAGTTTTGGTTGGTTGCTTATATTATTGTTCCTAAAGTATGAATTACCTGTATGTACGCGACATCAAATCCGGCCATCGCAAATCCATAGTCGTAATAATTCCTTCGGGAAGCGTCGCAACACTGTATTTCTGGAAAGTTCAACCAATCAAATCACAAACATGATGAAAAAATTTGATTATAAACTGTAAAAAGGAAATTTTTATTTTTTTATTCATTATCTCATTGGTTTCAAATGAGAAAATTATAAATACAAAACTGATAACACACGCGTAGACGCCTAGACATTTAAAAAACATATACTCCGTTAAAACACTTGGTTGCCTGTCAACTGTCAAGAGCTTGTCTCGAAAGCTTAGTCCGTCGTTAATATCCGTGAATTTTGGACTTTTTTAAAGCGAGAAGCAATGAAAATTATTATAAATACGACTATGTGAAATTCGATGGTTCAATTTAAACCGGCCATGCCCGGCGTCATCATAAACTTACCGCTGCTCTCCTGAAAAGGATTCAAGTCCTTGGAGGTCGCGCTGTCGTGGAAAATGCACAATCCTTTCGCGTAGTGCATGTATTTTTTTTCGGTGACGTGGCGAGGCGCGCAGGCCTATACGTGACGAATGAAATCAGAACGTTAGAATTTCATTATACAGGGTCTTTCAAAACATACCAGCCATAGAACACCAACATATTGTATCAAAATAATTCCCTTTTGCAAATAAACGTATGTCCATAAGTCAATACTTGTAAGTTTAGCGAATACTGTGAAATAAGTTTGTAGTAGGCATAATTTCACACGATAATTGCTAAATTACACGTTAATATTAAACAAAATTTGTGACAATACTTTTTAAACTTTAAAATGACATTTATATTGTAATTTAGTGATAGTGATTTTATAGTATAAGAAATGCCTACAAACGCCTTTTTAAAAGTACTTTGTTGTTTGTCGTACTGTTTGTTTGTTATTAATATGCATTTAATTGTTGTTTACTTGATGAAAATTCATTTAACAAAATAAATAAGAACTGGAAGTTCAGATTTTCACGATATATATTCACAAACTACCTGCTACTATATATATGTCGACAAATGACAATAAAAACTTAATTAATGTTGTTGTGAGAATTTAAGTTTAATAATGGACAGGTATTTAAATCTAATTCATCGTTAAGCAATACATTCGAATGTCTCATTTTGATAATCTCCATGGCTTCCAATAAATTTAATTTTCTACTTTTTGTGGCTGTATGTAAAACATAAAAATTGTCGTCAAAAATGTGTTTTTCTGTGTTTAAGTCTGTAGCATAATTAGAATCTAGACTATTATTTTTCAACGCTTTTTTATGTTTGTTAATGTGTTTCTTGAAGGATGTACCTGTTTTTAGGACATGATCCACATTTCAACCTGTAGACACCTGATTTTTGAGATTTTGGACACTTCGTTTTATTGTTTTTTTTTATTTTTTTAAAAACAATGAAACGAAGTGTCATTTGTCGGTATATATAGTAGCAGGTAGTTTATTAATATTACATTTGATAAAGACACGGTACTGTCGAAGCCACTGTCATGTGAATATATATAATTTCGTGAAAATCTGAACTTTTAGTTCTTTTTTTTTTTTTTTTTTCATATAAATTGTGTGCACGAATAGAGCGTATTTTACGATAAAATGTCGTTCTTTCAGAAAGATTCTGCTATTTTTCCTACACATCTGATCGTAAATTTTTATACAGGGTGTTTTCCAATTGACTGTCCACATTTAAGCATTATGTACTAATCGTCTTAACTTATTAGATTCAGGATGGTAAAGTTTTGTTAAAAATTTTGTTAAAAATGATTAATATTAGGATGTGTTTTTTCTTTAAATTCGTATCGTTTATTATTTTTCTTAAAACTGTAAAAGTAACAACACCAGTCTTCTAATATTTTTTTCTGAAGGACACTTTGGACAGTTGGTAACTAAAAACTACATATTTTGTTTCATAAAAAAAAATCTCGATTTAACCAATGCAGTGGCGACCTAAATAACCAAAATATTATTTGCTTATAGTGGCACACCACTGATTAGTAGGCTGCGAAAAAAAATTGAAGTCTTGTGTCTAATAGTTTTTTATTGACAGCATTTTAAACAAAACGTGTCCGAAAAAATGTCACAAATAACGCAAATTGAGTATAGAGCAGTCATAAAGTTTTTGACAAAAGAAGGGTTGGCACCTAAAATTATTAAAGAAAGGCTGTGTACGGCCAAAGTTCTCCTTCGTATTCTGTAGTGAAAGAATGGGCAAAACGATGATTCAAGAACCAGTGGAATTCATAACGGAAGATATTGTTGCGATTGTGGAAGGGGTGGTATTGAGTGATCGACGTTTAAAGGTCCAGGAAATATCAGAAATTACTAAGCTTTCTGATACAAGTGTTCGTCGAATCCTGCATGATTATTTAGGTATGCATAAGGTTAGTGCAAGATGGGTTCCTAAAAACGTTTCGGCTATTCAAAAACAACGCCGTGTCGAGTGTGCGCGGTCTTTTTTGTAACTCTGTGGGTCGGAACCGAAGCCTGGAATAGAAACTATGGTGACGGGAGATGAAACTATGGTTCTCTGTTATGACCCTCTATCGAAAAAAGAATCAATGGAATGGCGTCGTAAGGGTGAAGCACCTCCAAGAAAATTTAGAGTCTGCCAGTCAACAAAAAAGGTGATGGCAACGATCTTTTGGTTTTGTGAAGGAATTCTTTTGACAGATTTTAAAGAAACTAATACCACTGTCAATGGTAAATATTACGCAACATTATTACATAAATTGCGAGACAAAGACGTGCGTCTTTTGCACGATAATGCACCTATCCATACTGCTGGTGTTGCACAAGCTACCATTTTAGAGTGTGGGTTCCAACAGATAGATCATCCTCCCTATAGTCCAGATATGGTCCCCAGCGACTATGAAAGTTTTGTCCAAGTTTCCTTTGACAAGTCCTTTAAGGACATTACTTTGTTTTCGAGCTTCCAAATGGTCTAGATCGTGGAAAGACCCTTGGCTAACGTTACACGTTAGCTTAATTGTTACATTTGAAAGTTAAGAGACATTCCGTTTAGTATACGTACCGTAAACGCTCCTCCAGCATGATCTTGACCGTCTATGGCCGAACCAAAAAAGTTGCTAGCGGATGAGATCGTACCTAGAATATTTTTAATGATAATTTTTATCGAAATCCCAAGAAATTGCCCAGAATTGTGAGTGATATACATGAAATGTGGATTACAATGGTATTTTATATTGTGTCATCAATGAAAAATCCATTTGATAGTGTGATAAGGTGATTTCAGGTATATGCACCAACGAAAACACTTGAATGACTAATGAAACACTAGGAGACTTTCTAACATAAGCGTGAACGCAGTGTTTTACGACTTACCAAGATTAATAGCCAATTTTGTGCACGGATTTTGGCCGTTCAAAACGCATTTATAGACAGACCCTCCATCGTGGTTTTCATTTCCTTTAGGTGCCCCGACAATTATCCTATAGCAATTTAGATTAATAATACAGGATATTGGACAGACCGTCTTCTACAGATAATTAAGTAAATTGGGTCGAATTTCAAAGGATTCCGTTTGGAAACAATTTACAAATATTATTCGGTCTGCAAACTTCATTTTTGACCTAAAATGTTAAATACAGATGGCCTTTCTGGAATGACGTCACGATGGTTTATAATAACGTCTTTCTGATATTAATTATATTTTAGCATCCCTAACCTAAATGTATACAGTGATATTTTTGATTAGATTGTATGGCTAAATTGTGTTTCATTTGAAGCTCGTTCAATTACATCTTGCAAAAGTTTATAAAGATTCACAACAAATCAATGTCAGCGTAACAAAAACCGACATAGCTAATGATTTTCTTCAATTTTTTTGTCTCTGTCAGTCGACATAGATTAAACCAAAATAACCAAAAATAACGTCATTCCAGAAAGGTAATTCCCTCACTATATCTCCGAAACGGTGAAATTTAGGTATCCTAAGAATCCCTCGCGGAAAATCCGGATATGGCGCTGTCATGAAAATATATTTAGCAGGAATGCCCCCAATTTCCAAATTTTTTATAGTTATAGATCTACGAATTTCCCGATTGGACACCCTGTATATACCAGTTTATTAAATATTCCCAAACAAATAAATGAACCATAAAAACACAGGTTTAGTTTTTTGCTTTCAAACATTTTAACCAAGTGGAATTTTAGAAGTTTTATCCTTTCTTTCAGCTGGTGCAGCCTAAATCTCGAGATACGATAAATAATCAATACTTAAAATACTTTTCAATAGAACAAAACTTACTTTAAGCAAATTAATTTATTTGAATAAGCATCTTGTGAGATTAAACAGCTATTATAGTATACTTAATGAGTTTATTATTAAAATTATGTGATATAGCTCATTTGATTCGAAATTACGTCTAGATCATTATGCGAAAAAAGCGGACTGGTACCTTAAAAATTTCAAAAGTAATAAACAATTAGAGATGATAAAAAGTTGTTTTCAGTTTTTTGCTTGTACTTCGTAAACTATTTTTTTGTTAATTTTGAACAAAAGATCCTTAAAGAGGAGCAAATTTAAAAAAAAAGTTTGGATTCCCGAAACTGTACCTCCATTATTAATAACTCTAATTTAACGTTGATAAATATTGAAATTACGCGGGTGGCATCGCAAGTTAGTAAGTTACAATCAAAAAAAATTTTTTAGGTTATATAAAGTAGACTTAAAAATCTAAAAAATTATGATGTAATATAAATACTTTAAAAAACCGATTTCCGTTGGAATTTTTCATTAAAGTTAATTTTCCAATGTACTGGACCATTTTTAATTAACAACTTTTCCGGAACTTCCTTTATCATTGCAAATTTCAAGAAATATTTAAATAATTGCTTTAAATATTTTTAGCTTTGTGAAACCTTTCTTGTATACCCATGAAATAAGATTTTATAATAAAAGTGACTTTAATATTTTGTTTATAATTTTTTTAAGTTAATAAAAAAATTTTTTTCATTTGTCATTAACCCACCATTTTTATGTCAACAAAAGACATTTACTAACCACAAATATATAGCTCCATTTGTTTATAATTTTTTTGTAAACAAATGGACTGTTCCAATATATAAAAATTGTCTTTTATGATTTAAAAAATAAATTCTTAATACTAAACGTTTTTTTATGTAGCTATTGTTTTAATAATTAATTAACATTTTTTTAAAAACGTAATTGACAGTTCTCTAAAAATTAACAAATATTAACAAAATATTTAAATAAATATAAAATTTTAAATTATATTATAAACAACATTGACGTTACTTTTTTTTCTGAAAGTTTTAAAAATTAAAAAACATCATAAATCATAAACGACAGTTCTTCATGAATTTGTAAAAAAGAAACTAATATTGAAATAGTCCATTTGTTTACAAGATTTTTAAAGCCAAATGGTGCAAAATTATTTTTTTTAGTTAATAAATGTCTTTTGTTGACTTAAAAACGGTAAGTTAATGACAAATGAAATAAAAAAAAACAGTACGGACAATTTTCTTTTTTTGTTAATTGTTAACTTAAAAAAATAATTATAAACAAAGTATCAAATTTATTCAAACTTCTATCACACTGTCTTATTTTATAGGTATACAAGAAAGGCTCCACGAAGAGAAAAAATTTTATGGCAATTATTTAAATATTTTTTTTAATTTGTAATGATAAAGGACGTATCGGAAAAAGTTGTTAATTAACAATGGTCTAGTTTATTGGAAAATTAACGAAAAATTCCACCGGGAATCGGTTTTTTGAAATGTTTAAATTATACCATAATTTAAATTAATTTTAATACTTCATAGATAAAAAAAATTATTGTAACTTACTAACTCAATATGGCGAGCGGATGGCAATGTTAAATTAAAATTATTTATAATAGAGGTGCAGTTTCTGTAATCCGGACCTTTTTTAGTAAATTTTCTCCTCTTTAAGGATCTTTTATTCAAAATCCAAAAAAAAATTATTTTACAAACTATAAGCAAAAAGCTAACCATCTCTAATTGTTAATAACTTTTGAAATTTTTAATCTACTGCAAAATGATCTTGACATAATTTTAGTAATAGTATATTCAATTCACGTCATTTCAATCTCATTAACTGGACTATTAAATGTTTCGCTTTTTTGCCCTTTTCCATTGCATTTTTTGGCAGTCTACAATCCCTTATATACACGCTTTTTTAATATTTAAATAAAGGTTTTATGAACTTTAACGTTTATTTCTTATATACAAGGAGCGGAGAAAAGGCAAAATGCATTTTTTGCATTGTTGTCTATTTTGCCAAACAGTGTTTCGACAGAAAAATTTTATCCTTTTTTCGTTTGCTGCACCTTTAAAGCAGCACAAAATTTAAAAATATTTTATTCTAACCTATTTCATGTTTCATTGTTTGGCTCATGGCATCAACAGGAGAGCGGAATGTATGAAAGGCCGATTTTCATTGGTCAATAATTTAATTAATCCAGCAAAAAAGTATTTCTAAAAGCACCATCACGTGTTCAATTTTATAACGAAAATTTTCTAAATATTATATTACTATTACGAATAGTAATAACTCGTTGCTTAACTAGAAGTTTTTTCCATTTATAAACATATGTTTACGTATAAAAGATACAATTTCCTTTTGGGAAATTTTCAAAAACATTCAGTTACCAATTGTTTTTATAACTGCAAAATTTGTGAATTTGTATGGTTGAATAATTAATTTTATCTTTATTTTCGAATCGCAAAAATATTTTGTCGCTGTAAGATTTTTATGTTTTAGATTTTATGTTTTGCAATTTGCCATGTAAGTATCAATGTGAATATGAATAAATATCTTTTATTACAATTTTTTTGTATCATCTTTATTTATTCAAATAGGTCTGTCGTATAGGTAAAAAATCATAATTATCTGTTATCTGATCTTAAATTTTTCAATTATAAAGAAATAGTTCTGGCTTTATTTAAAATAACATTAATGTTCATAACTTTTCGGAAAATTTTATGCATGCAGCGTGGAGCAAAGAAAAACTATAAAAAAAGGTGAAAATTGAAGAATAAAAATGGACTCTTTTCGAGTTTTAACTTTTATAATCGCAAAAAATATTTTGTCACTGTAAGATTCTTATGTTTTAGATTTTGTGTTTTGCAATTTGCCATGTGTGTATCAATGTGGATATGAATAAATAACTTTAATTGCGATTTTTTTGTTTGATTTTTATTTGTTCAAATAGGTCTGTCGTATAGATACAAAAATCATAATTATCTGTTATCTGATCATAATTATTCAATTATAAAGAAATAGTTCTGGCTTTATTTAAAATGACATTAATGTTCATAACTTTTCGGAAAATTTTATGCATTTACCGTGGAGCACAGAAAAACTCTAAAAAAGGTGAAAATTGGAAAACAAAAATGGATTCTTTTCGAGTTTTAACTTTTTTTTTAATCGCAAAAAATATTTTGTCACTGTAAGATTTTTATGTTTTATATTTTATGTTTTGCAATTTGCCATGTAAGTATCAATGCGAATATGAATAAATAACTTTTATTGCGATTTTTTTGTTTCATTTTTATTTATTCAAATAGGCACGACAGACCTACTGTAAAAAATCACAATTATGTGTTATCTGATCATAAATACTTAATTATAGAGAGATAGTTCTGGCTTTATTTAAAATGACATTAATGTTCATAACTTTTCGGGAAATTTTATGCATTTAGCGTGGAGCAAAGAAAAACTCTAAAAAAGGTGATAATTGAAGAACAAAAATGGACTCTTTTCGAGTTTTAACTTTTTTTTATAATCGCAAAAATATTTTACCACGGTAAGATTTTTATGTTTTGCAATTTGCCATGTAAGTATCAATGTGAATATGAACAAATATCTTTTATTACAATTTTTTTGTTTCATTTTTATTTGTTCAAATAGGTCTGTCGTATAGGTAAGAAATCATAATTATCTGTTATCTGATCATAATTATTCAATTATAAAGAAATAGTTCTGGCTTTATTTAAATTAACATTAATGTTCATAATTTTTCGGAAAGTTTTATGCATGCAGCGTGGAGCAAAGAAAAACTCTAAAAAAGGTGAAAATTGAAGAAGAAAAATGGACTCTTTCCATCAGGAATGTCATAGGTTGGTATTTTGGTCCAGAAATTCTGTCTCCAATTCTAGAATCACGAAATCTTACAGCAACTTACGTTGAAGGATTTCCTTGTTGCAGTAGGAGCGAATAAGAAAAATACGTATCGTTTACGCTTTCGTCGGTTATCACGCTCACATCCTTAGTGTTAAAACTGTAAGAACACACACCACAGCAATACACAACACACGGCACCAGCAGTCGGAAGATCATGTCTACGCGGCAACTGCATGAAGAAGTCAGAGAGGATGTTTAACTGCCGATTTTTAGGAACTTACTAACAGGAAACGTGCATTGATAAAACATTATAAACAAACATATCGACATTATGTTGTTATACATGTTTACAGAGGGAGTCAGGAAAATATTCTCAGAAAATATGTCACTACGTATGGCGACTAGGAATTTCCGCAATGCCTGTTTGTTATCAACATACTTTCTATAGAAATGCTAATCGTTCCCTCGAAAAGTATCCTAATAGGTAACCGAAAATGTCCTCTTCTGCTCTTTAATTATCGCACATTGGCAAAAAATGCATTTCATGGGAAAAATACTCTTTTCGGTTATTTTGTTGGTCCACTAAGTTTTACGCGAATTAGCAAGCCATTAAACAATAATGACCGTGATATTTTTTGTAAATCCATTCTCACCCAGACTGCGTCATCCGCCGTGAGTCAGAAATAATGTGACATTTGTCATTAAAAATACGTGTTTCTAAATTCCAGTTTGCGATGGTGTCAGTGTGAAGATCTTATGCATAGTTAAATGCAAGCCAAGAGGCTTATCAATCAATTATACTATATACAAGTGTCCCAAATTCGTCAAAGAAACCTCAAAACCCATAATGAACAACAAGCTCTTTATCAAAGATTAAAGTTTATTTACAAATGGAATAACATAACACAAACAATTGGGGATAACTTCTAGGTTATATGCTCAATTCATAGATTTTTAGGTTATTTCCAAAAATCAAGAGGGTGTAGGAAAAAATACGACTGAAGATATAAAAAAAGTAAAAAATTTATTAATCAAATGAGGCATCTTATATTAACATGTAAGAAAAACAGAATTTTTTGGTAGACATTAAATGATGGGAAATAATATAAATGAAAGTACACAAAGAAACAATGAAAATGAACTGAAGCACAATTTAAAGTCTAAGATGTCCCTGGTTGAAATACATAGATGTTTCATGTACATACATATATGCACTTAGTTTTTAATCATTTTATCACAATACCATGTGCGTAAAAAGGAAACAGAAAATTATATTTGACATTTGACTCAAGTAATAATCACCCCTTACATGTTAACTCTAAAAGTTTATTCGATTTAATCATCTGAATTCTCAGTAAAGCTACCAAAGAGAACTTTCCTTCAACATTCACCGAGTCTCTACAAAAACAGCAACTGTAATTCAACCAGTGCGTGGCATCTACAACCTGTTCTTATTTGAATAGACAGCCCTAATGTAATGTATAAATTCTGCAACAAAACAACTCTTTACTAAATTGATAAAGGAGGTGACTGTTCAACTTTATGTACAAATTTTTAAACCATTTGTTATATACACCTACTTAATTAGGGAAGCAATTACTTATTGTCCGGTGGATTTTCTGTAATTGGCCTTTTGAACAATAAGATGTGAGGTTCTGAAACAAATATAAAAATAAGAACCACACATATTGGCTTTGATAACTTTCATAAATCTAATTTCTAAAAAATAACCAAAAAGTGTTTTAGTATACCTGGGGCGTGAGTCATGTAATGAATCCAACCTTTGCTCTGTTGTACACCAATGCCTCTCCATTCTTCCTCGCTCATTAAACGCTGCTTTGGTACCAATTTAACCATTTCCTTAGGCAACACCACATGCCTAAAAACAAAAGAGTTGTTTGAGTGTAACTGCCAAACTACTGCCTTTACGTACTCACCGGTATTCATATTCATCGTCGTAATACTTGGAGGAATAAAATATACTATTCTGCAACTCTTCGCGATTCATTTTTGCGATTGGGATGCAATGTGTTAACAAAATAGGTAGCAATGTTTGAAAATTAAAGCTGTCATATAAAACGTTAAGCTTTCCTGCTTGCAGTATTTTTAATTGTGATACCAATGCACACTCTCATAATAACCCTAGACAATATGACCGCCTAAGTTTCGCACCGCACCACTTCCACGGTCTGGATTTACAGATAGGCTAATGAAGTTAAAGCAAGGAATTGTTTTTTAAGATAAATTATTTGCTTCACAATTTGAGTTGTAGGGAATGAAAATTAATTTGTTTTATTTTTTCGTTGGCATTCCTGGGAAGTTTTTTGTGGTCTGCGTCGCTTTTGTTATATGTTCTATTACTTCTTGCCGGCTTTTCGAAATCTCTTCTGTGCGTGACGGTGGCGACATCGTGACGCTTTTTTAAAGGTTTGGTGCTTGGTGCTTTTGCTTCTGGATATCGATAGCAACTTCTATTCCAGTTTAATTTTGCCGGTTGTGTGGGTAAGTAATATTTTTTTTGAAGAGAAATCGGTTAATTCGGTTAATTTTATTTCGTTTTTATGTTTCTATAATTGTACATTTTAAATGAATGTTGATCTCAAATAGTAAAAATGCTTAAGCAGCCCTTGGCTTGACTTGCAAAATGGCTTCTTTTCGTAAACAACCCTCACCCATTTAATTATTGTGTTTTATCGACTTTATTGTAGTTTATCGACTTCTTATCACATTCGATAAATTTTTAAATCAATGGGTGTCAGTTTTATTATGTTTAACCGGTTTTTTGTGGTTTTGGCGGGCAAATGGTGTGCCCTAAGAAATGGCGCTTGCAGTGCGTCTTCGTGCCCAATTTGATTAATAATTTGTATTACCAATATTATTTGTTTGTTGGATTGTGGTGGTTTATTTTATTTACATATTTCTATAAACATTCTCTTTCAGTCTCCCAGTAAGCCGCTAGTAATTGGGATTTTTTTGTTACAGTTATCAAGTTAATTTAATTCTACGAGAATAATGTCGGACGAAGAAACCCAAACTAAGCCTGCGGCCAGAAGGGGTCGCAAACCAGCAGCCGAAAAACGGCAAAAAAAAGTATGGTATTTATACATAATTCCAACTTTTAAATTTTTTAAGACAGTTTTCCCAGGAGGATAAATCTGAAAAAAATGTGGACGAAGCTGGAGATGCCCCCCCAAGCAAAAGAGGTAGAGGCAGGCCAAAAAAAGCGGCTGTCGCAAAAAAGGCAGAATCAAAAACTAATGGCAGTAAGTGTTGGCTATATAAATTTAATCAATGAGAAGTAACATACCAAAGCGTTAAATTAATGGATATTATTATTGTAATGTTTCTTTCAAAGTATGTTTTATTTCTAGCTACCAATGCGCGAAGAGGGAGGCCCAAGAAGGAAAAGAAGCAAGAGAGTTCCGCTGATGAGGACGAGAATGATAAAAGCAGTGAAGTTGAAGATGACGAATAAGCAATTGATAATTTATAATGAAATTTTATCCAGTGCCAGTGGATTACTTAGTGTTTAATTTTTTTTATTCATTTGTCTATTTGTAATCACACCCGCATAATATTTTGAATATTTAAAAATTAAAATGTAATGATTTCTCATATTTTTTTTATGTAAATGTTTTTTTGTCGTCTTGCACAATAAATAGTTTCTGATTTTCTAATAACTGTGTGACTTGTTCATTAAATTTTTGGGTTAATTGATCTCAAAAATGTATAAAGCAATCATTTTAGAAAGAAAACTTCATCTGAACTGTCCTAAACATGGTCAAGTTTTGAAAAATAGAATATCTCCAATCATTTCTAAAGAAATATAATTTATTGTTTTTTTTCAATCCGATGTACGTTTTCGCTTAAAAAAAAATAAAAACCTCTTCTCTGCATGGTCATGACAAAATCGTTAATATGAAAGAATGCCAAGAAATTAGTTTTTATTTTTAAATGAAAATCGTGCTAGGGACTAAAAAAAATTGAGAGATCAAATTTGCTCACAAATGAATTCCAATGTCATCATTTTTTTTTAAAGGAAATCAGTGGCGTGCCACTGACTGTCTATGAACAAATATTTTGGTTAATTAGGTCACCATTGCACTGGTTAAATCGAAAACTTTTTTTTTGTGAAAAAAAAATATCCATCTAAAACAAAATATCTAGTTTTCAGTTACCAACTAGTGTTCTTCAGAAAAAAATATTAGAAGACTTCTTTTTACTGTTACCTACAGTTTTAATTAAATAACAGAGTATCCTAATAGCAAGATAAATAATAAAAGATTTTTATTAAAAAAAAACTACCTACTGTCATTATTTTTTAACAAAATTGTCTGTTAATATATTAATAACAATCTTTTTGAAAAAAAGTAGAACATAGAAAGAAGATAAGTTGTTGTTGTACTCCACCTTGAATGACACGCTTCAGCTCTTCCTCGCACTCTTGAAAGTTTGTATACCTCCAGTGTTTCTTATTAAATCACAGGAATCTCTTATACAGTGTTAAGTGGGGTACGATAAACCAGAAAATAAAAAGTTTAAACTATTTAAATCTGGGAACCCAAGGGGAGCCATGGTTATGATGCGCCGCGACCTACTCATCGGTTATTAAATGTGTGAATTAAATATTCTCTTACTGCAACACTAAAGTGAGCAGGCGCGCCTTAGTGCATGAACCACATTCTGTTCCTTTTGGCAAATCCTCTTCTAAAAACCTTGATAATTATGGCCATTTTGTCTTTCTGACGGGAAAAAGGGTCCAATTAAGTAATTCCCAACAATTCCGCTCCAAATATTTAGCAAACACTTTCCTTGAAACAGGGGATAATGTTAATTAACCGAATTAATAAGACGCGAAGAACTGAATTTAAAAACTGATGTCAAACAACAGCCTTGACAACCGAATTAATAATTCTTACAGACACAGGCTACTACAATAATAAGAAATATTTATAAACAATTAGAAAATACACTTCAGAATTTACATACTTAGTATTCTTACTTAGATTTTTTGAAGTATTTTCATAAAATAATAATGACAACAATTCGCTGCAAGCTGTCACATTAACGATATTGTTATGAGCATGCAAAGAGGTTTTTATTTTTTTAAGTGAAACCCGTAACATCAGATTGAAAAAAGTCAAGAAATTAAATTTCTTGAGAAATAATTGGAGATTGTAAGAATAATTTTTATTTTAAGAGAAATCAGTGACGTACCATCAATGTCTGCCAAACCAGATAGGTGAAATTCCGTACGCCCGCCACTGGTGTATTAAAAAAAAATTGTTGTACACTAAATAATCCCTCTTGATTCCTAGTAGATGTATTCCAATTTTGAACTGAGATGGCTTTTACTTGATGAAAATAAAAAATAATTTCGTGAAAATCTGACCTTTTAGTTCTTATTATACCTTATGTACCTGTAATACCTTAAGTCGTATTACAGGTACATAAAAAGATATTTTATTTTTGAAAACTTGACCACCCTGTATCTCTAAAGTTAGATATTTAGAAAGTTTTCTAAAAATCGCCTCCTTAATTATTGACAATTATCATCAACATCTTGTATAATGCTCTAGGGGAAAGTTAGTGAAATTATCAATTTTCCTTCAAAAAAGTAATCTAAACATAAGGATGGAATTACTTTTTTTAAATAACAACCTCATACTGGACTTTAATCCGTATCGAAAACGTGTTTAGGGTAATCCAAGTTTATGTGAACGCAGAAGTACAGATCAGACATCAAATTTATCCGTTTTGTTCTATGCATGGTTTGAATGACTGCGAAACGGAAATCGCCTATGAACTGTCAAACGTCACGTCAGTTTTATTGAAAAAAAAACGAAGTGGCCAACTTCTTTTTGTCTGATTCACTTGCTCATTTGGCTTTGATGGTACATTGACAAATGTGTGCGTTTCGATGGCGCAAGATGTGTTTAGTAAAATGGCCGAGGATTCGTGGTTACTAAATGAGGATGGTTATCTAAAAGTGGATACAGATGTTAAAGAAATAATTTATCATCCATCGTTGAACGTAATCCTTATATGCACCAGCAGCGGTATAGTTCGTGTGCTAGATGTAAACTCGGGAGTGCTTCTCCAATCGAGTAATCTCTCGGGTAGGTATTCAAGTGACCCTTTTGCTAAAGAGATGACCCTGTCTTTGTGTAGCTATTAATCAAAATGAAGTAAAATGTCAATACATTCCTGGGGAAGACAGAGTCTTGTTTTGTGATGGTCAGGCGATTGGTGTAAGATCCCACTACAATGGGGTGTTACTTCTCGACAGCATTCTGCAGAAGACTTTATCGGATGGTAAAGAAATAGTGAAATTAGAATTGCCCCTATCAGAGGTAAGCCACTGTTGAATAAATGCTAAATTTTCAATGTGCAACATCTTTTTGTTGCAGGCCATTATATTGAAACAGAGCTTGAGCACCGCAGTGACTATTGTCAACCACTTGGGTACGGAACATATTGTGACTGAATTAAACAATGCAATTTTAAATGCCCAAAAGTTCTGTAAAAAGGGAATCAAAGCGCAAAAAGTAAGTGTTTTTATAACTTGGTCTTGTCTTAACTATCACTTTTGGACAATCCTTCGGTGTCTATTAAAGCTTTCGTTTCTTTACAGTGGAATACCGTATGTTTATCAATTCCGATAGGAGATTTAAGAACAATCATATCCTCTGTAGTGTCGGAGTTTGTAGCAAAAAAAATTCAAACTCCCGATTTGCAAGTGGTTTCTGCAGTGCAAGAAAGACTGTCAGAGTTATTGGATGAGCTGACTGTTACCTTAGATAAAAATTGCATGGCCAGCGAAGCTAGGCGAAGGGAGACATTTTCACAATGGCCTCACATGGATTACAAGTAAAAATTTGCTTTTTTTTTTAATCTTTCGTTGTAATTGCGTTTTATTTAATAGATGGGCTTTGCCGGAACAAATGGCACAGGCTGGATTTTACCATCAGCCAAATGCGTCCGGTGATGACAGGGTAATGTGCTTCACTTGTACGGTATGTTTGGTTAGTTGGGAACGTACCGACGAGCCTTGGAGCGAGCATGAGAGGCATTCTCCAACTTGCCCCTTTGTGGTCGGGGAGTACACACAAAATGTACCCATTTCTGTTACAAACGCAACGGGTAAGTGTCTTGTTATCTTTTCATTATGCATATATCGTGTATTACTCGATTTTAGGTCCCGCGATAGATTGCACTTTCGTAGGGTCAAACATCAACATTTTGGGTACCAGCAGCGTTCCTAAATTGTTCCCTACTTGCACCTCGGGGGGCCTTATAGCCGTGTTCGATATTTCGGGGAAAATTAAACGGACGCACGCGTTTGTTGTCACTCATTTCGATTCTCATATACTGGAACGTTTCACTCAAGACTTTGGAGTGCCGGGCATTTGGAATGAGGAAGCAAAAAGTTCCATAGAGAAAAACGTTACCGCCTTATCAATAGTCGGGGATAAAGGCGGCGACGGGAAAGATTCTACCCGTTCCCCTGTGAGGTCCACCATAATTTGTGGACTGAGCATAACTTCCCATTTGAACAACCGTAACGAGGATTTCGCGTCTACCGTGACCAAAACCTGGGTGGATCCTTCCGAGGATCGGAGGACGTGTTTATACTTGGTGGTTTACGATTTTCTGTACAAGAAGGAAGAGGAGGAGTCGGTCGCGGTGAACAGCGCCAAGGATAATAAGGAAAACGATTTGCTCGATTTCGATCACAAGATGCAGTTTTCGTGGGTCAGCGATCCGCCCGTCATGGATGGTTTGAACTCGACCGAGTTGCACACCAACGACGGTTACTCACTGATAAAAGAGCTGACTTCGTTTTATAAAACTTTGATCCCAGGTAATTAGATGATAGAGACCTCATATTTTTTAATAATATTTATATATCAAGGGGGGTGGCAACCGCCCAATATAAAATAAGATTCACATAAATAATAAAAAACAAAATATATATATATATATATATATATATATATATATATATATATATATATATATATATATATATATATATATATATATATATATATATATATATATATATATATATATATATATATATATATATATATATATATATATATATATATATATATTATGAATTAGGGCTCTGAAGATGGCTTCTTACTAAAACGAAACGTCGGATACAATTTTAAATCATTGCATCGTTTTCAGCGCGCCTAAAAACCTTAAAGCTCCCGAAATCACCTTAAAATTCCTATTATTATGAATTAGGGCTCTGAAAATGGCTTCGTACTAATATATATATATATATATATATATATATATATATATATATATATATATATATATATATATATATATATATAAGAATATATATATATACAAAACAAGTTAAATTTAAAACGAAGGTGGCGTTGAATTCGCAATAAGTTTGTACTATCCACAACCTAGCGGCAGAATGGTGTACTATACAAGCTCTGCGTGCGGCAATTCAATTCCGGTTTTTTATAGGTACCCCCTCGTATATAAGTAGATAAAAACATAGTTTTTCCATATTAAGCATAGCCTACATAATTTATTATTATTATTTTTTTATCATTGCTATAAAAACCTCACACACAGAAAAAAGTCGTCTTTTTATCTGAAACAAAAAAGAAGTTCTTCAAATATTTTCCTAAATTTTATATAAAATTATTAAGATATGAAATTGGGAATTAACTAACTAACCAACCGTTTTAGAACATTGTTAAGCAGCCATATTAAAAACAGAATATTAAGCTTCGCACAATGTTTCCAAATTTCGCAAATTACTTATTTCTACGTTTAACTGTCTAGGCGAAAAATTAACACTAACTACCAATGCATATTACTTACAAGTAAAATTAATTAAATCAATTTTTCAATATGTCCGCCGTTTCGAAGAATACGAGTAGTATTATGCTATTTCTAAAAGATATATGGCATTTTAGACGTAATTCAGATTCAGATACTGTACAAAAAAAGGAGCGCCATCTTACTGCCAAATTAAATATGGATGCTCTCTTTGTTTAATATTATTTTGTATAAGTGGTCGAATTTCGTTCCTTAATAAGTTTAAATATCGTACGGACGTTAAATGTTGTTGGTAAAATATGGGTCCTAAAATTTTAGATTTCCAGATTGCGCACCATACTTTCACGGATCTTCGCCCCCGGTTTTTGACTTCAAAACACATTTTTATTTTCTTAACCCCAATAATGCGTATTTTTTCTATTAAATAACACGGTCCAAATTATATTTTCAAAATATGTTATCTAAAAAATGCCTATCCATCATTATATTGCAAAATTCGAATCTTAAGTTAAAATTTGCTTGTTGTAGTTTTCGTACTGGTGTGAATTTAAATGGCTTATAGTTGTTAATTTTTAAACACGCTTGAAGAGTGCGGCAACGCGGGTGGAGGTCTCTGGAGTATTTTCAAAATGCAGAAGAATATGTAGCTGCATATTTTCATCCAAAACCGTTTTGGTGTAATTATTTTAAATTGTTCGTGTTCTGTATTAGGTTTCGGATTTGTTTTTATTTATAATTTTAACGATAATGGACGGATTGTAGCCGTTGTTCGGTGCAATTTGTTTAATGATATTAAGTTCTTTCTTGTAATTTTCTGTTGGGAGTGGCATATTAAGAAGTTGGTGTATAGAAGCGTGAGATGCAGCCATTTTGTGTGTATAAGGGTGATTTGAGCTATTATGTATGACTGTGTCCGTGTGTGAATGTTTATGGTAAATGGAAAAGTCTAATTTGTTTTGCGTAGTTAAGTCTAAAAAATTAATAGAGTTATTCTGAGTTAATGTAATTTAAAAAAGAATTCAATTTTCTGTCTGTGGATGTGATGATGGTGAAACAAGATTTATTAGATTGCTTAATAGTATCTTTAGATCAAAATTATTTTGAATTTAATGGACAGGTTTACCTCTCTAAGGAAGGTTTGGTTATGGGAAACCCGCTTATTCCTTTGTTAGCCGAGATTTTTATGGATAATTTGGAAAATATCGTACTAGAACATCCTTTAAAAGTTTTCTTTGGTGGTATATCTACGTGGATGATGTCTTTGCTTGCTTTGTTGGAAGGGACAGACAATTAAATTCTTTTTTAAATTACATTAACCCATTACATAATCGTATAAAATTCACTATCGAGATTGAACAGGATAACTCTATTAATTTTTTAGACTTAACTATAACAAAAGCGCAAAACAAATTAGATTTTTCAATATATCATAAACTTTCACACACGCACACAGTCATACATAACAGCTCAAATCACCCTTATACACACAAAATGGCTGCATTTCACTTTTTTATACACAGACTTCTTAATACGCCACTCTCAACAGAAAATTACAACAAAAAACTTGGATATCATTAAACAAATTGGACTGAACAACGGCTACAATCCGTCCATTATCGATAAAATTATAAATAAAAAATACAGAACACTAACAATTTAAAACAATTACATACATAGGAGAACCCAGTGAAAAAAATTCAAAACATTTGTCAAAATGTGGTATAAAAATAGCTTTCAAAACTAACAACACAATAGGAAAATTTTTAAAAAATAAATAAAACGAAATGTCCAAAATCACAAAAATCAGGTGTCTACAGGTTGAAATGCGGATCTTGTCCTAAAATTTATATTGGACAAACAGGTGGATCCTTCAAGAAACGCATTAACGAACATAAAAGAGCCTTTAAAAACAATAGTTTATATTCTAATTATGCTACACACAGAAAAATGCATTTTTGACGACAATTTTGATATTTTACATACAGCCACAAAAAGTAGAAAATAAAAAACTGTTGGAGCTGTTACATAAGCTAGTTACAAATACTACAAACAGGTAGATCCTTCAAGAAACGCATTAACGAACATAAAAGAGCGTTTCAAAACAATAGTCTGGATTCTAATTATGCTACATACAGCACATATAGCCACAAAAAGTAGAAAATTAAATTTATTTTAAGCCGTGGAGATTAACAAAATGAGACATTGAAATGTACTGCTTAACGATCAATTAGGTTCAACTACCTCTCCTTTCTTGAACTTAAATTCTCACAACTACATTAATTAAGTTTTTATTGTCATTTTTCGGTATATATAGTAGCAGGTAGTTTGTAAATATTACAAGTGATAGACACGGTGTTGTCGAAATAACTGTCATGTGAAAATATATAATTTCGGGAAAATCCGAACTTTTAGTTCTTATTTCTTTTGATTAGGATGTCGCAGTTATGCGAAAATTTTTTTAGCAATACAAATTTAATTTGTTTTAATGCAAACAAGAACGCGACAAATATATATTTTATTTTTAAGGAGAAAGTGACGAAGTATTCCTGCCGCCTTCCGAAAGTATCAGCGTCAAAAAAAATCACACGGGTCCGCGGGTGCTTTCGGTGGTGGACGTCGAGAACACCGAAGCGGACTCCTCGACCAGCGACGTCCTAAACGGCTTGACCAACGGTCCGTTGACCCCGCCGGAAAACTTGGAGCCGAGTATATCCGATCACATCGTCGATTTGAAGAACAACCAATCGGCAATACTGAAACTGAATTACGTCCGCGCGGTACAGTGCATACTGTTACCGGAACGCTGCAGGAACCGTAAAAATTTGGAAATATCGAACATTTTCCGTACCCAAGACGGCGGTCACCTATTCGTGACGGTGTCGAGTAAAAATTCCGAGTGTAGTTTTCTGTTAGTGTACGAGTTAGATTTTACCGGTAAGATGGTTAAGGTTAAGGAGGAAGCTGTGACCGTTAGGGAGTTGAGTGGTGGCGAACAACCGATTGAGGTCGACCTGTTGCCTGTTGCGGACAAACTGGGTTCGAGTGTGACCGCGAAACCAGGCGTCGGGATCAGGGGACACGCCGTCTCGGTATGTGCAGACGGGGCTGTGAGAATTGTCGACTTGGCAACGCTGCAGACGGCGTGCGTCGCGAAAATCGACGCGAAGAAATTCGTCTCCGCGACTTATTGCAATAGTAAGTCCTATCCCGCACGTGGCGGAATAGAATAATATAGAATAATTCCGATTTAACTAATCCGCATAGCCAGCGCACTAGGTTCCGTTTTGGTCAGTTTTCCTTCTCTCTATGAAACAAATGGCAGATAAAGAATGCTTGCTCGCTGAAATTTTAATGTAAACATATCTTCCTCTCGCTTCAAGTGACTATTCCTGAATGAATGTCCTTAAGGAGAAGATATTTGTTTTCGTTTCGTATTATCTAGCCAGGATTTTCATTTTTTTCCCCTTTTATAATGTTTATCACTTCCCTTCCTTCATCATTCTTTCCAGCAATGATTCATCAGACGACCTTTACATGCTGTGTGTTGATGTGTTTTTAATGTTTTGACATTTTGGTAAAGTTTGTGGCCCCATTGGTCATTAATTACCTTTTCTAAATAAGTGAATTTGGACACACCTTCTGTCATCTGACAGAGAATCTTCTCTCAAATAAACTATTGACAATTTTGAATGTCCTATTTGTTCCAAACAATGGCTATTACCCCGGCTATAATGAACTTGTTTACGGTTGGTCTGAATAATTCAGTGGTTGTTCTGGAAAACTACGTTCTACCCGTCCTACGCCTCACGGATCTCTCTTGTCATAGATTTTTCCCTGCAGAAGATCCTTAAGAAGAAGGTATTTGTTTTCGTCTCGCGTTATCTAGCCCGGATTTTCAAGCTTTTTCTTTTTGTAGTGTTTATCACTTCCCTTCTTCGTCATTCTTCTGAGATCCTGAGAGTTCTCCTGTATAGCCGCGTTTCAAATGCTTGAAGTGTTTTTTGTATTATCCTTACCAGTTTCAATGACTCTGCTTGGTAGAAGAGTCCAAATTGTGCCTTTTAATCTCTTGGGAGTGGACCCTTTGCTCATTAATTATCGTTCCCGAATAAACATATCTTTTTCTTGTTCTTCAAGCGACTATTCCTTCCAAACATTGATGATGACCCCGCCTATAATTGAATTTGTTTACTTTGCTCTGAATAATTCAGTGGTTGTTTTGGAAAACCACGTCCTTAATCCATGATGTCCTCGGCTTTCCAGGTCTCTCGTGTAGATTTTTACCTGGAAAATATCCTTAAGGAGAAGGTATTATATTTATTTTGGTTTTGCATATTCAGGTTTTTTCTTTTTATAGTGTTTATCACTTCCCTTCCCGTCATCATTAGAGATCCTCAAGGTCCTCAGAATTCGCCTGTATAGTCACGTGTCAAACGCCCAAAGTATTTTTTGGGTTACCTCTGTGGACTTGCTTAGCATTTAATCTCTTGAGAGCCGTCCCATTGCTCAGTAATTTTTGTTCCCAAATAAGTAAACTCTTTGACACTCCAGTATATTCTCTTTGATAAACAGTTGACAGTTTCCTGTTTGCTTATCATCATGAACTTGGTTTTACTTATGTGATTTTTAGACCATACCGTTCACTAGCATCGTACAAGTAAAACGTCAACATACAGAACATATTTTTAAGACATAAAGTAAACTACAATAAGTTTAGTTACGTAGCCGCTTGTTCCAAGTTTTAACATAAACATATCTTCTTCTTATTCTTCCAAGGGACTATTCTTACAAGACATTGACGATTACCAACCTATAATTGAACTTATTTACGGCTGCTCTGACAGTGGTTGTTCTGAAAAACTATGTTCTTAAATTCTTCAACCATGATGTCCTATGCCTTCCGGGTATCTCTTGTCATAGATTTTTCGCCGGAAATATCCTTAACGATTGTGTTTATCACTTCCCTTCCTTCGCTCATTCTTTCTAGTACTGATTCATTAGACATCTTTAAGAAACTCAGAATTCTTCTGTATAGCCACATTTCAAATTCTTGAAGCTTTTTTTTGCCTCTGCCAATGTAAATGACTACTCCATAGAAGAGTGCCCAAATTGTGACTTTTAAGTAGGTTTGACGTTTTGTTTTTTTTTACTCAGCATTTAATCTCTTGTGAGTGAACCCTTTGCTCATTAATTATCTTTCATAAATAAACATCATTATTCTTTCCAGTACTAATTCATCTTTTTTTTTTTGTTCTTGGTCCCAGCTTACCAATGTTCTTTTCATTAACTAAGAAACAAATCTCAGTACATCACCTTACAGAGAAAGGATGTAACGTACACATATCTTCTTCTTTTCATCAAGTGACTGTTCATTTCAAACATTGGCCATTACCCTGGCCATAATAGACTTGTTTACGGCCGCTCTGAATAATTCAGTGGTTGTTTTGGAAAACCACGTTCTCAAGTTCTTCAACCATATTTAGATTCAATATTGCAAGTTTTTTTCTTTTTATGGTATTTATCACTTCCATTCCTTCTTCATCATTCTCTCCAGACTGACAGTCTGATTTCAAATGCTTCAAGTCTCTTTTGGGTTGCCTCTGTCAATGTCAATGACTCTGTGGAAGAGTATCCTTGATGTTTAGATCGAAATTGTGCCTTTAAGCAGTTTTGATATTTTGGCAAAGTTTGTCTTGTTTTTTTTTTTCTTTATTCAGGACCAAGTAGGATGTAATTAGAAATAAACGTTTCACTTTGATTTAAAATTAATTAAAAAAGTGAAAATTTATTAGTATATCCATCCCCCATGATATCCAATGTATATCGAAATAAAATTCATATTACCATATATTGAGCAAAAATAATAAATTAACAACAAAATTATTCAAGAATTTTGAAAAAAATCGGTTTGGATTGGATGAAAATTACTTCCATATTATCCAATGTATATTATTGTAAAATTCTTATCATATTTCAAACAACAAATGAGAAATTCATCACTTTTTATTTCAAACCCTTAGAATGTTGAAATTTCAGGTTTAGACAGGCTGTGTGCCTCTACCAAAGAGGGTTCTCTGCATTTCTTCGCATTGAACGATACCGATAACGAATCGGTGGACGAGCACGAGGAAGACGAACTTTTCGGGCTTAATATTGACAGTTCGTTGCGGGAGTTGAGCTCGCTAGACAAAAACGAAGTAGTGCGCTGCTTTAAAGAACCACCCAACGTTATATCTGTAGAAGAATTAAGAAGTTTCCAGGGATTATGTCAGTTCACGCCAATCAGGTAACAATAAATAATAAATATCGCGGTAAGGATTCGGAACTATTATTATTTTCTTTAATAATGGAAATATCGGAGGCGTTAAATGGATCGTCATAGGTGAAACTGAGAATTTTATTTTAAAGGCTGGTTTATTCATGATATTTCTACGTCCGTTCTGTTCATTATTTGGATCTCGCATTCATCACGGCTGGGATTTAAAATTTGTTGTGTTTAGGTTTAGTTTTAAGTATTTAACCACAGTATACAAAACGTATGTGTAGCAACTCAACCCATCACTTTCTGACCGTTTTGAAGTTTATGTAAAATATAATCTGGAACCCTACAGAGTGCTCGAGCCCTCTCTAAAGGCAAACTGATTGTCATCCATTAAATTAATTTTTTTAGATATATTGAGAGCTTATACTTTATATACCTTTCAATTATTTTACTAACAGTGCTTATTAGTGCAATTGGTTACTAGTCAATTTTTCGTCACTGTGGTTAAATAGAGGAACAGCGATTGCATTTTTGTAAACTTCAGGAAAAACCCTACTACTGAACACCACATTCACAATATGCTTGAACGGGCTTAAGTGTACAATATTTATTTTTATTATTTCAGAGCTCTTTTTCGCACCAATATTTTATTTGATCCAAAATTTCAGGAATTTCGATTTACATTTTTCTCATTAATTATAGGACCGACACCGTTTCAATTAGATATTATTCTTGCCAACATTTTACCAACATTACAGAAGTAGGAGTTAAATTCATTCTTACAACTTCGTTTCTACATTTTTTATAATCATTTAAAAAATTTAAGTTATTTTTATTCAAAACGTTTACTTCTTCTGTTCAGTTCGTTAAGAGATAATTGTGGTGTCGTCAGGAAATGGTGTACAATGGGTAGGCTTGATAAAATGTGCAATATCATTTATATAAATGATTGCGCTCAGTATAATAAGATTTGAAAAGAGATATGACGGACTCTGACAACTTTTTGCAATAACAAACTATGATTGACGCAGTCGAAAGCCTTTGACGTGTATATCAAGAAGATAGACTTGCACCACACTCACAGCTTTTATAGTTGACTTTCCGGGTAAAAAACCTCACGGTTCATTAGCAAAAAATGAAATTTTTAGCAAGTACTCTAACAGCAAGTCTTTCAGAGTCAGAACATTCCTTAATCTATCAGCTGTTAATATTTTAAATATCTAACCAAGACGAATTGTTTAAAGTTTTCTGATTTGTGAGGAAAATTAAAGCATTTATCAAAATAACTGTGATTTCTACTGTGAAATGCTAGTTAAATACGAGCTAAAATCGCCCCAGCCGACGTCACAAGTTGATTTTAAAGTAAATCTATTTAGTTCAAAATTGATTAGTCTCCAAGAATCCTTGCTTTTATTATTTGAATTAAAAATAAAATTATTGAATTCTAGTTTTTTTTTGCTGTGATTTCGTGCCCTGTCTCATATTGAAATAGCTCAGTTTAACGACCACCGAATCGTTCCGAATTTTTGCCGCCGATACGATTCTCGATTGCATTTCGGTATTTAATCGATCGATCGATAGGGGTCCGTACAACGTGACGGTGCCGCTATGCTGGAGCGAATTCCAGCAAGCGATGAGGCAGAGAAAAAGTCCGTCGGCATTAAACAGCGAAGCTTGGACGAAAACGTGGCGACTGCAGACCGATACGACTACGTGGGAGGAGCATGTCTTCGAGATAACGCTCCCTTCGTACATGGTAACGTTGTTATTGCTAGGGTTGTGGAATTAATATAGCAGTAATAATAATAATTTTATTTAACACTTGGCTATTTACATAATCAAATTTACATAATTTAACTATGAACGCAAATACCCTGTAAACCTCTCGTTGGATACCAGGAAAAACGTGTTTTCAATATTATTCGGTAGTTCATTAAAACTATGAATAAAATCGTAGAATAGAGTTTTCCGTAGAAAGTAGTTTTTACTATAGAAAAATTGAAGTGCTTATTGGAAGGTATTTTACATTCCCAATTTAAGTTAGCCATTAAACTTGCTCTTTTAATGAACTGCATGACATTTAGCCAATTTAGCTGGTCTGACGTACTCTTTATATGAGCATATCAATCACAGTTCCGTATGATTCTCATAACCCTATTTTGTTGTAACTGTAATTTATTTAAATCTTTTTTCTACAAGATATAAGCACAAACATACGAAAAAGAAGGCCAAATTATGCTATTACAGTGAAAAAGTACTAAAGATATAAAGTACTCTCTAGGGGCCGGAAAATGAGTACTCTATGAGCGGAAGTACGCTATAAAAAATATGGGTACTAAAAAACGAAAGAAACTAAACTACCTAAACTAAAAACCTATGTATCTATATAAACTTTACAACATACAAGTCAAAATACATATTTTATTCTTTCTGAGTAAAAAAAATCATTATTTTTGTTTATTTGTTCTCAATACAAATTTCGTATTCTCGATGTGCTTCTCAACCTTCCAGGACGTTTGCATAATACCATCAGTTACATTATCAGTAGATTGTAAAAAATTTGTAACAATTTTAGCGGCACAAAGCGCTTCAGAATAACTTGGTACTTCGTCCTTCATTCAGCTGTAAAACTTAAAAAGTAATAATATAATTATCCATTGTTATTAAATTATCATTTAGCAAGCTGTCCAGTTCAGGAAGATGCATTTCAAGGTTGGTTAGATCTTGACCGCTATGGCGCAACCAACTACTTAGGGGAACCTCCCAGTCATCGTCGTCATTATTTTTGTACTTCTCATCTTCCGATTTTATCAGACCTGCATGTCGAAAGCAGTTTGAAATAGTGGTTGAAGTAACATCATTCCAACATTGTGCAAGTAATTTTATGGAGTCTAGGATAGTTGTTGATAGATGTTGAAAGGTTCCTTATTTTCAAATGACTGGATCAAACGACTTGTGAACACAACTGTTCACAGAAATACTGCATTTTTTATTCACAAGAGACTTCAGAGACTGAGATAAGCGTGTCATCAGCAAATAAGTTAACAAAGGAGTATTTTAAAACCTGATGCATATCATTTATATAAATAATATATAATAGCAGGCCCAACACACTTCCCTGCGGTACCCCCCATCTGCTATCCCTCTGACTAGAAACATTATTATTAATTTTAGTCTGGTGAGATCTATCAGAGAAAAAGTTCTTTATCCATTCTAGCGCAGAGTCTTTAATAAACACTCACAGTTAGTTTTGATTCGTTTATTTCCTTTCCACTAGACTGCCCACCATACAGCAGGCAGTTCCGATCCAGGTAGTCTCTCAACTGTCCACACACACCACCGGTCAATCTTTTTTATTTCAATTGACCGAAATAATTTTAAAAATACAATGAAATTTATATTTATTTATATATAGTTATTTATTTACGTCGCCATCGTGTCGTTCTGAGAACTAAACGTAATCCTTAAGTATGGTATTCGGGCATTCCTAGAAGAGGACTATATCACTCAGAGAAAAAACGTTGCAAGATTAAAAAAAAACGCCAAAATTTGATCAAAATTAAATATGATTTTGCTTAATTGGTAAATCAATAAGACGCTATATGATTCTATAATGTTTGCTTCAAACTAACATGTGCATGATGATTTTTATTACTTATTCTCATTAAAATCAAAGTGTTGTCTGCATTTGGTTTGTAAAAATAATAAAATAAACATCATAAAATATTATTTTAAATGTTTAAAATGACAATTTGATTAATTTAATAATAATAAAAATAATAACAATAGTAATAATAATGATGATGATAATAATAGTGAAAATAATTAGTAATAATAATATTTATTGCCAGAAATTCCTTTTATATAAAAAAAAATCTCTTTACAGTAAAGGACCTGTAGGGGTTAAATACTTCCCGTACAATTGCATATGAGTTATTTTATTTAATAATAATAATAATCTATTTTCCCAATCGACAAATACAATGTTTGACGGTCCGTCCAACTTTATAAAGCCGATAAAATCATAACAATAAACATCATTCTAGGTTCTGGGTCACGTGGACGTTCACTTCACCCTCCAAAATTCGACTTCGTTGCCGCACGTCGAGGTGACGCTCCTGCGTCAAACTAAAAGCGGCATCGGACACAACAGGGACGTGAGATTCGCGGTCGACGATACCGTTACAATAGACATGCTTCAATGGGTGGATAATCCGGTGGTGTCGGAAGAGTATTTGAGGGCCCAGAATGCCGACATCCTGGCGGGGCCGGTTAACCTCTCGTCCCATCTGGATTTGACCGACCAAAGCGGCATTGTCACACTGACCAGCCCTCGAATGTTTAAGCTTAAGGTATATAGACTTTTTTCTAGACGCTGTGTACTAAAAAACTTGAAATTTTCGTATTATCTACTCAATTTCAATGTTAGCCCTCCATTTGTCGTATTTGTCCCCGTTCTATAAAAATCATTGAAACCAAACCACTAACTGAGCTTGCTGCTAAGCTTCAGAAATCTTCTTTATATTCTTTATATTCTTGTATTCTTGTTTTTATAGATATATGCATAACATAACATAACATAAAAGCCACATTCAAAAACAAAATAATATTCTAATTAGGTGGCTGTGAAGTAGGTCTTCACCAAAAAACATGTTCGTTTATAACTGACAGCGACTGTTACCAGTTATGGCCTTAGCAAAATTTACGTTCTTGTTATTATCAAATGCCTTATTCTGAAAGAGAAAAACATTTAATTTTAGAAACGGTCGTTAAAGCAGAGCAAAGAGCTAAATTGACGTATGATTTGCCCTGAATGCACTTTCCAAACAAAAAAAACCTTTCATCGAATCTATGAAAAATTTCAATAAACATCCAGCCTAAATAACTTTTGAATTCTTCCTAAAAATCTAGACATGTTTCAGATATACCCCACACCTAAGTCCTATAGATTGTGACATATTTTGAATTTTATGTCAAAAGTCACCTTTGCAAGTCTAAATGACAATTTTCCCAACTGTAAGTGTGTGTAATATATTTGGGATTGATGAAGTTAACATTTAAATTTTATTCCACTTAACTTCTCATTTTTCGCTATTTTGGTTATTTTAATACAAAAAAATTATCTCTGTAAGCCTGTAAAACGTTTTTCTAAAAAAAAAAACGCAACTGAATATTGAACAAAATGCTAATAGTAAATAAAGCAAATTTTATTATTTACAACATTCAGACAAAAATATATAAAAATAAGATTTTTTATAAAAATTCATATTTTGAAAAATTATTTTAACATTTTTAATTTTTTCTATTATTCGTTTAAAATATTGTTTCTTGGAAGTGTCTAAATGTTTTTAATAAAAGTTGTTCCATTTTTAGGCATTAAACAAATTTCAAACATTTTACTATATGGTATACGCAATTTATAAATTAGAAAAAAAAATCGCAAAAAAAAGTCACCTTTAAGTTACGTTTAACGATTTTTTTTTTCAAAATTTTTATATTAGTTTTTGACCTCCCTATATTTATTTATATTTAAAATATTAACAAGGTCAAAAGTCAATTCCAAATAAACAAAGGCTCTCAGCCAAAGCAATTTAGACTTGGGAACGTCACTTTTGACATCAAATTAAAAATATGTCGGAATAGTCGGACTTTGTGGATTCCCATACCTATCTTTAGTGATTTTCGAGAAATTATTTCCTTTATTTTTGGAAAAAAATAGCTTTAATCAAATTTTTATTACCACGACACTGGAGCCAGTATTGTACATAATTTCTTACAGGGTTGGTTAAAACTAATGATTTGCCGACGAGATATAAAAATTGCGAAAAGTGCTTTTTTAAAAATGGGACGCCCTGTATCTTATCACATATGCTAAGAGTGAAGTAAATTCCCTTTCGAATTATATTAAATAGTTCATTTTCCGTTTGACAATTCAATAAAGATGTATCCATTATTGACTGTGGGTCCAAATTTTGTCGATAAAATCAGTTAAAAATGGAAGGAGACCAGTATTCACTTCATAGCCAGAACATATAAAAAAAATTATGAAACGCATTCTGATTTACAGCACATGAACAAGAGAAAATTTGCCAGAAGTAAGAAAAAAGGTGTACATTTTACAAAAAAAAATGTTTTAAAAGCTATTTACCCTAACAAACTATTAGGTACTTCAATTAAAAATTGCATACAGAAAAATTATATTAAGTGTTCGAAATGTTCACCATTGAATTCTAAAACTTTAAAATCCGTTGAGAAGTGGAAGTAGCCTATTTATCTATTTGTTCAAAGCATCGTACAATCGCACTTTTCGCACTCCATAGGTCAAAATCTAATGGCGTGAGATCGGGCCAATCCCATGGTTTGAACGTCGAAAGCAATGGTCATTAAATAATTCGTTTAATTCTTGTGAAACCTCTTCAGTGCACTAAGGTTCTCGAGAAAACCATCTACCACTGTTCTTAATATTTGCAGGTATTTTTTGCACGATTCAATCAATTAACCTATTTAGGTATAGGGGCATGATACATTATTCGAAAGGGAATTTAAGTTACTCTGGGAATATGTGATAATATACAGCGTGTTCGATATAATAAAATGCACTTGTCACAATTTTTGTATTTGATAGGCAAATCATTAGATTTGACCCGCCCTGTGTAACGTAGATTTAATTTCGATATTAAGAAATTATGTTCGGTACCTCTCTAAGCTATGTTCTAACTTTCAACTTAACCGCTGAAGATAGGATATACGAGGGCTACCTTTTATATTTCGGGATTTGTAATAAAAAACTATAAGCTACCAACCAACCAAATATGACTTTATTGTTTATCAAAATATTCACCCTGATAATCAATACACTTTTGCATTCGATAAAATCAATCATCAAAAAAGCACTTTTCCCACATTAAGTCGGGTACCTCCAAAACATGCTTTTTAAACGCATCAGTCGCTTCTTCTGGTGTCAAAAATCGTTGTCCACGTAATTTAATCTTAATGTCTGGGAATAAAAAGAAGTTTTTAGGTGCTAAATCAGGACTATATGGTGGATGGCTTATCAAATCAACGTTTTTAATGCTCAAAAAATTCTTTGTTTGCACTGATAGTGAGAGCTAGCTAGCATTGTCGTCATGAAGAGTGATTCGTCTTCAACGGTTGGTTTTTCTAATTTTATTCAGAATTCACTGTTTTACCTTTCACCAAAGAAACAGTTGTGAACGTGGCCAGTTTTCCTGAAAACACAAGCAACCATTTGTTTCGAGATGCTTCGCGCACGAAAAATTTTTGTGGGCTTTGTCTTATTCTGAAAGATCCACACAGTCGACTGATCTCAAATTGTGTGGAATCCAACACGAACAATTTTTTAGCGGTCAAATGTTCATGGAAAATTGTATGTATGCTGGTCCCGGTAATGCCTAAAGATACCTCAGTCTCTTGGTAAGTCACGTGACGATGATTTTGGACGACCCTTCACGAAATTCATCCTTAAGAACAACACTCTTTCCCCAAAACCTAACTGGATAAACCTAACCTCAAAATGTCAAACTTGCCCATAAAAACGTTATTCGCCAGATGGCAGGGCTAGTTTATGAAAATCTCGAAATATAAAAAGCGGACCTCGTATTATTCAAAAACAATCAAAACTGTAATGATACACGGGATATACAATGTTGATTTTTAATAAAATAAATTAATAATTCTTACTAGGATTACTGAAGTTCTACTGTACTTTTAAAATCCAATTGTAATGAAAAAAGACACTGTTAATAGTGAAACAAAATAGAAGCAGTGCATCTTTTGTTAAATAACTGAAGAATTTTTTAAGTTTTTCGCGGTTCGATATGATCGATTTCAATTGTAGGTTAGAAATCTGCTCCTTCACATAAGGGCGGTCTACGCGAAAGACGAAAACAAATTGGGCAAGCTGAAAAAGCAGGAGGGCAAAGTAACCATCAGCGTGGACAAGTTGGGTATGGCGTCGCAGAAAAGCGACTTCTACATGGGCTGCGACTGTATACACGAATTAAGTTTGGCCGTGTATAATCCGATGTCGTTCGTAACGACGCCACACGAAAAGACATTGAGGAACCTGATGCTCGAGTCGAACATTTTCGTCCAATCTCTAATCATGACGGCGGTCAATACCAACAATAGGGAAACTTTGGGCTTGGTGCTGGATATTTTGAATTGGCTGGCGGCAATCAGGCTGACACGGAACAGGGCCAATAGCGGCGAAGCTCCTAACCACCAGCTGGAGTTTATGTTTATCAACGGTATCGAGGACAACATGACCGGTTTGTTGAAGAGATGCCTGTTGCTGAGCGGGAGGAGCATAGCGCACAAGTGCATGAATTATATCATTACCTGTTGTCGGTGAGTCTATATGGTTTTGTTAAGCTCGAGGTATAACAAAAAATAAGTGTTGTTGCGTTATTAGGAACCGCACGATTTACAAATCTTCTGGATCATAGCGGTGTTCTAATTTAGTTATACTAGTTCTAAACGTAGATTCATCATGCTCCTCAAAAAACTGATTTACAGCTTCGATAACTTCTTGGGTGCTGTTAAATCTTTTACCGCCAAGCTATTTTTTGAGGTTAGAAAACAGGTAATAGTGGTTGGGGGGTCTGGAGAGTATAGACGTTACTTCAATTCGTGGATTTTGGACATGGAAACAATTGACGAATGCGCTAATGATGAGGTGATTTAATGTGTATCTCGTGGTGCAAACGTTGCAATAACTCTGAGTAGTATTGGGCCGTGATAGTCATACCCTTTTCAATATAATCAATGTATATAATTCCTTTCGCATCCCAAAAATTATAATTATAACCTTGTTTGTCTATAATTTTTTTTTTGTCTTCTTTGAAGTTGGTTCCCCTTTTGCAATCCACTGTTTCGACTGGTATTTATTTTCATGAGAGTATTGGTGGATCCAAGTCTAATTACATAGAAATTACGTAGGAATTGATTTTCAAATCATTTTTTGGCGGAAGGTTAGCAAACGCGGTACCCACCTTGCACACAGCTTTTCCACGCTCAAATGGTTCTGCAAAATATTTCGCACAAATTCAGCTGATATCCTACAAGTCTCAGCGATCTCATGCATTTTCAACCTGCGGTCTTCAACATTATTTGATGAACCCATTTTAAATTCAGAAACCCACTGCTTAATAGTTGAATATGATGGAGAAGAGTCGCCCAAATGTTGGATCCTTTTCTTTTTTATTTTGTTTTAGTGTAAAGCTGCAAATACAAGCTCGGTAGGAACGAGTGGTAGCGTAGGGCGCCGGTCCAAAAATAGATCTAGTGGCGCCACCTCTTGGTCAGACCGGAAACTTTTCACCCCACCCTCGTATTTGCTATAATTTTCGTTAAGATTGTTAATAAATACTTCTTTAATTTGGCGAAGAGGCAAATTATTCCAGAACAGTGTGGTTTTTTTCCAAAATCGATCAACTGAGATTAACCTGATTGTGTATACCGTGTACCTGAGCGAATGTATGGACAATCATGTTCAGGTCTACAAAGATGTCAGCGAGGCTTTTGATGACATAGACCATAGTTAAACAATGTGGAGGAGGTGTTATTGGAATTAAGTCATATCTGATGGGTAGAAAATTTAAAAGTCCATATTAATATACAGATTGCCACATCTGGGGTCCTTCAAGGTTCCCATTTAGGGCCTTTGTTTTTTATAAGTCATATTATTGATGTAGCGTAATGTTTTCTGTATAGAAAATTTTGTTTGTATGCTGACGACCTGAAAATTTTCAGAAAAATTACCACACCTTCCGACTGCATACAGTCGCAGGAAGATATTTAGATCTTTGAATCGTACTGAAATAATATGGCCTCTATATAAACATCTAAAAATGCTTACTAGTCATCGAGTTCCTATTCCCTTCAACTACTCTGTCAATAATAGCACTCCAAGAAGAATAACAGAAGTTCAAATGATAGGCTTCATTAATAGATAAGTAAAAGTTTTTAACAGTAGTAGTACTTTTTGTCGCTTAACCAACGCCCTTCAAAATAGATATATTATTAACAATACAACGATAAAGTGTGACCAAAGTTAGGTACCTTGGAGTCATCTTTGACAGTAAACTGACCTTTTTGTATCAGCTGGAGGATATTGTTAACAAGGGCATGAGAAATCTCTTGCTCCTTAGTTAGATATACACTGGAGTATGCATCAGTAGTGTGGTCTCTACATTACAGGTGTCACATTTATAGATTGGAGACTGTTCAGAGGGCGTTTCTGAAGTCCCTAGCATATAGCATATATCTACAATAACTTTCACCTTAATTATGTTTTGGTATGTGAGCCTTTTGGGATAGATGGTCTGGAAATTAGAAGAACCTACTCCAATATCTTAACCTCTATCAAAGACGTCAGAGCTCCCCAATGTTTTGTATTTCTTTTCATCACTCCAACAATGGCCATTTTTCTCCTTCAACTCGAACCTTGGGGTTATTTAACAGTTGCTCTCTTGATCCCTTTGCTGGCGGTCTTCGACTATTTAAGACAAAATTAAAACAGGTGGTTGATTATAGTTGTAACTAGTGTGATACTGTTTGTTTACTGTTTCTTACTGTTTTTGTGTTTTTATATGTTTTATATGGTAATTTAAAAAGCTTGTTATCTAAGTTGTTGTTTTGTCATGTTGCTATTTATATTATATTTATATTGTTACTTTTTCTTTGTAAATTGGCTCAGCCGTTGAAATAAATAAATAAGTTTGATTTAGGAACAACCGTTTTCCGTCATGGTTTAATTACTTAGTTGTGGTTACTACCATATAAAAGTTAATTGCAATTTGATATAAATTATTAAGATGTGTCTACTAGATATCAAAAGAAGAGTCAGTTGGAGCATTTAAAAATTTTTTCGTTTTTTTTAGGGGCGCTAAGAACATTAGCAAATCCATCGGCGAACACTTCAGCGCGACCGTTTTAAACTCATTGCTCATCATTTTGGATTCGCTAAACGAAGCCGTCTCGCCGGCAGGCCTGCACTGGATCTTCTCGCTTCTCCTCAAGGTGTCCACCAAGGAAAACGAACATCTCGTTTCGAATAAATGCCTCGAATTGCTCAAACGAGTATCGGACAACCTAACGGATCGTTTCAATCCATACCATTTGCTTCTCAGAAGTAGATACGGTTTGTACGGTCTTCCCATGGAGCCTGAACTATTCGACGTGGACCCTCCTTCGTACGCGAAGGGCTCCAGTAACTTGCCGTATTTCTTTTCGTCGACAACCGCGGCGGCAACCACTAACGAGTCGACCGTCGTGACGGAAAGCCCCGCCCCAAACGCGGTCGCCAAAGACGGGATCAATCCGCGCGACGTCCTGTCCAATACCGATAGCAGGCTGAAATACAAAAACCTGGCGTTTCCGAAATTGGTGAAGGGCCTAATCGAAACCGAACCCCTCCATTTCACTTGCGTAAACACCAGCGAGGGTACCAGGCTCGAAGTGGCGGACGCCGGGAACAACGTACAGACGACGATCAACAACATATTGCCGATAGTGATGTCGGCCGCGCAGCCCGGTCAGAAGAAAAAGGAGGACTGGGCGTCCGATTTTCAGCATTTCATTCAAAAGTACGTCGAGAAGAATCAAAATTTATCGGTGCCGTTGCACAATATCATAGACCAGGATCAGTTTTTATCGACCGCGCCCACTCCGGGTGCCGGTCCCAGCAAGTGGATCATGTTCGAAATGACCGACGAGGAATTGGAACAAAAACTGGGTAAGTAATTATCAAAATCTTAAACACAATAGGCTTTCCCCCCACTTCGGGCTCCGTTGTTATTGCTAGGGGGTGACGTCACTCGGCGACCTAGTTTCCAAAACCCATATCGAAAGCTCCCTTTTCATTTTCTGTTGATGCGTTTAGCGTTGTTCTTTTCTTGTTCAGGTAGTTAGTTTAATATATATATTTTTGAAATTAATATATACATTTTAAAATAAAATATACATATATAGTGGTCAATTAAATAGAGCCATTTCAGTATAATATATTTTGTTGCTAATACAATTTTAGTATGGCCTTTAAGTTACAAAGGAAATTTTATGGGTATGTAATTATCAAAATCCTAAACAATGCGCTTTCTCCCACCTCATGCCCCGTCGAAATTGCTAGTGGGTGACGTCACCCGACGACCCAGCTCCCAAAACCCCTATCGAAAGTTCTCATTTCATTTTCTTGTTCACATAGTAGTAAGTATAATCTATATTTTTTTAAATTTAAAGAGATATATTTTAAGATAAAATATACATACAGTGGCGGTCAATTAAATAGAGCCACTTCAATATACTTTGTGGCTAATAAACTTTTAGTGTCGCGTTACAAGAGAAACTTTATGCGCCTGTAACTATCGAATTTTTAAACACAATACGCTTTCCCCCACCTGAGGCCCCCTTCGGAATTACTAGGGGGTGACGTCACTCGGCGACCTAGTTTCCAAAACCCATATCGAAAGCTCTCTTTTCATTTTATGTTGATGCGTTTAGCGTTGTTCTGTTCTTATTCAGGTAGTAAGTTTAATTGGACATCACAAAAGCATAATACTTTATTATAAAATATATGTTATTATTCAATAATGATAGATAACACTCTATAATTGCAAGATGTTATTGAAAATATTTTGATCGAAATTGACTGGTCAAATAAGATGTAAATTGACCAGACCCAACACTAGTCCTTATAGACGTACTTTCAGTTTACGGTAGGACTTCTGTGGTAAATAAGACACGTGAGAATCAAAAAGAAGCTTACTATCAAGAAATGTTCCTAAATTTTGACAAAATCAAGCGCAGTACCATTCAAGGAAAGGTTCAAATCATATACATACTCGATAATTTTCACTTTTTTATTGCCAAAAAGAATTGATGCCTTGCGAATCATTTTTTATCGGACCATGGGTAGTCTATAAGTTAACGCACTTTCTTTCCTATCGCCCGTTAGTCGGTGGGCGGGGCGACCTATTTTTGATATATTTTTTTTATTTTTCCAGAAAACGTTTACAAGGGACTCGTTGAGACGTACGGGTCGTCGGTGGCACCGAAAAGCGCGCCCCAACAGGTGTCGGTGCCCACCGTCCAACATCTGCCCCCTAGCGAGGCGATCGATAATCTGCCGTGGCAGCAGCTGCTCGTGCCGCCTCCGAAACAAATTATAGTGGTCGAGCGTATGCATTCGGGAGCCAGGCGCCACGTCACTTTGGATTTCGGCGAATCTGTGGTACTGACCGACATTTTAATACCGTCCTGTTCGGACCTAGTGACCCTCAGCATAGACGTGTGGCTCTTCGGCGAAGAGATCGACGCAGTGCGTTTGGTCACCGCCTCCGATATAGGGACAAAGAATTTGCTGCTCAGCGATTTGCAACCGCCACCCCTTTTCAAGTTTATGAAGGTAAGTGTCTATCTGTTTACAGTTTACTTTTCTTGGGTGTTATTGACACCGGTGGGCCTGAGGGTTATTTTTAATTGCTGCATACGATTTCAGTTCGCATTATAGAACCTCGAATAACCGGGGTGGTGTAGATTTTGAATATTGTGTAGGTTCTTGTGTAATAGATAGGAAAAGAATTTTGATAATAGTACGTTATATATAATATTTTAATAACTTGGAAGTCTTTCGAAATTACTAGTCTGTTCATAGATATGAGAAAGTGACTAACTGATACGAATTAAAACCCGGGCAACCTGTAAGAATGAAATATCTGTATTTTGCTTAGAATTTAATTATTTGGGGTTTTGTTGGAAAAAATATTAAACAATATTTATTTATTTATGTATGTATTTATGTTTAAATCTAAAATAAAATTACAAATTATTTTTATTACCTGCTTAAATTACTTAAAATTATTCACATAATATATCAGTATCACTATCGCTATCATCGCCTGATCTAATTATTATTTGCAATCTGGATATACGATGGTTCTGCTTTTTCTATATGTTTAACAGAATTTGTCCAACTTTGTGGAGGGATGTTAAAAACTTCGGTTTCTAGAAGTTTGAGGACATTGGAGTTAACACGGGGAAAAACATTGTTACGACGAATGGCAGATTTCAATTATTGCCAAACATGTTCAATGGGATTAAATCTACAGTGGTAAGGTAGGCCTTAAAACTGTATGCCCTAGTTTTTTGCATACTTATCACAGACGTATTCGTTTTGTAGGTTCAAGCTTTGTAGAACCTCAATTAATTGCTTTTTGGTATAATCTTCTTGAAAATAAATGTCGGTATTATACATATAGTTTTGGATTGTTGCTTTTGTGCCACATGAGGAAGGGGTTTTAATCAACTGTCTACTGTGATAACTTGTATTGTCTATTACAATGACACTATTAGGAGGAATGTTTGGAACTGGTTTGTTTTTAAACCAACTTTCAAACAAATCAGCTGTGGTGTCTTCATGGTAATCCAGAGAAAAATCTTTAATATTTTTCGCAGACACAGAAAGTCCATTTGGAATCCAACCATCTTTAGAGACAGCATGCAAAATAGTTATTCTTTTACCTCTTTTTGATGGTGCGTTTGTTTTACTGTTATCAGTTGAGCCAACCCACCTCTTTTCCGGGGTATCATAAGTGTCGAACCAGGTTTCATCCAAGTAAATAATTGGCATTTGTTTCCGAATTCTAAAATATTCCATTAAAACTTGCCTTTTGTCAATTTTTTAAAATCTAAAACCCATGTGTTGAATACACTTCCCTAAGGTAGTTCTGCCACATTTAACACCGGTTTCATATTTTTCAAGCTTCCTAATTAAGATATCTAATGTAGGCACGCTTTGTTAATCGTATAAGTGGTAAATTTTACACCGTATCATATCTTGATCACTTTCATCTACACTCGAGAAAATATCAGCATCGCTTCTTTTTTTCCTCGCTGAAATGGGATTGATGATTTTCCATACAGTTGATGTTGGAATTTTCGCCAATGTGTCCGTTTCTTCTAAAGATTCTTGCTTGCCAGCACCACGTTCAATGAGAGTCAAATAAACATTGTTTATAATTTCCTTAGTCTCAATTGAATAGTGTTTTCTACATTTGGGCGGGAGCATCTCCGGAGATACACTGACTCGCACATATTTTGTATAATTCGCACACGATTGAACACACGCTGTATTACACACGAAATAAGAATGATTACTTATAAACTTAAACTAGGTAGTATACCAAACCAAAAAATATTAAACACAGGTAGGTATAAAATTATTTTCTATTACGGACCACAATTTTACCTGAATTTAAATTCCGAAACTTTAGGGAATTATCTTGTTGCGTTGTATGTTAATGACCACCCTCGGATAATCCCATTCAAAAGCAATTCGTCCCTTTCTTATATCTATGAACAGACCATAACTAATTAACTAACTAACCAAGACATCTCAAATTAGTAGAAACGTCAGTGACTGAAAAATTTATTATTTTGGGCGATCCCTTCGTCAGGAGGATTGATTTCGTGTAGTTATAGCGGTTTTAATAGTTTTTATTCAATTTTTTTTTACTGTTTTAGTTAACATTTTCCGGAAAAAAGGTTGTATGTTAATGTGTCGTCCAAAAATTAAAAAAAGTATTAATAATGAAAATGCAATCCAGTATTGAACGGGTTAGCGCAGTAGCCTAATATTACAACGTCTGTATTTAATGAGTTATGTCGCGGGAGGGGTGAGACAGGGAGACACTATTTGCCCGAAAGTTTACACACTGTCATTGGAGAATGTTTGCAAGCAGCTCAATTGGAACCGCAAAGGCCTCGGGATTGATGGGCATATCTAAATCATCTTCGTTTTGCGGATAGTATTGTGGTTATCAGCAGTGACTTGAGTGACTTGCAGGGAATGCTCTCGGAACTCAATACTGCTTCGGGAATGGTAGGTATAACCATGAACTTAACGAAGACCAAAATCCTCACACTACTAGTCACACAAACTAAGATGATTGAAAGGGTTGAAGAATACGTCTACCTGGGTCACCAAATGAAACTAGGGATAGATAACCGGCAAGCCGAAATTCAATGGAGAGTCCTGGGCCGTTACTGGCAGGCTTGGTTTCAGCCTTAAAAACCCTAAGATCCCAATCATCCTGAAGTCCAAGGTTTTTAACAGTTGCATTCTCCCGGTTCTCACATACGAACTAGAGACAATAACTCTCACTTCCAGAGGCGCTGACAAACCCCTTGGCATGTTGGACATGTCGCTGGACAGGACGACACTCGTTGGACAAAACGTATTATACATTAGAGACCGAGACTGCATAAAAGAGGCGACCCCCCATAAGATGGATGAACGATATTAGAGAGGCAGTAGATCGGAACTCTCATCAGATCGCTGGAGACAGAGAAGAGTGGAAAAGAAGAGGGGAGGCCTATATCCAGGAGTGGATGTCGAAGGGATGAAGATGCCCCCAGGAATATTGTTAGTTCCATTCAATGAGTGTTATTAGGGATGGAATGATCAGAGTTTTTATATAGCACTTTTATGAATTACGAGCTCTTTCTTACATACTCTAAAAAATAAATTAAAAAACAAAAAGTCTTTATTAAAAAGAGTATAGGGTTTGATTATAGGTCCGCTAACATACTTGGCAAATCAATCTTTTCTGAGTGGAATTGCCTAAAAAGAAATAGATTTCTGCTAGTTTTACCACAGAACTATCGTCCGGTAACAATTTCAAATGGTTTTTTAAAGTCTGCTTTCCTAGGGTATAAGGGGTAAGCCTCTAGACTGGGTCAGTAGTTTTTTAGAAGACTGTTCTCAATTTGTATCCTTTAAGTTTTATAAAAGTGCTAGTCAACGAATTGAGATGGGTGTTCCTCAAGGTTCAATATTAGGCCCTGTACTTTATGTAGTTAACTAGTAAACTAAATAAAGATTAAAGGGACAGGAAATTTTTTTTTTTTAATTTTTACGGAAAGGCTCACAGGAAGGAATAAAATATAGTGTAACGTTATACGAAAATGATCGGCTTCTAACTGACTGAGTTGGGAAACACAAAATGCAAAATGAAGTTAGTATGGCTCAGGCCAGACAAGCTGCTTTACACCTAATGAGCTGGCAAATTGCTCAAGGCAGAAGCCAAGAAACTTAAGAAAGAAGACTTCTTTTTGGTACTGTCAATATACCACGCATCCGAAGGTTTCTGTTCGCTAAAAGATATTCTGCTGAGAAGGTAATGTGGGATTTCAGATTTGGTAGGAAAGTAGAAGCCCGACATCGACTACATCTAAACTGTAGAATTTAGGACTATTTAAGTCTCGCCAAGTATTTTTTTTTGTTTATTTTGGCTTCCAGAGAAAAAATATTATCTCGGAAACTATTAACATGATCTGCAAAATTGTTCAACTAGAAGACACGAAACATTCGGTACTATACCTTTTATTTCAAACAGTTTTTCGATTATGTATAATATATAAAAAGACTCTGAAAATTGTACTTTTTTAGAGTAAATTATGAACCGTTAATCAAAATTCGTAAAAAAAAAAATGATTATAAATTTTGTATTTACGATGTTAGTCATACGGTGCTCGATATATTTGAAAAACTCTAGAAGTGATGACGTCATTGACTATTCCGAGGTACGGCATAGTTTCGGAATTTTTTTTTTCGAAAACTGTTAACTCTATTGGAAAAATTCATGGACCACCAAACGTGGCTATAGGGCTATACTTCGAACGTTTTTTGAAAACTATATTAGGTGTGTGTCGTTTATGGGCAAAAAATCTAAAAGACTCTGAAAATTGCCTTTTTTGTAATTGGATAGTTTGGTTTAAATAGAGCTAAATTTTTCGTATTTACAGTTTTTGTTTATTGCACAGGGCGCGCGAGATATTTGGAAAAAAAAACCATTGGAAATCGGTGTTATTTGTACAAATTTTTGAATTTACATAAGTTTGCCGTGAGTTTGTAGTTGGGTGGGACGTGAAGGTGGCTTTATACAGGGTGCATGCATAATAAAATTACATCGCAGAAGCGCGACAGAAAAACAAGCTACGATTTTTCGAAAATAAACTTTCTCTAACTTTTTTATACATTGTTTGGTTAATTTGCTCCTAATAAATGAATTGATATAATATAATATATCTTGCAAATCGCTTACTATTTGACGTTTTCTTCTCAAACGTTAAATGAAAAAGTTATAAATAATTGTTCTTTTCGGCATTAAATTATTAGCTGTAAATCAGAATTTGTAAAAAATATGGATAATCGGTTCAAACAGTGTTATAGGCCGTATCAAGCGCTACAATTTTTGTATATACAGTTTTCGTCGTTCACATACGCTCTTCGAGATATTCGAAAAGATCCAAATCTCCATCCATTTCTCGCCCTCAATCTAGACGCGATGACGTCATTTACTATTACGACGTACTGCACGGTCTCAGGAAACAAGTCTTCTCGAAAACCATTTACTCTATTGGAAAAATTTATATATCAGGAAACGTGGTTGATCCTGTATTTCGAACATTTTTTGAATTATGTGCAGGGTGTGTCGTTTATATTCAAAAAATCTGAAAGATCTTAAAAATTTCCGTTGTTGCGGGTAAATTATTGGCGATAAATGGAAAACTGTCGAAGATAGGATAATTTGATTTCAGCAGTATCGTAAACTGAGTTTCAGTTTTCGTCTATCATCTTCTTCTTCTTAAGGCGCCTATTCGTTTCGAATGGCTATTCTAATCTTGTCGATCGCTGCTTGGAAAAGTCCTGTGGTTGTAAGAGAGAACCATTTTCTCGGATTGTGGATCCATGAGATTCCCCTTCGTCCTGGGCCTATTTTTCCAAAGGTCTTACCCTACAGAATCGTTGTTCGTTGCGCATAATGTGGCCTATGTACTCCAGTTTCCGCTTATTTCCGTTATTTATGATTTGGCATTCCTTCAACCTCATCGTTGGTGGTTCTATCGACCCAAGAAATTTTCAGGATACGTCTATAGCTTCACATCTCAAAAGCGTCTGGTTTCTTCATAGACGTCTCTGTCAATGTCCAGGATTCAAGTCCGTAAAGGAGAACCGTAAATACGGAACAGACGGATTTTAGTTTTTAGTGGTAGAGAGTGACTTTTAAAAATGTTGTTCATTTTGATAAATGCTGATCTGGCCTTTTCTATCCTCTGTCTGATTTCAACTGAACGATCTCATCTGTCATTAATATTCGTTCCAAGCTAAACGTGGCTCGAGACGCGAATTATTGGTTGGTGATTAACCAGTAGTTGTCCCGGTGGTATATTATTCTTGCTGATAACCATATATTTCGTTTTTTTGATGTTAAAGTCGAGCCCATATAATTAGCGCCTGCCGACCGTCCCAGCTATCCGCGAAAAGGCCGTATCATACACAATCACAATAACCAGTACATATTTTAATATTACATTGCAAGTTTGCTATTGATTTAGGAGGCACGCCATTGACTATTTCCCGTAATTTCAGATAACCCTCGTCGGGAGGTACGGCATGTCGACTACAAGATGTCGCATCCCCTTGGGCTACTTCTACGGGCACGTGGTCGTCCTGCCCGAGGAAGTTCCGCACGACGTCTTCGTCGAACTGGCGGACGTCGAAAAACAGGTGGCCATTTTGTCTAAGCTCCTCGAAGACATCAGTTGCCGGTACAGTTTGGCGTGTTCGAAGTTGAAAAATCTGCTGCAACCGTTTCTGGTCGCTGACATCAAGAACGCGATGCACTTGTCCGCCTACATGAACATATTGAAAGACAAGAGTTTGAACGTGACGAACGCGGAACACAGTCAAATTTTTAGCGTTTATCAGGTAATTTTTTTCGTATCGGCCGGGCGGTAAAATACATTGACGAACGTCGCCGTTCAAAGGAAACACTGACGTATCAGCATCAGTTGAACACCATAAGACACGTGATGACCAGATTGGAGGGCAGCGTTTTGCCATCCGGCAACGCCGTATCCAATTACGTGGCTTCCGATAAGCTCGTGACCGTCGCCGAAGGTTTATTGGAAGTGCTCCTTTCCGTCGACACCCTGCCCGTCGTCGACTCCGCCTTGTGCCAGCAGCTATTCGAGGGCCTCTGCGTGTCCCAATCGCCGCGTTTGCAGGTGCTGTCCGCTCTGTTTTTGGAGAAATCCTGCGGCTCGAGCGTTTTCTGGGGCAATTTCCTATCCGACACCTTGGTCCGGATGTTTTCCACATCCTACACGTCCGTCTTCCCCCAAGATCGTTTGTTTATTCTGCTCGCGTACTTGAGCAGGAAGAGTAACGAAAGGAGCGCGATCATCGATTCCGCCATGCGGGTCGTCTACGACACCCTGAAACCTCTCGAGTCGAGGAAATCGTTGCTGCTAGCGGTCAGCATCGATTTGCCGTTGCTGTCGTGGTTGCTCATGTACCTCTCCTTGCAACTGTCCGTGAAAAATGCGAGCGGCAAACCGGACAGGTGGGATTGGGTAATGATCGAGATGGTCGGCAAGGGTAACGCCGACAGTAACAAGAATAACTCGAAGAAGAAGAATTGCAAAAGGATGGCGTCGACGTTCGGCGGCTCGTTTGGCCTGTCGTCGGTGAGTAGTAAAAGAGAAACACAGGGCGTCGGTACTTTGCGAATATTCGATACGTTCTTGGAATACACGCCCTCGGGCGGTGGTTTTACAAAGCTCGAGTAGCGGGTCCCAACTAGGCACAGTAGGGTCTGTTCATAGATATAAGAAAGTGACTAACTGATAGAAATTAAGGAAAGACCGGGGCAAGCTGTAAGAATGAAATATGGCCGAACAGGTCCGTACTTAGCTTAGAATTTAATTATTTTGGGTTTTGTTAGGAAAGATACTAAACAATATTTATTTATTTATTTATCTATGTATTTATGTTTAAATCTAAAATGAAATTACAAATTATTTTTATTACCTACTTAACATACTTAAAATTGTTCACATCACTATCACTATCGCTATCATCGCCTGTTCTAATTATTATTTGTTCTATATTATTTGCAATATGAAGGTACGATTGTTCTGCTTTTTCTATATGTTTAACAGAATTTGCCCAACTTTGTGGAGGGATGTTAAAAACTTCGGTTTCTATAAGTTTGAGGACATTGAAGTTAACACGGGGAACCGCCGAATGGCAGATTTCAGTTGGTGCCAAACATGTTCAATGGGATTAAATATACAGTGCTAAGGTGGAAGCCTTAAAACTGTGTGCCCCATATTTTTTGCATAATTATCATAGACGTATTCCTTTTGTAGGTTCAAGCTTTGTAGAACCTTAATTAATTGGTTTTTGGTATCATCTTCGTGAAAATAAATGTTATTATACATGCAGTTTTGGATTGTTGATTTTGTGTCACATGAGGAAGGGGTTTTAGTCAACTGTCTACTGTGATAACTTACATTGTCCATTACAATGACGCTATTAGGAGGAATGTTAGGAACTAGTTTGTTTTGGTGTCTTTAAAATTTTTCGCAGACAGAGAAAGTCCATTTGAAATCCAACCATCTTTAGAGCCAGCATGCAAAATAGTTATTCTTTTACCTATTTTTGATGGCGCGTTTGTTTTACACTTATCATTTGAGTCGACCCAACCCTTTTCCGGGGTATCATAAGTGTCGAACCAGATTAATTTTTTAAAGAATATTTATAACAGACTCGGCGAAACTGGTTTGTTCCGCCTCAACACCGGAGCTGGAAGAGGAAATTTTAGTCCAAGTAGATGATATTCCGGAAATAAACACAAGAACAGTGGAGTGAGCAAATCTACAGTTTGTAGAAATTTTCAGCAAGAATAGTATATTATGCAATAAGTGCGGTAAACGGCATTTGACTCACGAGTTTATTTGACACGAGCGGAGCGCAGCGGAGCGAGTTTTTAATAACCGAGTGAGTTAAAAAGTTTACCGAACGTGTTGCATACTATACTTTTTCTGCGACCGTTAGTTTTTGGGTACATTTTCGCAAAACACGAATACATTCACTGACATGACCGTCAGAATCAGATTGGAAATTCTTTAAACTTGAACTTTTACAATAAATTACTTTGTAATATAAAACGAATTGGTAACAATTCTTTTAAGAGAACATCTATTGACAATCAACCCTTTTTACAGTACTGATAAGTACCTAAATTTCAAATGTTAAACCTGTTTAATCTGTTTACTTTTACAATTTTTTGTCGGGACTTTTTTATTCATATATTGTTTTATTATCATTATATGTATTTATTTATTTTGTTTTAAGTTGCTACACATACGTTTTGTATACTGTGATTAAATACATAAAACTAAACCTAAACAAAACAAAACAAATAATAAAAAAAAACTGACGTAGAAATATCATGAACAAACCAGCCTTTCAAATAAAATTGCCAGTCTTATACCGTCTTAATAAATAGAACAGAAATTCTTTAAACCTGAACTTTTACCTTGTAACATAAAACGCATTGGTTAATATTGTTTTAAAAGAGCTATCGAGCATCTACTGACAATAATCTATTTCTACAGTGCGGATGATAATTTCAAATTTTACACCTGTGTAACTTGCCTACTTTTACAAATTTGTTTCGTGACTTTCAGTGCTTCATACTTTTGTTCATATATTGTTTTATTATTCTTATATGCATTTGTTTATTTTGTTTTGACCTGCTACACATACATTTTGTATACTGTGCTTAAATAAATAAACCTAAAACTAAATTTAAACCATTAATATCATTTTTTCCAATGTTTGCTTGTCGTTTATTGTATAATATTTTTTTAATCCTTAGAAAGCTACTGTCATTGTCTTGTAATTTGGCAAAATTTGCCCGTTAACCAGTAACTGACTACAGAACTAACAGAAATTTGGGAATTGCGAAGCGGAATTTTGAACAAGGTTTAAAATTGACGACTGTGAATTAGTTGGAACCCGATATATCAGGAATCGGAAAAAATATGGCCTACTTATTCCAAGAAAATTCGCAAAAAAAAACAACTCGGGGGTGTGTCTTAACGGAATTCGAGTTTGCAGCCAGCGATACCCGTTTGCTACGACGTTTATGGTGAGCCGCCAAAGTTGTTCGCCCCGGGGAACAAGCATTATTGGAAAACGGAAAAATTTAACAAATTTAAATTTTCCAAGAAAGCCCCGGACTCGCCGAAACCGGAGGAAAACAAAGAGATCGTCAACAAAGACGTTATAGTACCGCAGAAAATGCCCCAGTATATCGATTCCACGCACTGCTTGGCGCTCTCAAAGTTGCTACTCAAATTTATTATAAACATGGATCATTCGGGCAGTGCCGACATGATGTTGCTGTCGTTTAAGGTGGGCCATCGTTTATTTATAAATACAGGCTGTCCCGAAATTAGACGTCAATATTTTAACCACGTATTCTGTGACCCGAAATAAGGATAAAAGTTCATATAAGCTAGGGTCCAAATCGTCTTAGTTTTTAACCTACAGGGTGTTAAATTCGAAGAGGTGATTTTTTGTAAATATTTAGGCTCTATTTAACGAACTAAAACTTAGTATTGGATTGTCTTCAGGGGTGGGTAACACAGGATAGGCCCGGGAAAAATTTGTTTGTTGAATTTTCGTAATTTCGACTGCAGAATTTGAAAATCTGCAGATAATCATTAGCAAGCCTTGGAAGTTAATAGCGCGTTTCATTTGTTTGTGTTGCTGGGTAAATAAAAATTAAACGTCAATTATACAACAGGTTTCAATTTTGTTCGTTGTTGGTAAAAAATATGTTTTACTTTCATTGTTATTAACGAAAGAAAAATCAAAGTATCAACTGTAAAGCAAATTATTCTAATAACAGTTTTAAACTTGATATTTTAAAGAAGGTTGATTTTTGAGGAAAAATAAGCTATTTAAATAAAGAATTAGCAGATATTTATTTTGTATGAGACTTTTGCAATGGTAGAGCAGGGGAGGCGGTACGAAAATATAATTGCTGACATTTACTTTTTATTTATCCAGCAACACAATAGTATATTATGCAACAAGTGCGGTAAACGGCATTTGACTCATCAGTTTATTCGACACTAGCGGAGCGAGTTTTTAACAAACGAGTGAGTTAAAAAGTTTACCGAACGTTTGCATACTATACTTTTTCTACGACCGTTAGTTTTTGGGTACATTTTCGCAAAACACGAATACATTCACTGACATGACCGTCAGAATTGACAAACGTCAAAAATCAGAGCGTGGGAAATATCTCCGGAAACATGCGATTGCTCCCGAACCCGTGCGGTAAAATCCCGGAAATGTCCGAAGTGGTTCGAATTCATGGGAAACGAAACTGGCGTTGTAAAGTGACGCTTCCCGCACGCTAGATCGGGGGGTAATTAGGTATTTTACAGACGGGAGTAGAAAAATAAATAAAACGCGTCATTAACGTCCAAGGCTTACTAATGATTATCTGCGATTGTAAACATTAAAATAAAAAAAAAATGTAAATAAAAAAGGGTACCTTATTTACGTAGAAAACTTCAGATTTTCAAATTTTCCGGTCCAAATTACGAAAATATTCGACAAACAAAAAATTTGGGGAAAATTTACGTTACCCGCCCGTGAAGACAAACCAATACTAAGTTTTAGTTCGTTAAATAGAACCTAAAAGGTTGAGTAACTGTACCAAATTTTATTTAAAAGTATTTACGTGTTTCGAAAATATTTGCAAAACATCGACAACACCTCTTCAAACTTAACACCCTGTATGTTGAAAAATAAGACCTTTTGGACCCTAGTTTATATGAACTTTTATCCTTATTTTGGTTCACAGAATACGGGGTTAAAATATTGACGTCTAATTGCGGGACACCCTGTATATAGGTCTTTTCTATCGGTTACTCACGCCCTGCTTTAGATTGTCTCTAGGTTGGTGACGATGGCGAGGCTGCAGTTGTGCCAACTCCTCAAAGAGACCGAGTTGCTGGAATTGATGAAGTTCTCGTTGTCCTGTAAGGTGGCGTGGGCCCCGTTCGCTCTCATTTGTTTTTTGCAAGACGTGCTGGAATTGGCGGGCACTTCGCAAACCGACGTCACCAAAATGGACACCGATGCGTCGACGTCCGCCTCTTGGGTGCCAAGCGGTATGTCCCATTTCACGTCTATGCAGTCTAATTGAAGGTCAATAATTAAGGCGGGGCCATTAAGGGTGGTAATGTTTTCGAAAATAAAAATAAATAACTAAAAGTTCAGATTTTCACAAAATTATATATTTTGACATGACAACTGTTTCGACAACACCGTGTCATTATCAAATGTAATATTTACAAACTACCTGTTACTATATATACCGAAAAATGACCATAAAGCCTTAATTAATGTTGTTGTGAGAATTTAAGTTCAATAAAGGAGAGGTATTTAAATCTAATTGATCGTTAAGCAATACATTCGAATGTCTTAATGTATTCATTTTTTCCATACACTTTACAGCCTAAAAATTGCAACATGCAACATCGAGGAACTTGTAACACTTAATGAGAAAATTAAAAGGGAAATTTTAGTTCAGCGACAGATTAACCAATCCTTATTAAGTAAATTAATACAAAAAACAAAACCAAAAAACTTAAAAACTGTTTGCTTGGGGGTCACAGACATTGTTATATGTTGATGTAATGGTATACCAGTATTATCTTTATTATTTATCTCAGAAACGTTTCAACTCCAGACGTCTTTAGGTAATGAAACTTTATGCTTACGGGCATTAACTTAGGCATAGTACAGGTACAAGTTTTAAAGAGCAAACTGAAATGGGCAATAGATGCGATCATTTTAAGCAAGAAAATGTATATAAAAATAAGTAATTAAATTATAAGTTTGATATTTGGTGTGGTTGATTTTGAGCATTTTAAAGATTTTGAAAATCTTTGTATTCCGCCTCTCTGTGTACTTTTCGATTTACATCAAGCAATTGCCAAAAATTTAAATTGTAAATACATATAATAGTAATAAGATTAATTAATGGGTTGTACTTACCATTTTTTTTTCTGTATTTATTCTTTTTATAAATTAATTATTTGTATTCTTAAGACCAGCGCTTTACCCACTGTTTAAGGAATTTTCTTTTTTTTTGTAACTGTCTATTTAATAAACAATCGATTATTAAAAAAAAAATTGATTGATTGAGAACGGAGATATAATTATTTATCTCGAAAATAATTGAAAAACATAAAGAAAAAACTCAAAACGTAACGAGCTACGCAATTTGGTAACTGGAAAGTATCAGAGGCATATTACGAAGAACTTGGGCGGGGGAATTAGAAGTTTCCACTGTCACAAACGTAAAAATTTGAAAAGTATAAACCACACCCAATTTGAAATTGATGTTTTTAAGACTGAGATGTTTATACAGTGTGTGCCATTTAAATATACATTTCATACATCTAAATACAGATTTGAAGTTTTGCGCAGTCATACTGTAACGTTCATTTACAGCCCATTTTGCTATTGTTAAATTTCTCAAACATCTTGCTTATAAACTATATACAATGTTGTCAACCTACCAAAAACATAACATATGGCGAATGCGCCAGATATCTGTGTCCCATTTCGTTCGCGACTGAGGGGTATATTCGTTTTTAGTGAAGATAAAGCCTTCCGTTTTCGCATTTGCTACTTTTTTGTGAAACGATAGATGACGTTGACAAAATTTTCATGACTTCCTTAGTTTTTAAAATACAGGCAGGGTGATTTTGGGAATTTGAAGTTTTGGTAAATGTCGGAAAGGTGATACAGATTTTTACATAGAATTCAGTGGTGTAGTCAGTTTTTTTCTACATGGTTTCGTCTTTGTGAACAAAAAATAGGGTTATAGGCCAATTTGATTCCGCTTGGTAAAAATGTATTGCAGTATGGAGTTATTTGTATCAATGACCTCACAAAAATGATGTTTTAAAATTTTCATAAAGGTAAAGGTAAAGGATTTATTAAATATTTAAAATAGTTATCTTATTTATTCCTGATACTACTTACACAATAACTTTTATAATTTGCATGAAGGCAACTTAGTTTATTATTAATATTTTATTTGTAACATTTCACATAGCTCTATGACCTATATATTATTAAAAAAGATAAACCAAAACGAAAACCTATATTAAAACAATTATTTAAAATGATAAAGAACATACAAATTATTAAATATTCGAATTTTTTGCAAATGTGAGCATAATTGTTTTAATTTATAAACACCCTGTGTATTATGTATGAGTTCAATAGAATATCTTATTCCGAATACAATGATGTAACACACTTTATTTTAGTCCACTCTTCTTTGACAAATCGGCAAAAATAGGAAATTTTTATATAATTTCATAGAATGCCCTGACTGACAAATAAAAATATGTTTATGTTTGACATATTAATAATCCACAATGGTTGAATTATTGCCCAAATCATTATTGTTAACATGGTTTTTCGCATATTTAGCATCCGTGAAAGGAGTGATATGCTTCAAGTATCCGAGCGCTGAGTTCCTTCAAAACAGATATATCCATGGCTGGCAAAATAGAAAAGGTATTTTTGTTGTTTCAATCCACTCAGTTTTGAAAGAATATAAGTATAATGCATTTAAATTTAATAATAAATAATAATAATAATTTTTTGAAAAATATTTTTGGGACTGATGAAAGTTCGTTCACTACAAGAAAAGATTTTAATAGATAAAATACGCGATATTGGTCTATAAATAATCCTAGACAAATACACGAGATAAAAACCCAGGAGTACAAATCAATTAATGCATGGTGTGGTGTTAGAAATTACCTGTTCATGGAATATCCCAGGGGTTGGATAGGGAACGTCGAATTGGCCATCCAATAGCCCCGACTTAACTTTACTTAACTTAACTCCTTGTAATAATATCGTGGAACTTCGACAAAAGATTTCAGGGGCAATCAATCAGTTAAGAGACAATCCGAAAACGTTACTAAATGCAAGACATCATACAATTAGGTGTTCAGAAAACTGGTGGTCACACAATGACCATTAATGACCAACATAAACATATTTTTATTTGCCAGAGCACTCTTTGAAATTATATATAAAATATATAAAAATTTCCTATTTTTCTCGATTTGTCATAAATGAGTCAGCACATAAAGTGTATTACACCATTGTAATCGGAATAAGATATTATATTAAACACGTATATAATATACAGGGTGTTTCATTTAAAAAAAAAAATGCGAAATAGGATTAAATGTCAGAAAATTGATAGTGTTTTGTTTTATACGTCACTTAGAAAAAAAACTTGGCTACTAACCCTACATTTTGTTATTTTCTTTACCTTGATATCCCTAAAAACCCAAAAAATTTACAGAAAATTAAAATTAGCAAGATAAATTGAACGCAGCCTTAAGCGGGGCGCAAACGATATTTTAAACACCTTGTATTGAAACATTATTTAAATTGGTATAGTTGGATTCTAAAGACTCCTCACTAAAAATTCGTTGCATGCTGACTATGCTGTCCACAATTATATAATATGTAATATATACGTATGTAACATGTAATATAATCAATACCGCGGCAATTGCTGATCCACTTAAGAACATGAACTATGATGTTAGAGTTGAGTATTTGAAAAATGTGAACCTTCAACCTCTGCGACCGTCCAAAACTTTGGCACACACTGTATAAACCTGAAACAACCCGTATAACTCGTAAGCTTATCGTTTTAGTATTCGCACTAAGACGCATTAACTTAACTTAACCAGTTGAAACGTCGTAGAGGTTAATATTAAAGACTATGGGAGTCGAAAAATATCTCATATCAAACCGTTTCGATCCTTAGACGCGTCCGGCACGAACGAAACCGACATTACCGACAACTTCTGCGCCATCTCTACGCCGAAGCCGAAAATCATCACCAATCCCAACACCTTTCCCCCGTTGCCGTCGGTCTTCGAATCGGACGATTCGGATTTCGAGGAACTGCTCGAGGATTTTGAAAAAGTGCGCTGCACCGTTTCCAAAGCGAACAAAGCGACGGTCGTCACGACGTCCAACGTCTCGACCACGATAGACGCGAGACTAGAAACGGGCGTCTACGCGTCATCCGAAACGTACCTCTGCAAATTAGTGGCGAGAAATACGCAAAAATTACTGCATAACATATCGAACGAGGCGAAAACGACGGACCAGGAAAACGAGCTGGTTCCGTGGCCAAACGCGGTCGGTCCGTTTCAACCAGAATCCACCTTCAACAATCACAAAATGTTGGCTTTCTGTTTCGACGACTTATTCAAGAACCTCCAGAACGAGGACCCGCTGAAGATCGAGAACATCCTGCACCTTTGGCTGACCTTGAATTGCGTCAGGAAGGACGAGAAATTCGATTCGTCGTCGATGCCCCAGATGCCGCTGCAGCCGGGTTCCGTTAAGTGTCTGATATCCGCTTTGGCGAGGACGCCCGGTTTGTCGCTGACCACGTGGTGTCTGGGTTTGCAAACGCTGACCCTCGTCTGCAATACGAACAATAACGGAAAGTGCTTCGATCTGTCGGGCATGGCGAACACCATCGTCAGTCACCCGGACTTTGTACAGATGTTCCTCAGTCTGTTGTCGGGTACCGGGCTCACTTTTACCGAAAAGGCGGTGGTAAGTTGGAACTATTACCATATGCTTTCATACCATCACGCAAGTAAAGGTTTGCTTCTGTCATTTGGTATACAAAAATAGGATTGAAAGTTTGCAGAGCAAATTGGTGAAATGCCTCTCTTATACAAAAAATCTTAACATTGGAGGATCAAAGAGTAGTCGCTCATATTCTTTTCTGGCAAGAATTCCATTTAAGGTAGCACCTCGACCTTCTTTAATTCGTTATTCCCTTAAAAAACGCGAATAACTCCCAAACTTCTCTAGTGATTCGTATGCTGAGAGCTGTGAACCTTCACCTCTTAGACATGGACTTTCCCTATCCTTAAAGAAAATACTCACTGTTAGACTTTTGGATACTCATATGTATGGTATAGTATGCTTTGAATAAGTAACGCCAAATTAATCAATAAAATTTAGAAAAAGGAATCTACTTCGTTGTCTTCTTTATGTATAAGATTGGTGAATTTGTTGAGCTTTGAAATTTGAAATATTATTTTTTGTTGTTTGCTTTTTCTTTCTGTTCTGGTCTCAACTTATCGCTTTTGTTTATTTTTTTAGAAAAAAGTTTCCACAGGTCACTGGAATACTACTTACAAATCTTCTGAGTGGGTTGTTGATGAATCGAACTTGACGTTTTGTCAATTATGTTGACTTCTTCAGAGCATAACTGAAACGGGTTCGCATTCTCTCTGTACTTGCCTTTATATTGTTTGAGAGAGGCGGAGGTAAAGGGGGGGCATGAACATTGTATCGGATGACTGATCCCCATATTGGTAAAAGGTAGGATTACCCCTTCGACCTATCGTCATTGGTTCTCCAACATATTCTCTAGCAAAATATCTTGCTGCTATATTAAAACATTTTACAGAAAAAGTTTGAGTTTTCTACTTAATTCCTTTTGTTTTACTGAACAATTAGAAAACCTTTACATTTGATGTAAACGATATTCTGGTTAGTTTCGACGTAGAATCCCTGAAACTTAACATTAGTTCGGATATATTAAAATCCGAAGATCTGGCACTACTACCAATTTCCACATTAGAAATGTTAACCTTTCCATCGAAAATTGCACCTCCACACTTCCTTACATTCAAATTATCACTGCTACTGTCAAAAATTTTTAAGAAATATAACGTTAAAACAAAGACAAAATTCCGTTCGATATGCCTGGAGTTGTCAGCATTCCATGCATATGCGGCAAAGAATACATTGAAGAGACCGAACGAAAAATATCAATTAGGCCAAAAGAACATGAAAAGGCATTAAGACTACGACAAATAGTTCATCGGCAGTTGCTGAACACAATCACGAAATCTCATTCGATAAAATTAAAATTCTTGCATGTAATCAGTTCCATGAAACAACCATACAATTTTAACGGCGACTCAGGTCTTTTACCAATATGGCAATCAGTCCTCCGAGACAATGTTCACGCCCCTCGTTTAGCTCCGCCCCCCTCAAACACTATATAAGCAGGTACAGAGTAGAAGGCGATTCAGTTTAAGTTAAGCTCTGAAAAAGCTAACAGGATGATTGGCGAAACGTCTACAAGCTTGACTTATCAATAATCGACGCAGGAGGGATCCAGAAGATTTGTAAACAGTAATTTTTGTAATTTTTAAATAAGTGTTTTTAAGTGTCCAGGGTTATTTTTTTATATTTGCGTACCCACTTAGAGGGGGTTAACGGAAGACACAGAGAAAAAGTTTTAATGCAAAATGGTATAATTGTTGTAGTATTATATTTTAGAAATGTAAAATAAAACTTTTTTAAAAAAATGAAACACTCTATATATCTTTTTCTCCTGATTAGGAGATAGAAGATATAGAAGACCAAGAACGGCTTATCTAAAGATAAAAGATATAGAAGAACAAGAACGGCTTATCTAAGTATCTACAATCTATAACGCTAGATAGTGGGAACACTATATAACTTTTAAACGGCTTGAGATAGCGATTTGAAATTTGGAAGGGTTAATATAGGCTGCATGTTCAATTTTTTGACAATATGTAGTCAATGGTTGCACTTCCGGTTTGAGCGGAAACGACAGTAACTTTGGAATTTTTGAAGGGCACAACCTATATTTTTTTGCATTTTTGGATTCAGGAGATCTTTCTACTTAGGATAGGAGAGTTTTTTTCTTTTTTTGTTTTTTAAAATTTTTATTTAATTTTTGAAAATTTTGTGTAGGAGGCTGTGACCATCATAAATACTATTTACCGGTAAGTTTTCTTTACTTGTCTTATGGCAAATAGTATTTAACATAATGAACTATTATTTTTTTAGTTTTTTCAAATAGCACCCTAATGGGAACAAAAACTTTTTAAAACCGGTACTTTTTACACCAAAATTGTCAAAATCCGTTAAAAAATAAGCTCACAAGAAGGAAAAAAACAGATAAGTAAATATGTTTTTATAAAAACAAAATATTACTTAGGTGGCTTTGCTTCTATTCATTAATAATTGTCATATCGGTAAGATTAAAAATGCACAAGAAACTCTCGACAAGCTCATGCTGTGGAAACATAAAACCATATTAGTATTTTAAAAAAATTAAATTCAAGGGAGAGTTTCTTCTGAGATTCAACGATTAGAATGTTTTGTTGAAAGTGTTTTATTATGGTAAAAAGTTGATATGCTTTTGGAATACGGTCAAAAACTAACGTAAGTATTGCACTTTTTACCGAAAACTCAGAAGAACAAGAGAATAGAATTTTTTTTCTTTTCAAATCTGTCACTTTTTCGGATAATTTAACACAATATTTTGAAAATCTAAAAAAATAATAAATAAAACCATATATATCAACGTGTGTTACTGTAAGACAAGTTTTACATTGACACCCCATTCATTTATTTTGGAACTGGAGTTTTGTATTTATTCGAATTAAATTAGTGCGATAGATATTTACTTCATAATCAATTTATTTTAAGATGAAACTTTCATAGAATGTTTTCAAAATGTCCTCCATCTTGTGTACGTCACTCCCTGGCTCTAGAAATTACATTCGTTTTAGCCCTTCTTAACGTTTCTGGAGTTCTATCAAATACAGCCGATATTCTCCGCAGTAATTCTTGTAGGTCGAACACTGGAGTTACATAAACACGGTCTTTTTTCAAGTTCCCCCAAACAAAAAATCTAACGGTGTGAAGTCCGGTGACCGTGGGGGCCCATTGTCTGGACCGTGTGTTGAGATTAGTCTATCCGCATAAACATCACGTAGGTGTTCAGTGACATATCTAAAATTATGGGGATGCGCGCCATCCTGCTGAAAATACGTATTTAATGTCACGGCAAGAGGTAAATCATCTAACAAGTCCTCAATTTAATTTCTTAGGATTGTAAATATCGCGCACCAGTTAAGGCACCATGAAAAAAAAAGAGGTCCAATAATTCTCCTTCCTATCATTTCTGAACAAACTTTGTTTACGAACTGTTCATGAAATTGTCCGGGAAGAATAATTCTTCATCTTTGATATTGGTTAAATATAGCATTATTTGGGAATCGTGACTCATCAGTGAACAAAATTAAGTTAACAAAATTATTATTCTTGTCATGTTTATCTAACAGCCAATTACAATATCGAAGTCTTCTTCATAAGGATGTTGATACTTAAAAGAATGATAGCCGTGTTTTTTAAAATTCTCCTTACAGATTCTCTTGAATTCTAATGCCACTTCTCTTAGCGACGCAGCTTGACATATCCCACAATATTGATTTCCATTTCTTCACTTATAAACATTTTCTCCATTTGTAATTTGATTATTGTTTTCCTTGATAATCCAGATAGATAACACGACAAAGTCGATAATCGGATAAAAATGATGAATCGAAGCAAGTGATGTTTGTACTAATCTGCTTTTTTCATTCCTGTGATTTTATTTTTTAACGGATTTTGATCATTTTGGTGTTAAAATGTTGCAAAAAAGTACCGGTTTTAAAAAGTTTTTGTTCCAACTAGGGCGCTATTTGACAAAACAAGGTTATCCTTAAAAATTAATAGTTCATTACATTACACTTTTCAAAAATTCAAATCCAAAAATTAAAACTAAAAGAAAAAGAGAAAAACCGTCCTATCCTTCGTAGAATGACCTCCTGGCTACATATTATCAAAAAATTGGATATTCAGCCTATATTAACCCTTCCAAATTTCAAATCGCTATCTCGAGCTGTTTAAAAGTTATAGAGTGTTCCTACTTTCTTCTGTCACTAAAAATAAAAAGCTGGCTACTGTTTTTCAACTTTGCGATGCGCATTCGTTTTCTTTTACAAGTCTAAAAGATAATTCCGACAACCCCTGTGGGTGGGTACGCAAATGGAAAATATAACCCTGATAGTGCCGTCTTTTCCTTTAATTTTCGAAATCGCTTGAAACGTTCATTTTTAGGCGGGGCCCACGTTATGTCGCGCCCTCCACGACTTCTTAGTCCGACTCCAGGTGCGGTGCGACATGTTGGCTATTGTAAGTCCGTCGAATAAGCTGGGCAATTTGCTGAAAAGTCTACTCTTGAACGTGGTATACGAAATGACACGACCAGGCGGTCCAGTGTCCGCGAAAATGGGCCCCCTGGACGCCCAATGCAAACTGCTCCAGTTGATTTATCGCATATCGAATATCGACGTCAGTATCGGAATGTCGACTCTGGAAAATACCGGTAAACCGATTTGACGACGCACGTAGCCCAAAATGAGTTCTTTACAGCGACAAAATCCAACTAAACACTTAACCAAACCATTGGTAAAATTCTACTCAAATCCGTTTATATTTCGTGCGAATTATGTTTAATAAAATCGCAGGCTTTGCAAGTAGACGTGTCTCCAACAAATGTCATGCTAAGTTAGTTACGTTGAAATAATTCACATTGACAGTTCGTTTGTGTATCGATTTTAAAGTATTTTACGTTAGTTGGATCTGAAAGCTACAGGTATGTATTTCTAAGTAATTTGTTATTAGTATACTACTAGGCAGAAGGCGATAAAGCCGGTAAAATTGCACTTTAGTATATGCATACACTTTACTGGTTCACTGTCTATTTACAAAATTATCAAGTCTATTCTTAAAGCTATTGAGGGCAGGTGCAGCACAATATCATCTGATAAACTGTTCCACTCATTTACAACACGGTTTGTTATAAATTTTTGGCGCGAAAGTCTGTCACAGAGTCCAGTACACAATTTTAGTGAATGGCCGCTTAGATACTTGTCATTTCGATGAAAAAAGTCAGTCAATTAAGTCCCCCCTTTTCGTTTCTTCTAAGGTGGTTAGACGAAGACATTTTAATCTATCTTCATGGGAGGATCGATCTTGTTGCTCGCCTCTGAAAATATGGAGACCATGCCGCTACAGCATGTTCCAGGACCGGTCTGATGAAGCTTTTATAGGCTTGAAGAAAAGATTCTTGAGACATCTCGTTGAAGGCACGTTAAAGATGTTGGCACGTTTTACTACCTTGGTAACCTGGCCCTCCCATTTTAGGGTATCAGATATTAAAACTGCCAGGTGTATCTGTTCACTTCCGGATATTAAATCAAAATCATTTATACCATGGTCAAATTGAGGATTGTTATAACCTATATGTGCGCATTGAGACGCATCAGCCAGTCCCTTGTCCATCTTTCAAGTTTAGCTAAATATTCAACTAGGTCCCCACAAATCTTCGAATCATCAGCATATATACATATATTATGAATAATAGGGGTCCCCTGAGGCACTCCACTCAAAACCTCACAATCTGAAGTTTTACATGAAAGATCCATCCCAGCAGGTTACCTCTTATGCCATAGTGCTGTAGTTTGTAAACAAGTCTTGAAAGGGGACTGTCAAAATTTGTGCTATTTTTTTTATTGCTAGGCTAGTTTTCTTAAAAATGTTGTAAACACTTCATTTTAAGTTAGAATTAAAAAGAAGTTCCCTATAATACCGCCTTTTTTCTAGTTTGTCTCATTGCTGTATTTCTGGATAAGGAATTGAATAAAATCTAGCTATCCCAAATCATATTTTTTTAATATATCTGCATTTGTTTGCAGGTACTGGGAGTGTAAGCAAGAAAGAACTATTTATAATCTTAATTTTTATAAACAATCATCATCACAGTGCAATAAACATTAAGTCAGTTATATTAAGGACAGATTATGTATAGATGATAAAGATATAAAAAAAAAACGCGGCTAAAAGATGTGATAAAAGTGTTTGTGTCTAAACTTTTAATAAAATGGTAACAAAGTCATCAAATTGAAAAGAGGTTTATGAAAAGTAATAATTTTTGGATAGAAGGGGAGTTAACCGTTTCACATCAACACACTGTCTGTACCCCAACTATATCGATACAGGGATAACCAAAAAGTTATTTAGTGAAAAATGGAAGAGATTCCAGCCGAGAGATGTCAGGCCTAATTTGGCAGAATTGTGTTCTGAAAAACTTGGGACATGCATTAGAATCCAGTTTAATAAAAAGTGCTAAAAGAACTGCAGCAAAAGTACTTAAAAAATGGAACAGGTCTGTGCTTCATCTTCAACTTTTACCATGGAAGTTTATACTCTGGAAGAAGCTCTCGGTCTTACGGTAGACTTGGGATTAACTAAAGACGACTGTATATAACACTTGAAAGAGCAGCAAATAGGAATGGAGCTAATATCTATTCTTCATACCCTATGATTGCTGAAGTGAAAAAAAAAGTTGTCCACCATGTTGTCTCATTGTAAAACCTAACATAAACATAAATGTTTTTTTTATAAATTCGGTCGTTAAGATATCGGTGGCCACAGCATTTACATGCAAAACTTTGTCAACACCTCGGAGTAAAATTCATTGTATTTCGTTAATATGAAATAAAATCCAATTAAAAACTCCCTAGTTTACAATAACAATAATAATAAAATTAAATTCTTAAAGAATACAAAGTTGGATCAGATCATGTCAAAAATAGCTTACTGCTTCTGAACAGTTAATGAGAATCTATACTTTCTTATCTATATTGTAAACTTTTATACTTGTTACCACATAGAAAATAATTCGATAGCAGACAAATTGCTCCACATTCTTGGTAATGAAAATACGAATAGTTCAATCCAGAGATAAAAAAAGAAACTTTTTGGAAGAACTTTGGTCCATCTTCAATTAAATATTGCCGGGTTATAAGTTTTCGATTACAAAAAAAGGAAACAGAACTGAACTGTTCTTTAAACATATTTTGGTCTGCACCATACTGGATGGAAAAACATGCAATGTGCTTACTGATACGGCCTCATTCCAACCGTCCAGCTTATGCAAGGTCACCCCTAAAGACTTTAATGACAGACAAAAAGAAGTCCAGCGGCAGTGCGTGACTCATCCACATATAAATTTGGAATATCTGTATTGCATGCATATCCTAGATACTTCGAATACTTGCTTTCATTTAAAGTGGACAACAAAACATGGCAGGCAAGAAGCCAAGAGTCAAGAGAAAGCGCAAAAAATAGAAAAAAATCAGTTTCCTCCAAATTTGAGACAGAACTGTGACTGGTGGTATACCAACCAAAACAGGGGGAGGCAAGAGTAACGATGTGACAATTTTTTTTCTGATAATCCAGCTTTAGTATTTATATTTATGTATATAAATTAATAAAAACACATTTATGATATATTGTCGTCGGACCTCTTAAATGTGTACTACAGTATGGTTGGAACAAAATGAATGCTACAGTACATAAGCTGTTGTTCCATCCAAGTGATATTATCCAGTTCTTTCTCTGCCTATTGAGACAATTATCTGAAGATGTGTTAAGGTCCAGTCATAAGTGTTACAAAAAATTTTTCATGCTAGAAGAATTAACATCAATACGGACATCATAAACTGGCTACTCGTTCCATCTGATCCGGTAATTACTTGTTGTCGCAAAGATATACAAAAAAAAAGAAGAAACCAGAATACGATGACTCTAATTCTGACACCCCTCTGGATGAGGAAAACACGTAATGCGTATAAATAGGAAATAATAAATTATTTCACCCCCTAAATATGAAATAAAAGTAACTTTTGTTTTATTGTTCCTTCTTATTGGGTTAAAAACTACCAAAAAAAATTGTTAAGTTAGATAAAATAATATGAATAAAAATATATTTTTTAAATCTTAAATTCTAAATTTTATTCTTAAATCTGCCTTCACCTTTAAACCGGCCTTTTAAAATTTTTTCCCCTAATTTAACGAGCATGCGAGCAAAAATAAGCCCATCAGAATTTTTTTATTTATAATTCGACTAGTACAACGGGACAGGTATTGCTGGGTAAGAAAACTTTGTCACGCCCTGTACATACATTAAAAACCAAATGTTAAATATTAATGGCTTAGTTCTTTACTGAAATTAAATATATTTTTGTCGCTGTAAAGTACCTTTTTTTGGTGGTCGAAATTCGATAATTCAATTCAATATTTCGATTTTTAGCCTCGTTGCTCAAGAACTACTTCATAAGCATCGACAACGTGAAATGCGTGACGGTGGGCGAGAAAAGCAACACCGTTTCGAATACGTTCGGAGATATTTTCGCTAGTGTATTGGGCACCGATTCCAATAAGCAGGACAGACCCGTATCGTACGAAGATCTTTTGATAAGTCTCCTCAAATTGCTGGGGAAACTCGTCCAGACCCCCATCACTGTAGACAACCCTGTAATTAATTCGTGAATACGGGTCGTTACGGGGTATTCATGGGCGTAACCTTTTGTAGGACGCGATGGACACTGACGCGTCGGTTACTTCCCAAACGGACGAGAGCAAAGCGGAGCAAATTCAGCAGGACAGCGTCTCCGCGCAGGCGACTCCTTGTTTCGCGGACACCGTCCTCCAGCATCATCCGACCGTTATATGTTTGTGCAGGTGCCTCGCGCTATGCAAGTCCTCCTCCCTTTGCATGTTGGCAACCGTGTCCCAAAAGGTAACGTAGAAATTATTCCGAAAAAAAGTAGACCGGAAACAGAATAGTATTGTTCACTGTTCACTTATCAATAATAATAATAATAATAATAACCGATTTTATTCAGAATGATCAGAGTATAAATATATTATAAGGCGAAGGCTAGCCTAAGGCCATTCAAACTTAATTATGTGGCAAAAAGGAAGTAAATATATCATCATCTGTTGTTCCAAATGCAATAAGTATAATAAAAAATTTGTACCTAGTATCAGAAACCAATAAAATACGATTAAATTAGAACAAATAATGTTCAGATTTTCACAGTTGTTTATTGATTTATGAGAGCTGTTTCGGCAATTATCAAATATAATATATGATAATATTCCGACATCTTTTTATAGAAGGTGTTTTCTAATTGAATGAAAATAATAATAAAAAATAAAATAATTTTTGGATCGATTTTAAAAAGAAAACTTTTAACATTTTAACTTTTGAGATACGGGTTTTTCAAAAATAAAATATACTTTTTTTTAATTGGGCACACATGTACTATGTATCAAGAGGCATTATTTAGTGTACCACATTTTTTTTATAATACACCAGTGGCGGGCGTACTGAATTTTACCTGTCTAATTTGGCAGACATTGATGGCACGCCACTGATTTCTCTTAAAATAAAAGTTATTCTCTCAATCTTCTAAAGAAATATAATGTCGTTATTTTTTTCAATACGATGTATGGTTTTTGATTAGAAAAATAAACGTATGATGTCAGCATGCAGAGATTTTAGTTTTCATTTTTTGCGACGGACTAAAATTAAATTAATAGGTCAAATCTGGTCATAGATGAATGCAAATGTCATTATTTTTTTAAGGAAATCAGTGGCGTACCACCACTATGAACAAATAATATTTTGGTTAATTAGGTCGCCACTGCACTGGTTAAATCGATAACTTTTTTTTTTGAAACAGGAAATATCTATCTAAAACAAAATATCTAATTTTTAGTTACCAACTAGTGTCCTTTTAACAAAATGGTCTTTTAATAAATTCATAACAACTTTTTTGAAAAAAAAAGTAGAACATAGAAACTAGATAAGTAATTAAGTAAGCAATTAAGTAATTTCTAACAATTCAATGGGTATTGTGGGAATTTCTGATCCTCGAAAAGTTAACTTGATCTGTAAATATTATTTCGGATATTTTAAAGATTAAATTAATAAGACGCGAAGAACTGAAATTTGAAATTAATATCTATTTCAGTAAAATAGTAAAAAAGTAAGAAATAATAATGATAATAATTCTTTGCATACTGTCATATTAACGATATTGTTGTGATCATGCAGAGAAGACGTTTTTATTTTTTTAATTTAATTTTTTTTCGAAATGATTGGAGTGGCGTATCATCATTGCCCGTATGCCCGCCACTGGTATATTTTAGAAAAATTGCAATAGACTAAATAATGTGTTTTGATAATATGTGCCAAATTTCATTAAAATATCCGAAGTGGTATTACAGATTAAAAAAAAAATAGTTTGTTTTTGAAAATTTTTCCACATTGTATCTCAAAAGTTAAGACGTTTAGGACACGTGTTCATATGAAGTTTTCGTTTTAAAATGGACCCAAAAATCGCCCCGTTAATTATTAACATTAAATTAGACAACACCCTATATAAGCACTTGGTAATAGATTCTGAATCACCATTGTAGGGTTATAATAATTTAAATCCAATCGGTCATTAGGTAATAGATTGGAATGTTTCATTTTGTTAATCTCCAGGGCTTCCAACAAATTTAGTTTTTTTTGGGTTTTGATTCATTATGTATAATTTAAATGAATGGCATAGTTAGAATCCGAACTTTTTTTATACGCCCTTTTATGTTCGTTAATGCGTTTCTTAAATGTTCTATCGGTTTGCGCGATATAAATTTCGACTTTAATTTTTGAGTTTTATTGGTTTTTTAATATGTTCCTATGGTGTTTTCCGTTTTAAAAGCAATCTTTATTTTATAGTTTTATAAATTTTTGAGTTAAAATGATGGCTCAAAGTTTTGGGAGTTTCACATGTCACTAAGCTTTCGATTTATATTTCGGAGTTTACAAGCGAACAGTTATCCGCAATCAAGATAACCGTCGCGTTCTTCAGAAGGATCTTCAAATTGTCGACTCTTGGTGTAAAGTCATCAGATTGCCATTGAATATTGACAAATGTTTTTCTGTTAGTTGTTTTTCGCACAGGTTTTGATTGCTAACCATATCAATGAAACTTGTACGAGGGCAGCGCCAAAATTTCCCGGCTTGAATATGAAAGAAACAAAGTAGAGTAACAATTTTTTATTATTTTTCAATATAATCCCCCTTAACTTCAATACACTTATTATATCTCTTTATTAACAACTCAATCTCTTTAAAAAAATATTCTTTTAATTTGTCTGCAGAATGAGCTAAAACAGCCTCTTTTAACTCAACTTCGTCGTTAAACCGCCGTCCACGTAAGTGCTTTTTCAAATATCCAAACAAATAATAGTCGCTGGGGGCCATATCTGGACTATAGGAAGGATGATCTATCTGTTGGAACCGACACTCTAAAATGGCAGCTTGTGCAACACCAGCAGTATGGACAGGTGCATTATCGTGCAAAAGACGCACGCCTCTGGTCAGTTTTCCTCGACGTTTTACACGTATGCAGTCTTGCAATTTACGTAATAATGTTGCGTAATATTTACCATTGACAGTGGTAGTAGTTTCTTTAAAATCTATCAAAAGAGTTCCTTCACAATCCCAAAAGGTCGCGGCCATCACCTTTTTTGTTGACTGGCAAGCTCTGAATTTTATTGGAGGTGCTCCACCCTTACGACTCCACTCCATTGATTCTTTTTTCGATTGAGGGTCATAATGGAGAACCATAGTTTCATCTCCCGTTACAATAGTTTCTATCACAGGCCACAGTTCCGACCCACAGAGTTCCAAAAAAGACCGCGCACACTCGACACGGCGTTGTTTTTGAATCGCCGAAATGTTTTTAGGAACCCATCCTGCACTAACCTTATGCATACCTAAATGATCATGCAGGATTGGACGAACACTTGTATCAGAAAGCTTAGTAATTTCTGAGATTTCCTTGACCTTTAAACGTCGATCACTCAATACCACAATCGCAACAATATCTTCCGTTATGACCTCCACTGGTCGACCAGGTCTTGAATCATCTTCAAGGGACTCCTGCCGCATTCTAAAGCGTTTTGCCTATTCTTTCACTACAGAATACGAAGGTGAACTTTGGCCGTACACACCATCCAGCCTTTGTTTAATAATTTTAGGTGCTAACCCTTCTTTCTTCAAAAACTGTATGACTGCTCTATACCCAATTTGCGTGATGTGCGACATTTTTTCGAACATGTCTTGTTTAAAATGCTGTATAAAAAAACTATTTGACGCAAGAGTTCAATTTTTTTTCCCAGCCTACTAAGATATATATTTAAAAGAAGACAAATGTTTATCGTGATACTGGAACTGCATCTATGTCGGGCCGGGAAATTTTGGCGCTAACCTCGTAACAGTGCGTTTGAAATGTTAGGATTCATATTTCGGAGTGAGTTTACGAGCCAACAGGTATTAAAGACGACTCCAGTTACGTTAGATCCAACCTGAAGTATGGGGTCATTTTATCGGAGCCTATTTTCAATAAATACATTATTCAGTTTAAAAAAATTCAAAGGAAATTTTTAAAACATCTAGCTTTTAATTGTGATGGTAAACAAATTTTTGGATGCTTAGTTTAGTTCGAAACTACCTCGTATTTCATATTATAAAGGCCAGCCTGGCGAATCTGAGCGAGCCGAACACGGTAGGGGACGCCGTGTTTCACATTCTAACCCTGCTGGCGAAGAGAGCGTCGAGAAAAATGTTACTGATGCCGCCGCTGCTGCAGTTCTTGTCGCAGTCGCCCCAGTTGAGCGAGCCACTGATTTGGTTCATACTGCAGGTTTTAGATAGCGACGACGCCATACGATGCTTTTCCGATAGCGGTACGGCCCCCCCCCCCCCGATCCTTTTGCTTTTCAGTTTTTTTTACTAAACTTAAGCTACCGTAGGTGGTATCTCGGTGTTGGCGAGCAGCATCATAAGGAGCAGCAACGCTCCCAGTACTCTGTCGAGAAACGGCACCATATCGACCGTTATGCAACATTTTAACGGCTTTAACAGTCAGTCGGACAATGCCACGCCCATCGGTCCCGCGTCCGCCAACAAGCTGTATCAGGCGTCCATGGAGAACAGCTCGCTGATCAATTTCGCCCCCTATTGTACCATCACCTGTCAGTCGGTAACGTCCCAGCCGGCGGACGTTTTGATTCAGGCAAGTTCAGCGGTCATACTGTTATACAGGGTGTTTTCTAATTCATTGTTAATAATTATTTTGGCAGACATTGATGGTAGGGGACGCCGGTGTTGGTTGTGCCATTTTTAAAGAAAGTAATTTTATGATTTTTTAAGGCAAACGTCGGTTTTGTGCTGTTTTTATTCTACAACATTTGTTCTAAATAAAAATACAAACCAAAATTAACAGATGTTCTCCAAAAAAACAATAGCTAGTCGTTATGTCACAAATAACCCCCTTTAGGGGTTCCTTGGAACACTGTTGAGGTTAGTTGTGACATAAGTAAATACATTAAAGACTACCTAGCTATCATCATCTGATTCACAGTTTTGGCAGATAAAGTGCGGATCTCTATCTGTGCACTCTACATGAGCCCAATATTTGTACTTGGTCGACCCATTTTTCTTCCCGAAGAGAATTCGAATAGTTTATACTTTTGGTGACTTATTTATTGGTATCCTGTTTTAGGAATCTAACATTTTTTGAACATCACTTTCTAGGGTATTTGGGGAATCATTTTTATTTAGGGAGGCAGCTCGGGAGGCTCGTTATTGTTGGACCCTAATTCTACAGTTTCTGGATTTGGTCTATCGGTAACAGCGGCAGCCAGAAACTCATCGTCACCAAATGCATGTCTATTAAAAGGACAAATCCGACTAACTCGAAACCCAGCTTGATTTGATGTGGCGACAAATGGTAGAGCCTCTTTAGCAATGGAGGGAATATCATATATTTTCACTGTCTTGCCTGGATGGTTTTTCATCGAGGAATCAATCGCACCATATACTGACCTGTCTAATGTTCATAATTTGTGTGAGCAATGTGGAGTGAATGAAACTATCACACTATTTTCCTTGCAGAAATTGATGCCTCTTATGGATAACTTTAAAATGCTTGATGAAATGTTGCAAAAGAATATAATATTCATTTTCGGACATCCATCCAGACGGATTTGCAGCCCCGATGCAACCTGGTGGACCATTGTTTACAAAGCGATCTCTGTAGTTCTAGCGCAAAACAAAATGTAACCAATCTACCCCTCTAAGCAGAAGTGACATATCCCCCTTCCTAGCAACTATCCGATCGGCCTTTTGGACCGTGGTGATTCCCCTTTCATTAAGATTCTAAATGTCTTGAGATTCAAACTTGTAATGGTCTAACACTTCCGCTAATAATTATTATAAATCATAATATTTTAAGTCTTCAGGAGAATCCAAAAAAACTTTTGTAAAAATTTTTTTTTTGTATCTCCTATGGGTTTCCAGATTGTATAGTGGATCGTTTTATTTGGCACACGGTGTACCACGGTAAGAAATGAAGTATTAAAATACGCCTTTAAAAACTACATTCCTTACTGTAGCGTAGTAAAGAATCACTTTACGATACCGGCACCATCTGGCGTTATTTATCACCATCAATGTTCGCTTTAGGGACTATCAGGCGTGACTCATCGTCGGGCCCGCACCCCGCTATGGTCGTACAACTACTACCAAGAAGAAACTCATACCGAGCTGCTCCTGCAGCTGCCGAGCGCGGTCCTGCTGAAGGAAGTCCATCTCCAGCCTCACGCCGGAGGTCTGGCCACTTGTCCGTCGTACGTAGCCATCGAGACGTCGGCGAACGGGCCTTCGCGTCTGGTCCCTGCCGGTCACCCCTTACCCACCAGCGGTCTGACATATATCCGACTGCATCTGCCCCAGCCCAAAGTGGTCAACTGTATCCTCATACGTCTGTACAAGCCTCGCGTGGGCAACAGTATCGGTCTCTTGCAAATCCGTTTGCTCGGCACTTACGCTTTCGGCAGAAACGTCAACCACAGCGTGGACCTCGACGACGAGTCGCACTGCAGCCACAGTCTGGGTACGTGAATAATTATACCGTCTGTCGTCTACGTAAAGACTAGGGGGTCTATACCCCATTGGGTATCTACTAATGCAGTAATATACAGGGTGTTCCGTTTACATAATATCAGTTTGGTTTCCCACATATTTATCACTCTGTGTTATCTATAGCTTTTGTATTTTAATAATTTTTTTAAACAAATAACAAATGAGATATATTACTTTGAGATACTATTTGGACAGCCTGTATATAATATGTATTATTTGTGTTGATCTACTTCTTTTCTCTTTCCTGTCCACTAAATATTTAATTTTTAACTTTTAAGTGATGATTAAATGGTTATGTATTTTGTTGTGGGTCCTTTCTACATTATTTACTTAACTATGCATTGGCCTTGCAGTTTATTTCAATTAACTGATGAAAAAAAGCTTGATAGGTATAGGAATCCCATTAACCAGCAAAAACCTAGAAAAGTCGTAAATTGTGAGTCGTATTTGTTGGCATACATTTTTCGAGATTAATGTTGTACTTTTTCCTAAAGGAATGGTCACACAAAAAATGCCAATTTAGAGACCCTTCATTCCCAATATTTTGCAAAAACCACCATCCGATGTTACTTAAATGTTCCGAATTTGGGAGAGCGTTTTTGTGTGCTTCGTCTGCTGCTCCCTCCTTAGCTTTCGAGAAAGTTTCAAAATTTTCTTCTTGGCGGTTTTCCGGTTTGGAGACGAATTTCTTCGATTTTCGTCCTTTTGGATGAAAACTAAAATTGGAACTATGACTGTTCTCAAAACAATAACAATTACTGGGAACGTATTCGTTTTTTCTTTTTCTATTTCTATGGGAATTATTCTTTCTGCTTAATTATTTTCTTTCGCCTTAATTGAAATTGAAAATCCTACCGACTGCGCCACTTAAATGTTACGAGCTTCGTCTGCTGGTCTAGGTATATAACTCGATCGGTTCTTTTTTCAAGCTTTTTTAAAATGTGGAATATTTCTTCCTGCGTGTGACATTCATAGATGCGTAAAGGTTAAAGTACAGGCTTGGCTCAAAATATCTTGGATGGTATTGTACCTTGTCCTTTTTACAACTGTCAATCGATTAGGTGGCGGACAAGTCCGCTGCCTGTCTGAATTATATATTTTCTCATTCTTTTTTTGAACTCTCGTCATTTTCCTTTCGATATAATGTTCCATATCCTACTCCAACTGAAAAGAAACAATATTTATACAATAACAAACAAAAGTGAGGTTAGTTTCCGTTAGTTTGGTTAGTTAGTTATTTTTTTTTTAATGAATTGAAAAGTAGTTTTTTAAAGTATCTGAAATTTTTAATTGGTCCAATTCAAATTTTGATTGTTAATTACGACGTTAATGTTTCACTTATGGCAAAAATATTTAGGGGGGATACTTTGTAAGTCTTGTTAAGTATTTTCATATAATAAAAAAAATCGATAATTTTCTACGATTTCCTTAAAATAGTTCCTTGTTATATACGAGGGTCACTTGAAAAGTTTCCGCCCCAACAATAATGTGCCACCTTATTTGACGAAAATCTTTGACCTCCGAGCGCAGTTTTTAAGTAAGGGAAAAAAAAGAAGCCGCGTGAGGTCAGATCGGGTGAGTAAGGCGGACGGAGAAGCATTTCATACCGTAATTCGTGGATTTTCTCCATGGTAACCGCTGAGGTATGACACGGCGCGTTGTCTTAATCGTAATTAGTAATTAGTCGGTGGAAAATCAACAACTACGATAACTAGCTTTTAGTAACTAGTGCCGCCATCTTCAGGGTGAGGTCGGAAACTTTTCAAGTGACCCTCGTATTGTTCGAGGAACGTAGAACGGGTTATGTAATTGTTGGCTGAAATGTTAACTTAACAAAAATGGTAATTAATATAGTTTAATTAAAACCCTATATGGTTAGACAACGAAGCTGAAATATTGTCCTCGCCAGATGTGTTTTATGTCCTGTCTAATTATGGAAGAACGCACTAATAAGGAAGGCATTTTTATTAATAACTTCCATAACTTCTTCCAGGGTGGTTACGGCTGCTGCACCACTGTTTCACGCTAGACACGGACGAAGAATTGAGACGTCAAGTGATCGAATGCTCATCGAACACCCCCGGTCTGCTGAGTACATGTTGCGGGTTGCTTTTGGTGCCTTCGCACATACTGCCCGTTTATTTGCCGTGTTTGGAGAAGGTCCTTAGGGAATTGGCGCTGTTCAGTCCCGAGAACGGGATCGAGACCATCAAAATTTTGTTGGATAACCGCCTGAGCATGGTGGAACCGATGATGTCGCTGAACAGCGTGTGGCAGGACAAGCTGATGATTAACGTATCTGGATATCAGTCGGCTTGCGATTTACTTTATCAGATATGCGAATATCAGGTGAGACCGGTTTGATTTAAGGCATGGTTTACATTAGCTCCTAGGAAATCTCAAATCCGATAGTTCGAAATCGCCAAAGTGAAGATTAAGATTATCCAACCTCTATGGAACAGTGATTTGTAATAGGAATAAGATACATATTTTGAAGACATTTTCCATTTGTTAAACTTCTGTTTGATAACAACAATATTAATTTGGGATAATTAACGAAATATTTAAATGTAAATGTTAAATAAAAAAATTTAAAAATATTGATGCGCTTGTTGGATGGCCGCCTTATGGACATATGGCAGGGTGGAGCAAGCCTGCCCAATTAATTATTTTTTGTGGCTTTTAACCATCAAGTCGATTTATTTTTGACGAACTTTAACTAAATTTACCCAAATTTTGGCGAATTATTTATTAAAAAGTATTTAATAAAAAAACGTTGCTGATTAATATTTTTCTATTCAAAAATTTGTTATTGATATTTATAAGATTTCCGAAAGGTCTTGTTTTAGGCTAAATCCGTAGAATTATCCAGAAAATAAGACTGTCAAAAAATTATTTATGAATCAGTTATAATAATATGGAATAGCATTTTTTAGATTTTTTTAGCGGTCCATTTTACCCCTGGTATTACGCAAAGGGCTAAAAATGTACAAATAACCAGAATTTATAATTATGATAACGAAAAAAAAATTGACTAATTTTAAAAGATGATAGAAACCAAGTTGTATTCCGATCAACAAATTTTTAAAAAATAGCACTCACACAGATATCTAGTACAAAAAAAAAAGTGGATAATTGCTATTCTTAATTATAGAATGGCAAAACACATAACTCTATTAAAGAATTAGTTCGTTCAATTTATTCATATTTTATACAGTGTCTAAAGTAAAATGCGACGTTCACTTGCTTGAACTTATGGTACTTTAGGTTCTTTCTAACAAACACTGCAATGTTTTTCAAAGAAACTTCCACAGGCTACTGTAATACTTTTTACAGGAATTCTGAATTCCTCCTGCGTCGGTTTTTGCTGGGTCGAACTTGCTGACGTTTCGCCAATCATCTTATTGGCTTCTTCAGAGCTTGACTGAGACTTGCTCGCATTTTACTCTGCACCTGCTTATATATTTTTTGACGGGGGCGGAGTCAAAATGACGGGCATAAACACCGTCTTGGGGATGACTGATCCTATATTGGTGACAACATATTCACTAGCACTTATTACAGGGAAAACTGATAGTTTCGTACTTAATTCCTTTCACCTCATTGAACAATTAAAAAGCGTTTCATTAGCTACACAAGATATTCTAGTTAGTTTCGACGTAGAATCCGTCTTTACCAAAGTTCTGATTCCTGAAATTCTCAACATCATTTTAGATATATTAAAATCCCAGAATCTGGAACCAAACCTTCTCACCTTAATTGTCTGGAACATATTTTTCTTATAACGGTCAAATTTTTGAACAAACGTCGGGAACAGTTATGGGTTCTCCGCTATCACTAGGCGTCGCAAATGTATTTATGGAAGCCTTTGAGAAGAAAGCTCTCAACACCTTTCATCTAAAACTAAAATTATGGAAACGCTACGTTGATGATAATTTTGTTATTTGGTCTCATGATCAAGAAACCCTAGTAGATTTTCTTAGACATTTATACTCTATACACCGTAGCATACGTTTTACTATTGAATTGGAAACTAATAACATTGGGTGTATATATTGGATGAGTTATATTTAATATTTCCTGTAATTGGGTCATGTTACCTGTTGGAAATAAAGGGCTATTATTTACAGAAAACCTATGCACACAGACCGACACTTTAATGCATGGTCACATCATCATCGGTCTATCTCAGCCCTAGTCACTGACCCCGAATTAGAACACCCTATCTCTGCTCTTCTCTCTAATAATTTCCACATTAAAGATATTAAGCGTTCGATCAAAAAATACATTTCACCACAACCTTCCAATAGCAATGAGGCCAAATTCTACACTTGCCACTGTGGTCCTTACATTCAAAATATTACTGACCACATATCAAAAGTTTTAAAGAAGTATAACGTCAAAACCAGATTTACCAGTTATCCAAAAATCTCTCAACATTTTCGGTCCGTCAAAGATAAAATTCCGTTTGAGATGCCAGGAGTTTACAGCATTCCATGCATATGCGGCAAAGAATACATGGGAGAAACCGGACGAAAAGTATCAACTAGGCTCAGAGAACATGAAAGAGCCTTAAGACTAAGACAAATAATCTCATCAGCCGTTGCCGAACACGATCACCAAACCGGACACAAAATTTTATTCGATGAAACTAAAATTATTGCATGTAATCAATTCTTCTACCAACGAAAAATCCGAGAGTCGATAGAAATCTATAAACAACCTAACAATTTTAACCGCGACTCAGGTCTCTACCTGTCACCAATATGGGAATCCATCATCCGAGACTGTGTTTATACCTCTCATTTAGCTCCGCCCCCCTCAAACAATATATAAGCAGGTGCAGCGTAAAATACGAGCCAGTTTCAGTCAAGCTCTGAAGAAGCCAACAGGATGATTGGCAAGATGATCAGCAAAATCCAGAATCCAGAAGTTCTGTAAAAATTAGACACTACAATAGTCTAAAGTATTGTTCGTTATACTAATTTTGAAAGTGACCTAAGTCCTTTTTTTATTGACGATGTTAATAAGTGCGGCCAAAAATGTTGAAACCATTGACGAGGTAATTTAAATTACGTTTTGATATTAAATTAAAATTTAAGACACAGTACTTCATTTTTCTTCAACAGAAGAAGAGGAAGTAATTGGGAATGAGAATTAACAAAACAGCATCTTCAAAGAAAGATTCAGAGAACACAGAAGTGGTACTTATATTCAGAAAATTCGTAAAATTAAACGGATTTCTGGGAAAAGATACAAATTTTTCAAAATGAAGATTGCCAATGCCGAAAGGACTGCATGAAAAATTTAAATGAAACAGAAATGTTTTGAAACTTTAATAAGCAAAATATATTACTGTACGAAACGACCGGATGCAGTGTTGTATAAAGAAGACGTCAGAGAAACGGAAAAGGTTCATGTATAAATAAGATTTTTTCGGATTGATTGAAACTTGTATTAAAATCTAAAAACGTTGGCAACGATTTTCGTGGAAGTTTGCCTAGATGGTCGAGAAAAATATGTGATTAAGCAAATATGATTGGTCAAAACCATATTAACAGTATCTCTTAATTTGAATCCCATTATGCTAGGGGCCATAATCCCGAGAGAAAATATCTTCATCTTGATCTGACTATAAAAAAATGTTTAATTTTTATGAGCTTCACTGTGAAGAAAATTATTTAAAAGCAGTTAATTAATGGACTTATAGAAAAATATTAAAAAAGCATTTTAATCTACATTTCCACCAACCACGTAAAGACACATGTCAAAGATGTGATCTATTAAACATTAAAGTCAAAGCATCAGAAGCTAGCAGAATAGGCTAGAAATACGTTAAAACTAGATCAAGTAATCCATCTTATTATTTTGGCTTTTCATTTGATTTGCAGAAACCGTTACCATTCCCAAAGTTACTACTTCAGTAGCTTATTATAAATGTAATATGTATATTTTAAATTTAGGCCTACACAATTTCCACAACGATAAAGTATACATGTACATTTGGGATGAAACAAAAGCTTCTAGAGGTTGCCAAGAAGTGGCTTCATGCCTCTTGAGACACTTAAAAACCCTGAATAGTGGAAAACACATCAGATTACAAACAGAAACTTCAAAATATGTGGTTAAAAATTCTATCGATGGGAAATGATGTGGGAATCATAGACCACAAATCAGGGCATTCATTTTTACCTAATGACAGAGATTTTGGCGATATAGAAATGTCGTTAAAAAGAAATCAGTTATTGTATGTACCACAAGATTGTAGAAAAATGTAGAAAAGGTAATACTTTCATACTAAATGAAATGAAACAAGAGGATTTTATATCAACAAGACTCTTGGAAGAAGCAGTTTACAAAAGATCCAAAAATACCAACTGACAAAAAATAAACGGGCTTCAAATATACTGGAAATAAATAAGAACTAAAAGTTCAGATTTTCACGAAATTATATATTATGACATGACAATTGTTTCGACAACACCGTGTCTTTATCAAACATTGGATAAAGACACGGTGTTGTCGAAACAATTGTCATGTCATAATATATAATTTCGAGAAAATCTGAACTTTTAGTTCTTATTTATTTTGATAAATGGATTTTCATCAAGTAAAAGCCACCTCAGTTCAAATATACTGGATGCGATTTTTAAGAAATGAACCATATAAAATTTTATATAAAACAACCATGGATGAGAACGCAAAATTTAAAATTCTTGATTTATTGCCACGTCGGGGTAGACCTAAAAAATTTGGGAATATTGTATTGTCGTCGTTACATAAAAGTATAAGAAGCATCACATCACTAAAATACCGACACATGATGGACTTATTGCGGTATATACTTCCGTAACACCATAACTACTTCAAATCACTCGCGCGTACTGAGAATGTTAACGAATAACTTGTTACTAAATTCATTGCTATTATCTGAAAATATAATTTAAATGTTTTTTTTTCTATTTTTTAGGCTATATGTAAACGGACTTACACTCTTCCACTTTTTGTAAAAAAACAAATTTTTATTTTGAAAGTGACTTAAGTCGTTTTAAGGTAAACAAGGTATACACTTTATAATAATAATAATAGCTACTTTTTAATAGGATGTATAAAATTAAATCCCCAAATTAAAGTTAATTGGTCTTAAGTCTCTTTCAAAATGAACGGCTCATATATTGAACATTTTAAAGTGCTTAATTTTTTTACTTGATTAATTAAATCATTTACAATGGAAACTGGAATCTTATACATTTTGTCACCCGCGCTATTGACACCATAAGCCAATCAAGTAATGTGAAATAGGTTAGAATAAAACATCTTCAAATTTTGTGTTGGCTTAATGAATTTTTTTGTCGGAAGACTTTTGGGCAAAATCAAGTTAGTTAATATCTCTTGAACAAATTTGGTTACACTCGTTTTTGTTTTAATTGTTTGAATGCAACATAATTATTGGATTAATCGGGTTCCCCTAAGACTCCAATCAATGCGTGTGCAATATAGTTCCCATATGAGTGGGTTGTTTTATCAACCATAAGATAAAAATACTTTACACCCACTTTTTTGTTTAATGTGATTTACACTTTGCTGGTAAATGATATCGACACTACTTTCACAGTTCATTCGCCCGATATGTTACATTTATAATATTTTGTCAAAAGTGATCTTAAAATTTTTGTAAATACATTATTAAAATTGTTACTATCAATACGTGCTTGAAAGGCAAAATTTTCTATTATACCAAAAAACATATATCACCTTTTTTTATTATATACTGCAAAAAAAATTGAAAATATGGTTTATACTTACAATTTTAGTTTTAAATTAGTTTTCGGAATTTTAACAAACACTGCACAGATAGACACAGACATAATTGACTTTACAACCCTTTAAACTATCAGACTATGTTTGCAATGTTATTTCATTAGTTTGCTTTTACCATATATTATATTCTCTATTATTTTGTCACCATATATTCGATTCCTAGGATGCCAACACGAGAAGCAGAGTCCAAATGATCCTGGATTGGCTCAGGGCAACGGTAAACGAGTGCCTGACGTCCGGCAACACTGGCAAATGCAACGCCGCTTACCTTTCTTGCATAGCGTCGATTTTGTGGTCGAGTCACCAATCCCGGGTCCCGTACGACCTGAGGTCGCTCATCACTACCGATTTCTTCGACGCGATATACAATCTGAAAATGCGAGCGAGCAACAACAGTCTGAAGTACGCGCTGGACTCGCTCCTCTGCTCGTTTTGTTACATCCAGTCCGAGTTCTTCCCCCTTTTGCTGCAAAAGATCGGCGTTCTGGTGCCCAACTTGTCTACCGACCCCGGAGCGTCCATAAGCGACGACAGGAAAGACGTAAACGGGATGACGGACGATCACAAGCAGTGCCACGTGAACTCCGAGTGGTACGGGCATTTGGTCATCGGCGAACTGTCGGAATTGACTTTGACCAAGGACGAGTTGGAGACTGTGGCGCTCGCGAGCCGTTCCCCTAACGCTATCCAACAACTGTTGGATTCGGGACTGCCGAAACTCCTCAACAGCGCGATATTGGAATTTTGCCACCCGAACGACCTCAACAATGTCGTGCCGATGGCCAAACTGGAAAACGTCACCGCGATACTGCAGTTCTTTACCGACGTTTGCGACGAAAAAGTGCTCAGAGATTGGCTCGGCTCGCCGGACGGCTCGTCTTTCTGGCCCCACTTGCTGCACTGGCTCTGCCAGAAGCCGTTCAACAGCGCGAACATCCACTCGGAGGCGCACGTCAATCTCGAGGAGATCTGCGTGAAATTTTTGGCCAAGTGTTGCCTGTGCCACACCACCAACCAAGCCCGACTGGCCAAGGTGCTGTGCGAGGTGATCTCGCTGCAGCCGCACGGCATCACCGGCTTCCTGAGGCGGCTCGTTTTGCAGCTGCTGCTCGAAAACGAGAAAGTGCCGGTGAGCGTCGAGGCGGACGAAACGCTGTACAAGAATTTCAAAATGTCCGCGACGATGTTCACGCCGTCCCATCCCGCTTTCAAACAAGCCTACAATCGGACCATGCTCTACTTGAGCACGAACACGACTCTGGCGGACATACTCGAGCAGCATTTGTTCTTCAACAGCGCGTACAAGTCGGAGGCGGAGCCGTATAAGAAGGTGTCGACGGCGGTGAAGAAGTACCTGAACAACAGCTTCGTGTCGGATTTCTCAGACTTGAGCGTCGCGGCGGGCGTAACCGCCAAGGATAAGCGCGCGAAAGACATGAAGAACCAGGCCACCGCTACGCCGCAGACGAAGAAGAAACGTTACGCGGCCGACCTGAACGACGCTTCGGAAGCTCTCGAAGGCAGGTTGGTGAAAGCGTTGGCGTTTTCCGAACAACCGTTGCCCCTCACACTGAACTTGGGCCAGTTGCTGCGGATGATCGAGACCAAGGGTGCCGCCAACGATTGGCCGTACATCCATCTGACGATATGTCAAAGCAAAGGCAAGTGGTTAGACGTTGCGCGGGATTTTTTTTTTTTTTTTGGTTCCGAGGGAAACGGTTAGAAATTTTGGCTGGGGCCGCCATGTCAGCCCCAGTTTTCAATGAGAGTTCCACATTCCTGGGTCGGTTGTTTATGAAATAAACTTGCCGACGTTCCGCCGATTATGATCTTGAGCGCTCAACTCGAACTGGGTCACGTTATACTCTATATGCGCATATGTAGTACGACCAAAAATATAGTGCATTCATTGCTTTGACGTTTTAAGTATTTTACGGTACCTTAAACGCAGGACCGTGGTAAAACCCATCCCAACAGACGTTCATTCTGCGTTAAGTAGATCTTGCCTGAGATGGACCCTAACGAATATTTGCGGAAACTTGAAATTTGTTATTAAGCATTGATGTTGCGGGGTGTTTTCGAAAAAATAGAAGCGTTTATTTTAACATCAGGTAAAATCTGTTCATAGATATAAGGAAGTGACTAACTGATACGAATTAAGGAAAGACCCGGGCAAGCCGTAAGAATGAAATATGGACGAACAGGTCCGTAGTTTGCTTAGAATTTATTTTTTTGGGGTTTTGTTAGGAAAGATACTAAACAATATTTATTTATTTATGTATGTATTTATGTTTAAATCTAAAATAAAATTCTATAATCTTTGCAATATGGATATACAATTGTTCTGCTTTTTCTATATGTTTAACAGAATTTGCCCAACTTTGTGGAGGGATGTTAAATACTTCTGTTTCTCTAAGTTAGAGGACATTTGAGTTAACACGGGGAAACGACGAATGGCAGATTTCAGTTGGTACCAAACATGTTCAATGGGATTAAATATACAGTGGTAAGGTGGAAGCCTTAAAATTGTATGCCCTAGATTTTTTGCATAGTTATCACAGACGTATTCCTTTTGTAAGTTCAACCTTTGTTGAACCTCAATTAATTGCTTCGTGAAAATAATTGTCGTTATTATACATGTAGTCACACGAGGAAGGGATTTTAGTCAACTGCCTACTGTGATAACTTGCATTGTCCATTACAATGACGCTATTAGGAGGAATGTTTGGAACTAGTTTGTTTTTAAACCAACTTTCAAATAAATAAATCGGCATAAATGGCATTCCAGCGAAGAATCTGTAATATTTTTCGAAGAAGTCTCCTAATTAAGAAATCTAATGTAGGCACGCTTTGTTCCTCGTATAACTGGTAAATTTTTCGCCGTATTATATCTTGATCACTTTCATCTACACTCGAGAAATTGTCAGCATCCATATAGTTGATGTTGGAATTTTCGTCAATGTCACTGTTTCTTCTAAAGACGCTTGCTTGCTGACACCACGTTCAATGAGAGTCAAATAAACATTGTTTATAACTTCATTAGTCTCAATAGAATAGTGTTTTCTACATTTGGACGGGAGCATCTCCTGGGATACACTAGACTCGCACATATTTTGCATAATTCGCACACGATTCAGCACACGCTGTATTACACACGAAATAAGAATAATTACTAATAAACTTAAACTAAGTAGTATACCAAACTTAAGAATATTAAACCCAGATAGGTATGATCTGTTCATAGATATAAGAAAGTGACCAATGCAACAAGATTATTACCTAAAGTTTCGGAATTTAAATTCGGGTAAAATTGTGGTCCGCAATAGAAAATAATTTGATACCTACCTGTGTTTAATATTCTTTGGTTTAGTATACTACTTAGTTTAAGTTTATTATTAATCATTCTTATTTCGTGTGTAATACAGTGTGTAGAAAACACTATTCTATTGAGACTAAGGAAGTTTATTTGACTCTCATTGAACTTGGTGTCAACAAGCAAGCATCTTTAGAAGAAACGGCCACATTGACGAAAATTCCAACATCAACTGTATGAAAAATTGTGAATAACCCCAAATAATTAAATTCTAAGCAAAGTACGGACCTGTTCGGCCATATTTCATTCTTACAGCTTGCCCGGGCCTTTCCTTAATTCGTATCAGTTAGTCGCTTTCTTATACCTATGAACAGACTTTATAAAATTATTTTCTATTACGGACCACAATTTTACTTAACTTTATGTAATAATCTTGTTGCATTGTATATTAATGACCACCCTTCGATAATCCCATTCAAAAGCAATTGGTCACTTTCTTATATCTATGAAATATTTAAGAGTTTAATCTAAATTGCAATATGTTCGTATATATTACGGAGGTATTTGACTGTGATCCTTCCAGCCAAGTGCTAATGGAATCTCAACGTAGGGTGGATTATTTAAATGCAATTGAAAATTTTCGAGAGAAAAATAGAGGAAACGTGGTTCGACACACACCACACAGTAAAAAAAAAGATGGTGTGATAAGAGTAACAAGTATGGAAAACGCATAATAATTAGGCTTAGGCGTTTGGGCCAAATCACAAGCAAAATGATGAAACAGCTGTTAAAAATAATCTAGTGCCAAGGCGTTTTGACTATGTACCTATGATTTTGCATTCGGAAACTTTAACCAGTTAATACCAAGCTTGGTTGGCTGGAATTTTAATCACCACGGTCGAATCGTGATCGTGATCAGTTTTCGGCTAGTTGGAAAAGCGTATTACTAATTAGCATTAGTAATTTTTTTTGGAGATAGGTCCTGGTAATTGTCGTAACTAAGCAGAGCAAAACATGCAATATATGCATAAATGCATAAAATGAACAAAAAATGCACCTATGTATTTTTATTACATGGAAAACTGTGAATTTTAATGTTATTTTAAATAAAGCCAGAACTATTTCTTTATAATTAAACCCGTTGTTCAGAAAGCCTATATTTTTAGCTACACTACAAACCTATTTGAAATTTGGAATGAAACAAAAAAAATTGGTTATAAAATTTTTTTATTCGTAGATTACATAGCAAATTGATAAAAATCTTACAGTGACAAAATAGTATTTGCGATATTTAAAAAAAATTAATGATTCAACAATACCATCAATACGTTCAGATAATATCAACTTGCCCAACATAGAATTCGTAAATTTTACAATCTATTCATTCCAGTTTTAAAAACAATTGAAAACTAAATGTTATCAGACAGTATTTTAGTTTTGGGATTCAGGGAGTTTCTAATTTATACAAATCCACTTCTGTTTACAAATTAGTGAAATTGCTTATAAAAACTTCTGAAATGTTTGTTAGAATTTTGAAGTTTTATTTACAATTTACACCAGCAATTTTGTATCGTGTATGAAACATGTTTTTATGCAGTTGACACCCAGGTATTATATTCATTTGACCACAGTACGCGGTATACGACTCAAAAATTGATCAATGTAGATTTAAAAGAACTAACAGATTTTTCAGCACGTCGCGGATTGATAATTAATCCAAGTAATCATGTGTTATGCTCTTTTTAAAGAATAGGGATCGTTTGGTGTCTGAACTTAACTTAAAAGTGAGTGGTGGAGTTTTGGAGTGTACACATTGTGCAAAATATCTTGGCCTAAGATTTAACATTGATTTTCGTTTTATTTACAAAAGGGATACGTCTCCTTAAAGTTGCTTTATCCCCATAGTCATTTATTGTCTGAGGCTCAAAAGATTAAATTAACGGATTCTCTAGTGTTAAGTTACTTTAACTATAGTGACATTTTATATGACCCATGCCTAGATAAAACTGACACATATAGAATGGACAGTGCACAAAAAAACTGTTTGTAAGTGGTTGAATATGCGGAATAGGCATAGACTACACTCCTTGGTATTTTTTCACAACATTATTTTGAATAACAGTCCTCCTTACTTGACAAATAAAATAACATATCGGACAGAAGAACAAAGAAGCCTCTCCTATAACGTTTACAAACTTTACAATACCGTTCCTCTCTCTTTAAAAGCCTTAAAAGCAAATTGCAAGTGATTTTCGAGTAAGTTCAGTCCTAAAATTTACTATCCAATTTTTAATTTTTATATACACGTACACATTTCCTTTTTTTGCTATAGTTATCTCATGCGAACTAATACTTTTCAAATAGTTGCTATATATTATTTTATAGAGGTCGAACTTAAAACCTAAAAAAAGTGTGATCTAAACATAAGGATGGAATTACTTTATTTTAATAACGACCTGATACCGAACCTAAATCTTTTGGTTCGGTATTACAAAAAATATGTTTTATTTTTGAAAACTTTATCACTCTATCTCAAAAGTTGTTGGGACATATATATGGAGAGTTCACTGCATTATCTAAAAAAAATACTTGAATTGAGGTGGCTTTTACTTGATCAAAATCAAAATAAATAAGAACTAAAAGTTCAGATTTTCACGAAATTATATATTTTTACATGACAATTGTTTCGACAACACCCTGTCTTTATCAAATGTAATATTTACAAACTACCTGATACTATATAAACCGAAAACTGACCATAAAACCTTATTATTGTTCCTGTGAGAATTTAAGTTCAATAAAGGAGAGGTATTTAAATCGTTAAGCAATACATTTGAATGTCTCATTTTGTTAGTCTCCATGACTTCCAATAAATTTAATTTTCTACTTTTCAAACGCTCTTTTATGTTCGTTAATGCGTTTCTTAAAGGATCTACGTGTTTGTCCAATATAAATTTTAGGACAAGATCCGTATTTCAACCTGTAGACACTTGATTTTTGACATTTTGGACATTTCGCTTTATTGTTTTTTAAAAAATTTCCTATTGTACTGTTAGTTCTGAAAGCGATTTTTAAACCACATTGTGACAAATGTTTTGAAACTTTTTCATTAGGTTCTCCTATGTATGTAATTGTTTTCAATAATTCGTATTCTGTATTAGGTTTCGGATAAATAGGGTTTACTGTTGTCTGTATTTGTTTTTTATTTATAATTTTATCTATAATGGACGGATTGTAGCCGTTGTTCAGTGCTATTTGTTTAATGATATTAAGTTATTTGTTGTAATTTTCTGTTGAGAGTGGCGTATTAAGAAGTTTGTGTATAAAAGAGTTAAATGCAGAAATTTGTGTACATAAGGGTGGTTTGAGCTGTTATGTATGACTGTGTCCGTGTGTGAAGATTTCTAATTTGTTTGCGTTTTCGTAATAGTTAAGTCTAAAAAATTAATGGAGTTATCCTGTTCAATCTCGATAGTGATATTAAGTTATATTAAGTTTATATAAAAAAGTGAAATGCAGCCATTTTGTGTGCATAAGGATGCGTTTTGCGTTTGCGTAATAGTTAAGTCTAAAAAATTAATATAGTTATCCTGTTCAATCTCGTTGTTGTCGAAATAATTGTCATGTCAAAATATATAATTTCGTGAAAATCTAAACTTTTAGCTCTCGTTTATTTTGATTTAAAAAAAAAAGACTTCTGATATTGTGGAATGTACTAAGCGTCTAGGCATTTTTGCATAAACCGCACCCCTTGCGTTATTCTTGTCAGATGTACGGCTTCTTGTTGCTTGAAAAAATCCGGTAGCGGTTTCAACATACAACGCGATTGATGTAAAAGGGTTTACAAGTTTAAAACGGCAACTTTGCGTTTAGGTAACGACGACAAAAATTACAACCAAGAAGCGTTGGAGATGACCAATGAACAGCTGCCGGTCTGCAGTGCCTTACAAGTGTTCAGTTCAATGGGCGGCCTAGCTCTGTTAGCCGAGCATCTTCCCTCCCTCTACCCCGAAGCGATACGCATGCCGACCGTCGAGAAGAACAATTCGGAACAATCCGACTCGGACTGGATCAAAGTTGAAGGTAAACCGATAGACAAAGTGGACGTGTCCACACCACGTAGCGTTCATTTCGTTTTAAGAGTGCGACGACATCTACGAGGATATAGAGGAAACCATCGGTGGCGCCAGTTCTCCCAGCAAATCGTCCGGCGGGATCTCACACATTCCTCCCCACTCCTTGACCGCGTTTAGTTTATTTTTGAGGTTGCCCGGTTACGCGGAGGTGCTCCTCAAAGATTCCAAGAAGGCCCTTTGCCTGCTCAGACTGATGCTGGGCGTGACCGACGACGGCGAAGGTATGATAATAATAATAATAATAATAATAATAATAATAAAACATTTCATCTTCTATCTTTACAACTTTTGAATTTACCATTTTCTTATATTGTTTGAAACCACGAACTTCACTCTATCGTGGGCACACCCTGTATAAATGAAATAACGTCAAACAATCAAGATTAAACAATATGGTTAACCAGAGCATTCGTCAAGTCGTAGTAATAGTCTTAACATTTCCTTTATATTTTTTTTTAATTTCTGATGGTGTTGATATATTTCACAGAATTTGGTAGATGGTTATCCAGATCCGTCGCCTCTCATTGTCATAAGTCAAAATGACGGTTTGACAAAGTTTCGGTGTTTATTTATTTTTTAATGTATTAGTGGCACTTTATTTTGAAGATCTTTTCTGCTTTTCTGCACATTCGATTAATTCATTTTCAAATGGCGGCTAATATTTTTTTAACATGACTATCATTATTACTATAATAATAATAGTAGGCTTTATTGAGAAGTAAGATAAATGATGCACAATATACAGTACAATATTCTACAAGCTAGCTGACTAGGTAAAATTAATTTTTAAATTTAAATTAATACACTGGCACTTTCTCATACGTCGTCTATCTGGGATTATTATTATAACTGTGTATTACATTTACCTTGAACTCATTTCTAATATTAAATGTTAATCATTCATTATGCATAAATGTACACGAGGATAAAGATAGATAAATTTTCTCATTTATTAAGCAACTTTGTATAATATAATAAAAAAAGACAGTTTTAACTTTGCATTGCTCCTAGAGCCTCGTCGAGAACGTTAGTTTCACCTTATTATTTAGATAAACCGAACCATTTTTTTATCTGTTGATTTATGGTTGAAACACGATGAAAATATGAAAGAATGTTCAATTTTTCTTGTTTATCAAAATAAATAAGAACTAAAAGTTCAGATTTTCACGAAATTATATATTTTGACATGACAATTGTTTCGACAACACCGTCTCTTTATCGAATGTAAAATGAATGAAAAATATATAATTTCGTGAAAATCTAAACTTTTAGTTCATATTTATTTTGATAAATGGATTTTCATCATGTAAAAGCCACCTCAGTTCAATTTTTCTCTTTGAGCTTTTGACTTATTTGCATTTAAAAAGTTTAAGGTATACTTTCCTATTTTTTAAAATGCAGAAAAGCACTTCAAATAAATTTTACAATACACTTTCTTAAGTGTATTTCAATGTTAAACAAAAACTGTATTATTTCTAAGATTATTCGCCACCACTGCAAAAATGCCAAGTCCTTTTGGGTCCAAACCACCGATGGCAAAACAAAATGTGGTGGTTTCCCATCATGTTTAAACTACGTATTTTCTCTTACAGGAAATTTAGAGAAAAGACGAATGAAAAACCAAAAATTACACCACACCAAACTCATCCCGAACATGTCTAGCTTTTATAGCATGTTGATTCTTGATGATTATTTTTCTTGTTGTTGTTGTTCGCAAGATTAAGGAAATCGAACGGTGTCAGTGGTAAATCGGAATAACCTAAAACATTTATTCAATAAGATAATAACAATATTTTATTTAATGGAAGGCATGCTTATATTGTGACGTCATTGGTGACAAGAATCTTACTAAGAAAATTTGGTAGACGGTGGACGATTCCATGATTTAATTTGAGTTTTTTGTATTACTGTCACCAAATTTGTAGTTGTTAATTGTTAAAGTTGTTTTTTTATCGCACCTTGTTCCTTTTCATTATTTAAGTATTTATACAAAAAAAAACAAAAATACCTTCAACTTTTTATCTAACGTCCAAATAAGTCATGCCATATAAAAAAAAAGGAAGCTGCCAATTTTTATTATTATCTGGTAAAAATGTTCTAAATTAATTTAGATTAATTAGTTTTGGGATTGCTGATTCAACCGTCCCATGTAATTGCTTAAAGTTTTCTCTGTGAGGGTTATTATAATGCATTTTTTTCATTGGTTCGATTAAAACTCTTTATATCAGAAGCACAATCCCAGAACATTACGCCATATCGTACAATAAGTTCAAAATTAGAACAACGGAAAATCCTTAAGGCTTCTGTTCTTATATACTTATTGATCACACGGAATAATTTACCCTGGTTAATTTTGTACCGGGTGGTCGGATAAGAATGCAAAGTCCTGTATCTCGGATACTGTTCGCCGTAGAGATTGGAAAATGGGAAATACAGAAGTTGTTACGATTGTTAGATTGCACAATTTAAAATTATTTTAACGTATACGGGGGGGGGGGGGGGGGCTCAAAAAAGCGTGACGAAAAACACTTTTTTTTTTAATTCCTTTTATAATTGTGCAACTTTTGTTTTATTAATTGTATCACGTGGGTTTTTTTTTACAAATATTAAAGGGAAAAAAAACGATCTTTTGAAAATAATTTATTATTTCAATTAGTAAAAAAGTGGAATCCTAGTTAAAAACAATAAAAAAAGGCTTTACTCAGACTTTTTTGAGTGAAATCTTCGTCTATTTACCAGAAAGCTGCGTTGTCCGGACATTCGGATGTGCGTTGTTAAGGGCATATGTCGTTTTAACATCCAGCAGTAGTCCGCCATCATCGTTATGCTCCATCTGCCTTGGTATTTCCGTTCCATTTCGTTAATGTCCTCTCTTCCTGTTCTTGGCTAACTACTCCAAGTATTAAAAAGGAAAATGCACCTTCAAACTCATATTACAACCTAGACGATGAAAGTGTAACATATTTTGAACAATACTTTCGTAGTTTTTGCCCTTAGAGTTCTCAAGAAACGTATTAAATACTACGTCATTGATCATTGCGTTTTGAAAATCCTTGTCTTTATATAATGTTATCTGCGGCCCAACAAAAATACATTCTTTTATCTCTCTGGAATCTGGTGTGAAATCTGAGTTATCTGGCTCGGAATTAGATTCCTTTGATTTTGATGATATGACGTTTTCTGCTTTTTTTGGGGCAGTAGGTATCGGTACATCTGGTCCATGAGGAACTGGTCGAATAGCAGAGTCAAGATCGGGATACCCAATTAATTTCTTATTTTTTCTGTTGAACCCTTAAACATTACACGAACAAAAATAGCAAACATCACTGTAATTCCTAGGCGCTCGCCATACCATAGGAACACCAAAGCTTATATATCCTCCTACCTGTTTGCCAATATTTTAAAATAAAATTATTTAAAATAACTACTATTTGTAATAATTATCAACTTATTACAGTCCATTATTACATTAATTAATACGAAATACCATTATATACTAATATACCTATAACTGGTTCAAATTCAAAACTCGCACATTTTTCTTTTTTTTTAGTAGCATTTAAAATAATTATTGCTCTCCTTTGGAAAGTTGTTAAAGTTAAATCAATTGCCTCTGGAAGATCTGCTAAAGATTCGTATGCTGTTTTATATACTTTATTTTGCATATATCCCCATAAAAGGAAATCTAAAACTGAAATATCCGGAGATCATAGAGGTCATTTTACAAGCCCGTCTATTTTTGACGGAAGTTGTCGTCTAAAAAGGGTCTTAAAAATTCCCAGTTTTTACTTGGGGCACCATCTGCTGCTTCAAGTAATCTGGAATGTCTTCCTCAAGAAAGTCTATGTACTGTAAGACCTTCTTCATAAATTCGGTACCCCAACACCAAAGCGCCCTTGCCGGGTCCTTTCAAAAAATAAATGGTGGTTTTCTATCTACCAGTTCCTCGTGTTATGGCGATTAAAAATTCCCGAATTTGAAAAGTAACATATTACAAAAGAACGCTTTTAAACTTGTATGTGTGCATGGTATTAACATTTGTTTCTCTTCGCTTTCTATTTTCCTTCAAATAATTTTTGGGGCGTGGTTGAATAAAGGATTTATTATCAGACCAGCAAATTTATCTGGAAACGGTTGTCGTCTCTCTGGATATATAATATAAACAAGACAGATTTGTATAATATAAAAATTGTACTCTATATAATTCGTAAGCTTCTTGCGCATTTTCATTCCATTCATGTATAAAATGTATCAAAATATCATATTTTTTAGAATTTTCGTGCACTGCCATTATTATAGAAAATCAAAATGAAATAAATACAGAAATAACATATGTATAGGTAATAAAAATATGATTAAAAACTGACAGTCTCGTAAGTTTTTGACAATTTGCTTTTTTGTTGTTTAATAGATGAGTCATAGCCTACTTAACATTATAATAACATAAAGTTTATCATATTAATACGACATTGTTTTTTAAAAATATATTTTTTTCCTGTTTAGGTGTATGTTATTTTTACTTTAGTTAGTTAATTTACTATCGCCTACTGCTACAAATAAAGTAAAAAATGAACAAAAACAATAACTTTTGAGCTCAAATTTAACGATTTCCAATTAATGTAAAAAAATTATATACTGGGTGTTCAATTAAAAAATGCTTCATAACTAAAAAACGGTTAGAGCAAGTAAAGACCGAACTACGCCACAGGATTTTGCGAAAATAATCCTATGTGAACGTTTTTTTAAACTCTTCAATAACTCATAAGACAACGGAGATACCAAGTGGACCATGATAATTTTGGTGACTTCATCTTTAATTTCACAAAAAGTAGCACAGTGTCGCGTAAACCACCACTCTCTATCTAAAAATAACTGAGATATCCCGTAAAAGTGTCCAAAATGGTATGCCCTGTACATAGAGTTTGTATATGATTGTCCCGGTATATATTCTATAAATTTTGTATTCTTGGACGCTATATCGAGTTTCATGTACCAGGTGGTGACATATTCCAATCGGCCGTAGCCACGTCGCTTCCAACTTTGCCGTTCGAAATTCTGCAGAAATTGTACGACAGTACTCCCCTGTGCTCTGACGACGGCCGACTCCTAAGGGGCATAAGCGTAACGACAGGCGTGGTGCAGCTTCTTTTGGCTTGTCTCGGTATTTTGACGCATCATTCGAACGGCGGCAGCGACAAGGACGCTTCCAAGTCTTCCAAAAATAAAGAGGACAGGCAACTGTACTGGGCTAAGGGTAAGTTTTTGACGCCGTTTCAGACACTTACGCGGTTGGTGGCGAAACTCATATCTCGGTAACGAAAAAAAACGTTTTTTGTCTGTTCTCCGTTCTTTGTGTACGCTTCAAAAAAACGCTAATAACTTCCGAACGGTTTGAGCTAGGGTGCTGAAATTTGACATCTTTTGAAGAGCCCGGGAGATACGTAAGTCAGTAGAAATTGGGCGTGACTGGTCATCGGCGACCATCTTTTTTTGGCCGTTTTCTTCCATTTTTCGAACAATATTTAAATGAATGGCTACATAATTTATATAAAATACAAAGTTCAACCTACATAATATAAAAATTTTAAACCCAAATATTACTGTTCGGGAAGACCGAACAAGTAAAATAAATTCAAAATACGCCAGACACCAGGCGCGCTGGCTACCCGTGATACACGGGGGAATGAGGTTATGAGCCCTACCGGCAATTATTTGTTGTTGGTGATAATTAGGTCACTTCAAGTGCTTGCGAAATCTTTTGGCTTTTTAATAACCCGGATGTTGAAACCCAAACAATGAATTTAAATTTGATATTGAAAACAAGCAAATCTTCCATGTCAGTCTTTTTATTTTCGACTTTCTTAATTTTTTTTTTTATTTGTTCTTGTATATATTTTTTTCTCATAATTTGTTAACTTTTTGTTCTTTATACATTCATATTTATTATGTTGTTTATTGCTTCGAGGCTTACAGATAGAATACATTTTTTGAGAAATGATATTAAAATTATGAATCTCTGCCTTAAATCCTCATGGGACCGCAAAAATGTATGAGATCTTTGACCCATTTGTTTTTTACACTTATTTGTTATCACATTTCCCTTTTCTCTATTTCTTGTATTGTAAGAATGAGTAATATTTTGTTTTTGAAAATATTTAAAACCGTGGTTTCAAAAAATAATTGCCTTACCGTAAAAGATTTCTACACCCTAAACAGTTGTACAGAACAGTAATTTCTAGTTTTTTGCCAAATATTTGGTGTTTAAAATATTTCTAAAATATTTGATTTTGTAAAACAGTGCTCTTAGGTCGTTTGCTACTGTTTGTAAATGTTCATTCCATTTTAATTGTGTATCCACTGTTGCTGAGTATTTTATTTTTTCCGTTGACTTGATTGAATGATGTTCATTACTTATTGTTTATATATTTAAAGTGTTAAAAATTTGGGAAACCCCGTTTATTGGACGAAAATGGCATAAAAACGGTTTTTTCTTTATTCACTGTAAGTGATAATTGTTTAAACGAGATCACGTGATTACTGAAGTTATTTTACACTTTGATTTTAAGATTATCTCAAAAATGATCTTCGAATGATTGTCCCTGGGATGTTAATATTAAAAAATCAAATCCTCCCAAATCTAATATTCCACGGGCTGAACGCGAATCTAATGCGGACATCGTAATTGTAAAAATGAAATGCTGCTGTGGTCATTAACACAAATGAATATCTGGAAACTTAAAAAATATCCTAAGCCATCTACGCAGCGCAAACTTAAATCTCTTATTAAAGAGTCTTCTCTATCAGAATCCGTGAAAAAGTCTGTCGCCCTTCATGACTCTAAAATTCCTCGTCTCTGTGGACTTGCCAAGATTCACAAACCAGGATTAACCCTTCGACCTATTGTCAGCACCATTGGTTCTCCAACATACTCTCTTGCTTTTATATTTAAACCCGTTACAGGATATTCTGGTTAGTCTCGACGTAGAATCCGTCTTTACCAAGGTCTCTATTCCTGAAATTCTCAACATTATTTCAGATATATTAAAATTCGAGAATCTGGTACCAAACCTTCTCATCTTAATTGAAAAATTTATCAGCACACGTCAGGAACAGCTATTATCACCAATCATCGCGAAGTCTTTGAGGCGAAAGCCCTCGACATGTTCCATCTAAAACTAAAATAATGCAAACACTACGTGGATGTTACTTTTACTATTTGGCTTCTTGGTCAGAATCCTTCCTAGATTTTCTTAGCCATTTAAACTCTACACTCCCTAACATACGTTTTACGATTCAATTAGAATCTACTAATAATCTCCTATTCTTAGATATTCTCATCAATAGAAAATTAGACTTAACTTTGCGTCATTTCCGGCCCAAAAATCGTCAGTTATCAACTATCTTGTTTATAGTGGCCTAAAATCATCTCAATTCGAGTCACTGATCTCAGAATTATTACACCTTACAACTGGTCTTCTCTATAATAATTTTCACATTGAAAATATTAAGTGTTCCGTTACAAAATACAATTCAAAACAACCTTCCGAGGACAATGAGTCCGAAAGCAACCAGCCCCACACTTGCCACTAGTGTCTTTCCTTACATTCCAAATATCATTGACTTGTCCAAAAATCTCTCAACATCTTTGACTCGTTAAACACAAAATTCCTTTTGAGAAACCAGGAGGCTACAGCATTGCATGTGTATGCTGCAAAGAATACATTACAAATCGACTGAAAATTTTATACGATAAAACTAAAATTCTTGCATGTTATCAATTCTTCCAACGAAGAAATCCCAGAATCTATAGAAAATATGGCAGGCATCCTTTAGCTCCGCCCCCTTCAAACGATATATAAGCAGGTACAGAGTAGAAGAAGGCTAGTCAGATTCCGTTAAGATTCGTAGAAACCGCCAGGATATTGAAGTGTATTTAAAAGGATAAAGAAAGAATAACTATATAGTTTGCATTAAAACTGTGTATTTGCTCAGGCACCGGTTTTGGTACCGGTTCAACGCAGCAAAGCTGGAACGTAGAACAGGCGCTCCTGAAGCAACGCAACGAAGAGGAGCACGTGACCGTTTTGCTTCAAGTGCTGGCCAGTTTTATTAACCCGAACGACGAGGCGAGCGAAGAGTTGAACGGGAACGTATTGCCCTCCCAATTTTCCGAATTTCTCTCCAATAGGTAACCAGACAAACGGGTCCCGTTTTTCTTTTCTACTATTAGGCGAGGTTATTTATTTCAGTTCGTTGTTGCCGGCGGTTAGTTCGTATCTGAGAAACGATTCGGTATTGGATATGGCCAGGCACATACCGTTGTACAAGGCGGTTTTGAAAATACTTAGGGCGTTGGCGGTCAGCAGTCAGCTGGTCAACTTGCTGCTGCCCCAAAAGAACAGGTCGGGCGAGCCATCCGTCAGCAGCCTGCTGAAGAATATGAAGACTTGCGTGGACACGTATGCCAGTAAATTGAAGTAGTTACACCGAAAGCGCAAAACGTCAGTTCGGTTTTCATTAAAATTCTCGTAACGTTTTCAGAGTGCAAAATCCCAAGACGCAGGGCGCGAAATCGCCCAAATCGAAACTGGTGGACCTGATGGACGAGCTGGAACAGGGAGAGGGGTTGGCGACGCTGATGCCGGATATCCAGAGTACCGCCAATTTGGTCGCGAAGGTCACTAATAATATTGTCGACGATAAGGAGGGCGAAAAGGACGGCTCGCTGGAACGGATGCTCGTTTCGCCCGAGGAACAGTATTTGCGTGTCATGAGGAATCTGCAATTTGGTAAGGGCTAACAAAAAACAAACTTAAAAAAAAGCTAAAAGTTAATGGGGGAGGTAGACTCTTATTGAAGCGTTAAAATAAGGATGATCAGACTATATGATTGACTACTCGAAAGTTGTTTAAAATTGAGTGGTAGGTCCGACTTTCGGCCTGGATAAAACATAAGCAAAATTGGAGAGATTTTGGTGCCACCCGTTTTCCCAATCAATCTTCATTAATGAATGGATGTGCCAATATATGTTTCTTTTCTACCAAAACATTGTAAAACTTCGTTTCTCAAATCAAAAATACGTCGCAATATTTTGCCGCGAGATAGTCATGTGACTTCAGGATGTAGTAATAACGTCTCATACTCAGAACGAGATGGGTTACAGAGTATTGAATAGAGACGACTGTTTAGGCTGTTGCCTTTAATGTAATTAATTACAATAACAACATCCTGTAATACTTTGTACAATTCTTCATCGATGTCTTTTGCACCTAGAGCAATTTTTATTATTAACCCTTTAAGTCCTTTCTTTCTACATGTAAATGCTGCAGCACCATCTGCAAGATCATGTTCCTCAAAATATCTGTTAATAACTTCAAATATTTTCTCTCCACTTGTTATTCCTTCTAACCTTTTACAACATAAAAAATCTTCTGATATGTCTTCTTCAAAAACGTATCTCACATAAAGAATTAATTGAGACATTTTAGTAATGTCTGTAGTTTCGTCAAGTTGTAGAGCAAGCACAGGAGTTTTGTATTCGATTTAGCAGAACTGAGAAATGGTATCTCTTGATATTGATATTGTTTTTAAATCGTTACCATATTTTTCACCATGCATAATTGATGTCACTTTAATTGCTGAAGGAAGAATGAGGGATTTAATTTTTTTGCTATTAAATATGAAACTTCTAAGGATGCCCGTAGAGTCTTTTCAGAAATTGTTGTATATGTTTTCAAAATACAGTTTGATTTTTCATACTTTCAGCTCGCCTTTAAAAAAAAAATCAGATTTATTTGCAAATTTTTTATGTTTTGTTTCCAAATTTTTTTTTGAATTTAGCAGGTTTCAAATGTTCGTTTGCTAATTTATCCGAGCAGTTAACACACAACGGACGTTCATCCCCATTAACAAAGCAAAATGCAAATCCGTATTTAATAAACTCTTCTTGATATTTTCTCAATTTTTTATTAGATAACATAGTTTGTCCAATATTTTTTGAAGTAGCAACAGTGCCACTGGATTCATTTTTATGTGGGTTTTCATTCACACTCTTTCTAAGCTTAGTAGGTGTTGGTCCATCATTATCATTGTCATTCTTGTCATTTTCTGGGCGTTGGGTATGGTCTGTTCATAGATATAAGAAAGTGACCAATTGCTTTTGAATGCAAGGGTGGTCATTAACATACAATGCAACAAGATTATTGCCTAAAGTTTCGGAATTTAAATTCAGGTAAAATTGTGATCCGTAATAGAAAATAACTTTATACCTACCTGCGTTTAATATTCTTTGGGTAAGTTTATTAGTAATCATTCTTATTTCGTGTGTAATACAGCGTGTGTTGAATCGTGTGCGAATTATGCAAAATATGTGCGAGTCTAGTGTATCTCAGTATCTTTAGAAGAAACGGCCCCATTGACAAAAATTCCAACATGAACTATATGGAAAATTGTGAATAATCCCATTTCAGCGAGGAAAAAAAAAGAAGCGATGCTGACATTTTCTCGAGTGTAGATGAAAGTGATCAAGATGTAATACGGCGTTAAATTTACCAGTTATACGAGGAACGAAACGTGCCTACATTAGATATCTTAATTAGGAGGCTTGAAAAAGATGAAACCGATGTTAAATGTGGCAGAACTACCTTATGGAAGTGTATTCAACACATGGGTTTTAGATTTAAAAAAATTGACAAAAGGCAAGTTTTAATGGAATCTTTTAGAATTCGGAAATGGCGACTGGAATATCTAGAAAAAATTAGGATTTGCAGAGAACAACAAAACCCAATTATTTACTTGGATAAAACCTGGTTCAACACTTATGATACCCCGGAAAAGGGTTGGGTTGACTCAACCGATAAGTGTGATAAGTGTAAAACAAACGCGCCATCAAAAAGAGATAAAAAAATAACTATCTTGCATGCTGGCTCTAAAGATGGTTGAATTCCAAATGGACTTTCTCTGTCTGCGAAAAATATTAAAGATTCTTCTCTGGATTACCATGAAGACAAAACCGCTGATTTATTTGAAAGTTGGTATATATAATGACATTTATTTTCGACATTTATTTATGTTATTGAGGTTCTACAAAGCTTGAACCTAGAAAAGAAATACGTCTGTGATAATTATGCAGAAAATCTAGGGCATACAGTTTTAAGGCTTCCACCTTACCACTGTATATTTAATCCCATTGAACATGTTTGACACCAACTGAAATCTGCCATTCGTCGTAACAATGTTTTCCCCGTGTTATCTCCAATGTCCTCAAACTTATATAAGCCGAAGTTTTTAATATCCCTCCACAAGGTTGGGCAAATTCTGTTAAACATATAGAAAAAGCAGAACAATCCATCCATATTGCAAATAATATACAACAAATAATACTTAGAACAGGTGATAAATAAATAAATAAATAAATATTGTTTAGTATCTTTCCTTACAAAACCCCAAATAATAAAATTCTAATCAAAGTACGGACCTGTTCGACGATATTTCATTTTTACAGCTTTCCCGGGTCTTTCCTTAATTCGTATCAGTTAGTCACTTTCTTATATCTATGAATAGACTTTGCCGATTTTTAGCCACTTATCCATTATTCTTTGTTTTAAATTTAAAATAGTAACTACACTGGTGGCGTTTCCAAAAAAATATTAGTTGAGGATATTTGATTTTTGAAAAAATGGAAATGGAAGAAAAACGGTTTTTACTTTAGCGTGTCTTGTCATTTTTAGTGGCATTCTTTGAAATTATACAAAAAGTTCCTATTTTTGCCGATTTGTTAAAAAGGAGTGGACTAAACTAAGTGTGTTACATCCTTGTAATCGGAATAAGATATTCTATTAAAGACATATCTAATATACAGGGTGTTCCATTTTAAAAAATATGTCAGAAAATTGATAGTGTTTTGTTTTATACGTCACTAACTATACATTTTGTTCTATTGCTTACCTGGATATCTCTAAAGACAAAAAAGTTAACAGCCAGTTGAAATGTTTCCAAGATTTAACGCACGGTACAAATAATAAAAAAATATATTTTTGAAAACTTTATCACCCTGTATCTGAAAAATTAAGACGTTTAAAGTATAAGTTCATTTGAAGTTTTCTTTTTAAAATGGACCCAGAAGGGACTCGCTTGATTTTCGACATTAAATTAGAAAACACCACTTATAATCAAAAATCTATTTTTTCTACTCTCGTCTATAAAATACTCAATTACGCACCGATCTAGCGTGCGGGGAACGTCACTTTATCACGTCAGTTTCGTTCGAGCCACTTCGGACATTCCCGGGATTTTACCGCACGGATTTGGGAGCGATCGGATGTTTTCGGAGATATTTCCCGCGCTTTGAATTTTGACGTTTGTCAATTCTGACAGTCATGTCAGTGAATGTACCGGAAATGTCCGAAATGGCTCGGATTCGTGGGAAACGAAACTGACGTGGTAAAGTAACGCTTCCCACATGCTAGATTGGTGGGTAATTAGCTACTTTACAGGCGGGAGTAGGAAAACTTTTTAACTAACTCGTTTATTAAACACTGTCAAATAAACTCGTGAATCAAATGCCGTTTACCGCATTTGTTGCATAATATACTGTTTTATATGCGAGTTTTTTATATCGCAGTTTAGTTTAGGTTTTTTTTTGTAAACCGTGATGCGGTACGTTTTCCTAGGGCTATCCACGGCAGTTACTTGCCGGGCCGCGTATTGTACGGAGTGGTGAGTAAACGGTTGCATTGTCGTGGTCGAGTTTCATTTCAAGTTAAATGAATACATAACGTATACTATTACCAACTGACCAAATAAATTAACCGAACGTTTGTTTCCCCAAACACTTTCTAGCGTCGTTCGAGATGATCGAGGAGTTGCCGGACGGCGGTCTCAAGTTCGCCGTGTCGCACCATTTCGAGTCGAACGCGAAGGCGACCACCGAACAGTCGCACCCGGCCCGGGTGAAACGCATCGCCCAAGAGGCGGTCACTCTCTCGACCAGCCTCCCTCTCAGCTACAGCAGTTCCGTGTTCGTCCGTTACGACACTTCGCGTCTCGACGTCATGAAAGTGTTGATCACCGGGCCGGCGGACACGCCCTACGCGAACGGCTGCTTCGAATTGGACGTCTTCTTTCCGCCCGACTATCCGATGTCTCCCATGCTGATCAACTTGGAAACGACCGGTCACCGTACCGTCCGGTTCAACCCTAACCTGTACAACGACGGCAAAGTGTGTTTATCGGTACAGTTAGAATAGGTAGGAAAAAACGCGGGGAAAACGAGTTTTGACCGTTTAGGTGTTGAACACGTGGCACGGACGACCCGAAGAGAAATGGAACGCGCAAACGTCGAGTTTCCTGCAGGTGCTGGTGTCGATCCAGAGTCTGATATTGGTACCGGAACCGTACTTCAACGAACCGGGATACGAGAGGACCCGCGGCACACCCGCGGGTACCGCCAACTCGAAGGACTACAATTTGAACATATGCCAGGCGACGGTGAGGTGGGCGATGCTCGACCAAATACTGAACCCGTGTCCGTGCTTCAAGGACGTCATACACGCGCACTTTTACATGAAACGCGACGAGATCATCGCGCAGACGGACAAGTGGATCCAGGACCTCGAGTCGGAGACCAAGAAGGAGAAGAAGAACACGCGTGGCGCCAAGAAGAATCGGACCACCAATTTGGAGAGCTTCAAAAAGGTGAGCTTTTGCGTAACGCGAGAGAGTTAGTGCAATGGTTATTCAATGACGCTTGCTGATAAATTGCACATTTTTTTGAACAACTTATACGGGTAAAATAGTGGTAGTAGGCCGTGTAACAAATATTCCACTACTCCCGTCTGTAAAATACCTAATTACGCAAAAATACTTACAGCATCTTGGACCTGGTTTCTGGACTCACGGCCCTAGAGCCGCCCAGAAATGTCCCTAATGGCCCCACCATATCTTTTGTTGTTGCGGTGGTGTAGCAGAAAATATTTGTACTGATTGTTTTCTTTTATGATGTAAAACTGTTCGAATGATTGAAATGAAACAAAAATTTTAAGCACAAGCATTTTAATAATTATTCCCAAAAAGTAGTATTTCCGCTATAATTTTTTTCCATCCGCATTTCGTTGTATTTGACGTAAAATCCACAGTGCCTTGTCCATGAAAAAGCCTATAATAATAACATTTTTGATTTTTATTACAAAGGTAACCTTTATACACCTTATTTATTGGTGGTTCCTATTAACCTATACAAAGGCAGAGGTTACCCATCGAAAAAATATAAAATATATGCTAATCCCAGAAAAAAATCAATTTATGCCCATATTTGATGAAGGGTAGGTTCCACAAATTAACTAATATCCATTCATACAGCGGCTTGCGAGAAAAATGGCGCATGACAAGCTTTTGTGCCAAACTGTATAACCAAACTAATATCTAGGTCACTCGCTTGCTCCCAGAACTCTAGTCAAGTCTTTCAGTTAAAATTACGTTAATGTAATTGAAATTTATTAATATTTAATAATTTCAGTCGTACAGTGTAATGTACTAGACATTTTTGCAAATATTTTTATTACCAATAACTTCTTTACCTTGTCGCAAGTCTATTGCATATATTCTTTCAGTCTCCTTTCTTACACATGCTTGCAACTGCTGTGTTGTATTTGGGCCTTCAAGTGTTCATGGTTATGTTGGCCCTTCCTTAAGACGAGCACACCATTCTCTTCAACTGTCCTGATGCTTGATATTTTGTTTCTGTGCTTCTGAGATATCTTTTTGCAATAACTCGAATGTACATGTATTTATTAACCTTTAATCCTGTAAATCGAATAACTTGAATAATGTTATAAAATACGACTTTTTTGCACTAAACATGCAAAATACTTTTTTTTGTGAGCTACTATAAAATATTAAATCAATTTTACCTCGTTCCGTTACACCTTCTATTCTATTTGTTAAGGCGTTATGTTCCTGTTCTGCATTACCAACTTACTATCCACAATTAACTGAATTCCTCTTTAAGAAAAGTAATAAAATGTTAACTTAGTAAATCATTTTAAATAAGTTTCAAACTTGATATCCCTATAAAAATCGCTGGTTCCAAACTAAACATTCCGTCACTCGATCACGTATATGACACGACTCAGCTGTTACAAACCACCCCACGCCCGAACCCGAACGCCGTTCGGGATTTTCATTCATTTCAACATTCGTTCATTTGATACCTACCATCTCGGTGCGGTAAACTCGCAAAAATGTCCGAAGTGACTCGGATGCGTGGGAAATGAAACTGACGTGGTAAAATGACGCTTCCCGCACGCTAGATCGGTGTGTAATTAGGTATTTTACAGACGGGAGTAGAAAAACTTTTCAAGTCACTCATTTATTAAACACTCGTGTAGTGTTTCACAAATCTGTCACTAGAGGTCACTTTATCTAAAACATTTTTTTTTATTTTCCCTGTATTTTATTTGTTTAGACTGATATTGCAAAATAGAACAGGTTGCCTTAAGCAGAATCACAAATCCTCAAAAATTGTTACTCCTGTTTTACGTCGATAAATGTTATCCTTTAGCCACAAATCGATTTTTTATTCTCGGCCCGAATACTCGGCACTTCTAATGTACAAAAAGGTGATACTGGATACCGCGATATGCATTTCTGTGACGGAAAAGCAAGTGGGAATACGGGCCAGCAACAGTTGTAAGGTTTGGTTTGTAGATTTAATATTAAATATTTATTTAAATACAGAGTGTACCAAAAAAATATAGTATGTCAAAGTCATATTTTTAAAAAATTGGAAGCCTTGTATATTATTAAAAATGTCCTGTTGCGATGATTTACATAGAAACATATAACAATATATGTTGTGATTAAATACTGCAGCTTATGAAGCAACTGTTAAAAAAGAATTGACAAAGTTCATTCAACATGCGCATGATTTAAAATTTCGTTTTTAAGCAATGACGTCGCTGAATTGATTAACCAACATGGCCGCTGACAGATCGGCAATAAGTTTGGATTCGACATTTTTACGGCTGTATTTTCTCAAAATATGCCTAGATCCCTTTAAATGTTCTAGGAAAACGAGTTAAGTGGCTGGGAAAATCATTACCTTCTCTACGAAAATATGAAAGCCGCCTGCCATATATTATCTTATAGCTATATAATTGTGGCATATCTTTAATGGTATTTTTGTTCGAAATTAGATGACAGAATAATATTTTTACTTCCCAAAAAAATGGAAATATTGTTGTATAAAAAAAAAATAAAAATACAATGACATTCGTTCTAGAATGACAAATAAAAAAGTTAAGAGGGGGGTAACATTTATAATTGGTCCCCCGCGATACAACGAACAAAGATATAACAGATCGCCGCTAAAACATCTGTATGAAAGCAAAGCAAAATTATATTTATTAGCAAATTCTTTAAATTCCTCCAAAAATTGAGGACCATTGTCACTTCGCACCTCTTCAGCAATCCCACCGCTGTCACCATTTCGTATTGCAGGCATTTTCTAATCAAAGGCTACTGCAGGGCCTTTATTTAAACAGCGTTACGAGGTTGAGATATAAGCGCGCGAGTTATAAGACTGAGATTCCGACATTTTAATCTGTCAAGACCATAGTAGGACCACCACAGACCACTGAACAAAACCCTGATGCGACATGGTTCAAAAAAAAGAAACTTACTTGCTTCAACTAATTTTGTTCTATTTCTCCTATCAGTTCGATTGTTTCCCCTTCCCTTCGATATCCCGTTTAAGAATTCGCCGATTTTGGGCGATATAGCTCAAAGGTTCTAAACGCGGATTACTTTCGTAAGAAGATTCATCGAAATGTTTAGGAGAGACTGAAGTAATTAATAGGCGCGTATAAGTATTAAAAGGAATTACTATACGATTATCGACATCTAATAATCGAAAGTTAAAGTTATTTTGTGAAATTATATATGAATTATAATTAATATTTTGTAAATCAGAATATTCATATGTTCTTATTAATTCTTCTTATTATTATTATTATTAATTATTAATTCTCTGGTTTGGTTTTGGAGGAAAAGTCGATAATTAAATCTATTTAATAGAGAGGAAAATATAATTTGACTAATTAAAATTGTAATGATAATTGAAATTATTAATCTATGATCATGAAAAAAAAATTAATTGTCTGTCTTGTAAAGTTAATGTTTTTCAAGTAGTTAATTCTAAAAAAAGATGAACTCGATATTAAGAGCTTAAATTTTATGCACTATTCTGCCATTTTAGAATTTAGTAATTAAAAGGATTTCATTAAAGCTATGCTCAGCTGGAGGAAGAGATCTTAATCATTCGATTAAAGAGGAAGGGTTTAATGGAGTTAATCTTTGTGCATTAAGAATTAAGCTTTCTCAGATGATATAAATAAAAAATATTAATCTTAGTGTAGAAATTAATCTACCAATAGAGGAAATAATATTTCATTTAATGAAAGAATCTGGATAATTAGAGTGACGTCGTGGTATTCCACTTAATCTTTAAAAGTGTTGAGGAAAAAAGTTAAATTAACTCCAATAAATGTTATAATAAAATGTCTTTTTAAAAGATTATTATTAAGGGTTAATCCTGTAAAAAATGGATATCAGCTCCTATTGATAGTGAAAATGAGCTACAACATAATATGTATCATGAAGAATAATATGAATGGATGAATTAGCTAGAATTACTCCAGTTAATCATCCAATAGTGAATAAGAAAATAAAACCTAGTGATCAAAGTGTAGTTGGTTCAAAGTTTAATTTAGTTCCATAAAGAATAGCTAATCATCTAAAAATTTTAATTCCAGTCTGCCCGTTTGCATCCAACTGTTTTCAATATTTTCGTCATTAGGGAACAGAAACAGCATCAAATGACTCGAAAAATGTTTTAGTCGGTTATCTGTATTGCAACCAGCCAACGAAACCACACAAAAAAACACTGAAATTTTACAAATACCGAAAAAACACATCACAAACAATTAGATTTGGTTAGGAATTCCGCAAAATCAAGCCCCGCGTGACGTCAGTGATGTGACCCGTTGGCTCCGCCCATATAGGCAAAGTCATATCTTTGTTTGTTGTATCATGGGAAAAAAACTTACATTAAGCTTAAACAGAATGTTAAAGAAACTTTGAAATTTCTCATTACTTAGCAGATGGAGTTTTGAGATAAATATTTTTTTAAATAGGTGTTTAAGCAACTGCAAGAGCAACTTGCGAAACTAAAACCACCTGGCTTGGATATACGCGACGATGATGAAGAAGAAGATGAGGAATCACCTACGACCCCCACGAACAGTATGGATGTGGCAGCAGATCAAGATCACAACAAAGACATTGAGACCGATAAAGATATGGTTATGAAAATGGTTAACGACATGTTCAAGTGATAAAACTGTACAGTAAATCGATTTTTAATTTTGCATTTATTTAAACAGGTTTCGTTTTTGAGACGGGCAAAAAGTAATACGGCCGTTTTTCAATTTCAAAAGAAAACGCGTATCGGCCCGAAGGAGGTTTGAATGTTAAGTTACCAACTTGGTTCTTTCTGTGTCATAAGTTGAGTGGTAGTTTGGATGCTCGATTTTAGATCACTGTAAATTATTCTTATTTAAAGTTGTTCATAAAAGAAAATGTGATTTGAAAATAAAAGTTTTTGTTTTATAGATTTTGGACTTTTATTATTGTGCTCCTGCGGATCACTATGGAACTTTGCCAAGATCGATGTAATTTAATTGTGCACGTACCCTGTATAAAGTGTCTTAAAAAAATTTGGTAAATATAAAAATTTGTACGAGTAATAGTAATGGTAAATAACAGTAATTCATTGATATTTTTTCAAATATCTCGCTTACCCTGTATGATGAACAACTGTAGATAGAAAATTGTAGCTCTCGACACAGTTATGACATAGTTTAAACCAAATTATCCCCTCTCTTGCCATTTTTTGCATTTACGGCCTGTAATTTACATACAAAAACGGAAATTTTATGGATTTTATAGAATTTTTGTCTAAAAACAACACACCCTGTATATAATTAAAAAAATGCTCGAAGTTGAGATAGAACCCTGAATCTCCCACATTATTTTTCCAATACAGTAAAAGGGTTTCCCTATTTTCAGATTTTTGCGAATACCGTATACACCCTGTACATTTTTGAAAACTGAATAATAAAGGTTTATAGAATTTGATCTCGCGGATTATCTCGTTCAAAATTTCGTACCGACATCTCGAGTTTAGTGAGATCATTCAAGTGGACCCGCCATTGGTACAGGACGAATCAGGGTCGAAAAAAAATTTTTTTGTCTGTTTTTCTGTTCTCAGTATGGATTAAATCCGCCAAATAATTCGGCAACCGTTTGAACTAGAGGGCTGAAACTTTGACCCTTTTATCGATCCAAAACAAGATCCTGAAAATGAGACATGAACCCGATCCGACCAGGGTAAACCTGATTTTTTGTCATTTTCGCAAAACTCTATTCATGAACCCCATCCGACCGGATTTTTTGTCATTTTTGTTTCAATTTTCAAACGCGATAACTGTCCAAAATTTGAATCTATCGATTTCAAACTTGGCAAAAGTATAGAGCTTGGACCCCTGACGGAACCTATTGAAATTGAAAGTTATGGGTGATTGGGAAGTATTATTTAAAATTCAAAAACTAAAAAAGTGCTATTTTTCGAAAACCGTTCATCGGATCAAAAAAGTTCTTGAACGGAAAGACGCAGAATATGGATGCCAATAAATCTTTGTTCCTGACAATTTTTCGAAACTCGGTGTGCGCCGGTATTTCCAAAAAAACTGAAATTTGGAAAGAAAATTGACTGTAAGTTAAATACTATTACCTAGTCGACGGTTTCTTCTACGTGGCAGTTTAGGTTGTAGAGAGAGCTAAAACTCTTGTGTTTAAGGTTTTCGCATATAATACAGGGTGTTCGAGATATATCACGTTACGCTGAAAAATGCAGCAAGTGCCCAAAATTTACAGCTTTTGACTTCAAATTTGGCAAAGTGGTTAAGTCCCCCTCCGCATATACAAGTTAATAGCTAGGTACAATCGGACATAGCCAAATATATTTTTTTTAATTTTCGAAATATTTTTTGCCATCATTTTGGGATGTATGAAAAGATTCATTTCTCGAAAACCGTCGACTTAATCGGCAAAACTCTTGAACCGAAAAACGCGAAAGATCCAGAACTATAACATTTCTTCGATTATATACAGGGTTTTTTAAATATAGACAAAAATCTAAAAGACCTTTACAATTGTTCTTTTCCATAATAAATTTTTAGCTATAAATCAAAATTCTTTTTAAATAATGGCTAACTGCTTCAAAAAGACTCGTATATGCTGTGAGATATTTTTAAAAATCCATATAAAAATCACTCGGGTTAAATCTAGACGCGATGACGTCATTGAATAGTAGTGCATTGTCCCGAAGAAAAATTATGTTCTATAAAATCAATTACTCTATTGGAAAAATTCACGGATCAGGAAAGGTGGGAGATCCAGGGCTATAACCTCTACTTCAGACATTTTTTGAATTATACAGAGGGTGTGTTGTTTTTGGGCAAAATATCTAAAAAATCCTGAAAATTTGTGGGATAATTAAACAGTATAGTAAACTACCAACTACAATTTTCTATTTATAGCTTTCGTCCATCATAGTGGGTGTGATATTAGAAAACATATCAATGGAAATTGATATTACTGGTATAAATTTTTATATTTAGCAAAGACACGTTATACAGGGTGTGTGCATAAAAAATTACATTCATTTTGCGAGAGTTCCATAGTGATCCCCAGGAGAGTAGCTGTTTTGTAGACTGCATAGCGCAGAGCAGTGGCCTCAAGGAGCAAATCTTGTTTTTTTAATAGGCTGCTATTTGATACCAAGAAAACAATCGCCCTAACGATCAGATCATTTCCAGAAACTTCTTGATAGGTTATATACATAAAAATTTAAAATAAATACAAATTTCATATTTTTATTTAAGCATCGAAATACATTATCCTAGATATTTGCCTGTGATATAATTCAAACAGTGACTATTCACTTGGTCGAAACGCGAGTACGTTTATTCCAAGAAAAGTTAATACCATAGGACTTTGGCTTAAACGGTTTTTCCAGCTTGCTCTCTTGAATGTACCATTTCCAACCATTTCTCTCACAGAATTCAACAGCCTCTTCTTTTGTAGAAAATTGGACTTTCATATTTGAAAGAGGGTCTCCTCTGAAATGTAATAATGTTGTTTTGGAAGATTGGAAAATTAAAAATTAATCGTTACGTGGAGGACCATCCCATTAATGGGTTTTCCCAACGTTCTCTGGCGTCGAAATCCATTTCCCAATGCCCCAAATTGTTTGTACCGCTCTGCATGCAATTTTTGGGAGGTTCATAGATCCTTACCCGACGCTCCTTAATATGTTCTTCAGGAACTCCAGTTATAAGCGAACAATCAGTCTATAATATGCAAAAGCCTCGCCCAACATTATCAACATAATGGCCACATAACTTACTGGTCCTTCAACTGTTATGTAGCCTTGCATCTTTTTCTTATGCTCGACCTCGTCAGGATTTAGCAATGTTATATCACTTTTCAGGGTAGCATCTCCCTGAAGCACAGCTGACGTGCATATTCTACAAAAAAAGATATTAAAAGAAACTATCATCATTCGCTATCGCGATAATACCTTAAAGAAGGGCTGACTCTGCACAAGTGTCTTGTTTTTAATAACAGGGATGTCATGACGTAATAATTTTATTTTTTATAATTTTTTACTGGGTTAGAAATAATTTTACTGTCAGTCAAGAATATCTTCTTCTTTTCAAGAAACCATGGGCAAATTATCAAAATTCATGATTTGATGATGATGATTTATTCGTTGGTTTCATAACAGCTTAAACTTTCAATTGATCAAAATTCGAACCACGATAAAGCTTTTCCACGCAAGGAGGTTAACCGCCACGTGCATATCGAAACAAAAGAAGAAGAAAATATTTTTAAGGTTAAGTAGATTTAAAAAAAAGTTAAGTAAATATCGCTAAAATGGAGGTCAAGGAGGAAACTCCTAGAATTGTTTTAACGGAAAACAAAATAATTGAAGTGTCGCCGCTAAGTCTCACATCGGACTTGAAATATTTCAAGAAAAAATTTCAAATAGTGGTGGTGCGTAAGGAAGGTTACGAAATGGAATTTGATTTGATCGGAATTCATCCCTTCCTGGTGAATACATTCCGAAGACTTATTTTAAGCGACGTTCCCAGCATGGCAATAGAGAAGGTCCATGTCATAAACAACACCTCAATAATGCAAGATGAAGTATTAGCACACAGACTAGGTCTTATACCGTTAAAAGCCGATCCGAGACTGTTTGAGCACAAAACCGATGCATCGGCAAGTAACAATGGAAATGATACGCTAGAATTTGAGTTGAAAATAAAATGCACAAATAGTAAAGATTCTAGTAAAAAAGATTCATCCCGGGCAGAGGATATTTACAAAAACTCTAATGTCTATTCCAAACATCTAAAGTGGGTGCCCATAGGCAATCAACGCACTAGGTTTAAGGAAAGCGATGTCGGTCCGATACACCCCGATATTTTAATAATGAAGCTTAGGCCCGGTCATGAACTGGACCTGAAACTGTTTGCCGTTAAGAGTAACGGCAAAGATCACGCAAAGTTTTCGCCCGTTGCTACCGCATTTTACCGACTCCTACCTCACATCGAGATAGTGAGACCCGTCGAAGACGAGGACGCTTACCGTTTGCAGAAATGTTTTTCGGCCGGAGTAATCGGAGTTCGACAAGAAGGTAACAGAAAATTCGCCGTGGTAAACGATCCCAGGTGCGATACTAGCAGCAGAAACGTTTACCGTTACGACGATTTGAAAGACTCCGTGGTGATGTCCAAAGTGCAAGATCATTTTATTTTTACCATCGAGTCTGTTGGAGCTTTGCAGCCGGAAGACATCTTCAAAGAGGCCATTTATATTTTAAAAAATAAGTGTATGTCCTTGTTGGATGAGCTCAATTCCCAATAAAAAAATGTTATTGAGTTATTATCGGTTAATCCATTGAATTATTTAAAAAAATAACGTCACGTGGTTCAAAAAAAGAGATTGGCAAGATAAAATAACGTGAGCGAGGGAAAATTAATTTAAACTTCCGATTACTGCCTTGTTGTGCGCCAATTTACTGGGAAAGTGTTAATTGGATCAATTATCCCCAGCTCCAAATTTCTCGACATTCACTTCCTTATCTAATACTCATCGAATGTGTCCGTACGCGTTCTTCAAACATCGAAAAGCACCAGGCCGCGTTTCAATGATCGAGATAAACGCGGGCAAAGGATCTAAAGTATTATGTTTACGATTCAGCAGTTCCGAATGAAACCGAAAACTGGGCCTTTATTGTTAGGCGTACTAATCGATTTAGACAAGCGGTGTGTAAATAGGTACTAATAGAGCGTTCGATAATCGTTTCACGAGAAGTGCCACGACGGATGAAAAGCGGGGAGATAGAGAGATACGGTCGCTCCATTCATTATTTTGTTTGGTTCCGTAACCGGGGCAGCTCGATAGATTTGTAGTCAAGATATTCGCGGAATGTGTGGACTAGAGATCTTATTTGAGTTCCTTGCTCTACTTGCCCTATTTCAACATAAGGTGTCCTATAATCCATTCTAGTATTACTTAAGTCTAATAATATACGAAACATTATGTAATACGACCAAAAATGTAGTGCATTTATTAAGAGTTTAATCTAAATTGCATTATGTTCGTATATATTACGGAGGTATGGTCTGTTCATAGATTTAAGAAAATGATGAATTGCTTTTGAATGGGATTATCCAAGGGTGGCCATTAACATACAACGCAACAAGATAATTCCCTAAAGTTTCGAAATTTAAATTCAGGTAACATTGCGGGCCGTAATAGAAAATAATTTTATACCTAGCTGTGTTTAATATTCTTGGGTTTGGTATACTACTTAGCTTAAGTTTATTAGTAATCATTCTTATTTCGTGTATAATACAGCGTGTGTTGAATCGTGTGCGAATTATGCAAAATATGTGCGAGTCTAGTGTATCTCAGGAGATGCTCCTTCCCAAATGTAGAAAACACTATTCTATTCAGTCTAAGGAAGTTATAAAGTCTATTCAACACATGGGTTTTAGATTTTAAAAAATTGATAAAAGGCAAGTTTTAATGGAATCTTTTATAATTCGGAAATGGCTACTGGAATATATAGAAAAAATTAGGATTTGCAGAGAACAAAAAAGGCCATTATTTACTTGGATGAAACCTGGTTTGACATTTATGATACCCCGGAAAAGGATTGGGTTGAGTCAACTGATAAGTGTAAAACAAAGGCGCCATCAAAAAGAGGTAAAAGAATAACTATTTTACATGCTGGCCCTAAAGATGGTTGGATTCCAAATGGACTTTCTCTGTCTGCGAAAAATATTAAAGATTCTTCTCTGGATTACCATAACGACACCACCGCTGATTTATTTGGTTGGTTTGAAAACAAACTAGTTTCAAACATTCCTCCTAATAGCGTTATTGTAATGGACAATGTAAGTTATCAGAAACCCCTTCCTCATATGACACAAAAGCAACAATACAAAACTACATGTATAATAACGACATTTATTTTCACGAAGATTATACCAAAAACCAATTAATTGAGGTTCTACAAAGCTTGAACCTACAAAAGGAATACGTCTATGCTAATTATACCAAAAATCTAGGGCATACAGACTTCCACCTTACCACTATATATTTAATCCCATTGAACATGATTGGCACCAACTTAAATCTGCCATTCGTCGTAACAATGTTTTTCCCCGTGTTAACTCCAATGTCCTCAAACTTATAGAAACCGAAGTTTTTAACATCCCTCCACAAAATTGGGCAAATTCTGTTTAACATATAGAAAAAGCAGAACAATCATATATCCATATTGCGAATAATATAGATTTTAAATTTAAACATAAATACATACATGAATAAATATTGTTTAGTATCTTTCCTAACAAAACTTCAAATAATTAAATTCTAAGCAAAGTACAGACCTGTTCGGCCATATTTCATTCTTACAGCTTGCCCGGGTCTTTCCTTAATTCGTATCAGTTTAGTCACTTTCCTATATCTATGAACAAACTTTAAGGTAACATTCAGGTTTTGCATTTTTACCGATCGATATAATGCGATCTGGTGTGGGTAATTTAAAATTGTCCTACCGTTCATTGAGCAACGATACCTACTCTCGCTTTCTCCAAATACGGGAAGTGCGGAATCACTTTTGGGATTACCATCGTCATCATCGATGGGCCCTTCACTGGGTCTATTGTATATTGCTTAATGATAGGTTCCATGTCCGGTTCTTTTAATACCGAAAAGTACTCCAGAACGTATTATTAAGGTAAATTTGTACCGACATCGTCCGAATGCTACGTTTCAGATTTAATGGTGCCAAGGTAAGTTCATCAAATAAGCAACACTTAAGAAAATATTTTTTTTAGCACTAATATAAATCAAATGGAGCGATTAAGCGAAAATCGTAAGAAGTGTAATGTTGTGAGATGATGGAGAAAATCCATTTGACATAATTTAATTAAAAATGAAAATGTTCAGATTTTCACAGCTATTTATATATTGCTAAAGAAGGATGAATTATTTGCAGGAATTTTCATGGACAAGTTAGGAAATATCATGCATGAGTAAAAGATTTCTTTGGAACACAAAACCATTTACTTAAATAACATATAACTGTGGACTTAACTGTAACTAAATTACAGAAAAAATTAAAATTTTCCATTTAACATAAACCCTCACACACGGACAAAATAATACGTAGTAACTCAAATCACCCTTACACACACAAAATGGTTGCCTTTTATGCTTTTGTCCATACACTACTTAATATGTCACTTTCCAAAGAAAATTTTGAAAAAGATTTAAATATTACAAAACAATGGTTACGACGTTGATAGATAAGATTATAACTAAAAAGCAGTTTTAAATAACTCCGAATTCTATATATCCCATGCTAAACAACGAACCCAGAATTTAGAAAACAATAAGATATATAGGAAAATTTCGAAAATATATTTTGTGCTTTTAAATCGGAAAAATCATTTTCTTTTTAAAAACAATTAAACTAAATTATGAAAAACTAAAAAATCTAGGAGTCGGAGTCTACAAATTGAAATGTGCATCATGCCCCAAAATTTTTATCGGATAAACAGGTAGAACATTTTAGAAACGCATTGGCCAACATAAAAGCTTATAAAAATAAAAGTTCGGATTCTGACTATGCCATTTATTTCATTTTGATGTTTCGAGCGAATCAAAAAACAAAAATCTAAATTTGTTGGAAGCTATGGAGATTAACAAAATGAGATATTCGAATATATTACTTAATGACGCATTAATTAAGCAATTATTATTACCTGTTTATATACAGAGTGGTTTATAATTGTATGTCAATAAATAAGGGGGCTGTTTTTGGGTGAATTTTAAAAAGAAATCTTTATATGAACACAAGTCAAAACGTTTTAACTTTTGAGGTGGTAAAGTTTTCAAAAATGAAATATGTTTTTTTAATATCTGTAATAGCACTAGATATGACAAACTTGGCACACATGTACTATGCATAAAGAGGCTTTATTTAGTGTAAGACAATTTTTTAAAATTACACCACTGGCGGGCGTACAGAATTTCAGCTGTCTGTTTTGGCAGACATTGATGGTACGCCACTGATTTCTCTGAAAATAAAAATTATTCTTACAATCTTCAATCATTTCGAAGGAAATTTAATTTTTTAATTTTTTCATGAAAAAATAAAAACCTCTTTTCTGCATAGTCATAACAATATCGTTAATATGACAGCATGCAAATTAGTTTTTATTTTTACGGGAAAACCATGCGACGTACTGAAAAAAACTAATAGATCAAATCTGTGTTTCTAGTGGTTAGAGTTGTTCAGAAAAAAATGGACTGTTCTTTTTTACTTTTACCGTTTTAATTAAATAAAATAACAACAAGGTAAATAATATACGATTATTATTAAAAAATAACACTCACTATTAACAATTAAAAAAAAATTATCTGTTAATAAATTAAATGTCATAATAGTGGCGTGCCACTATTATGATTAAATTGAAAACTTTTTTTTGTGAAAAATAAAATATCTATCTAAAGCAAAATAACTAGTTTTTAGTTAGCAACTAGTGTCCTTCGGAAAAAAAATAGAGGGCTGTTCTCTTCAATTTTACAGGTTTAATGAAATAACATCTCTATCTAACTTATCTATTAAATTAATAATAACCTCTTTGAAAAAAAAAAAAAAACATAGGAACTATCCACCTTGAAGGATACATGTTTGAGCTCATTTCCCTATATTGCCGGCACTGTTTGAAGTATACCTCCAGTGTTTCTTATTAAATCGCAGGAAGTTCTTATATGATCCTTCAGCTCTTTTACGGTGTTAACTGGAGTGTGATAGACCAGACTTTTACGATGTCCCCATAAGAAAAAGTAAAAACTATTTAAATTTGGGGAACTAGGGGGCTATGGTTGAGGTCTAAAGCGACCTACCCATCAATTATCAACTGTGTGATTTAAATATTCTATTACTGCAACACTAAAGTGAGCAGGAGCGCCATCATGGATGAACCACATTATGTTCCTAATCAAATATGGAACTTCTTCTAGCAATATTGGCAAATCCTCTTCTAAAAACCGGCGATAATTAGGGCTTTTTAGGTAGGCAAAACGGGTCTAATTAACTAATTTCCAACAATTCCAACCCATCATTTACCGAAAACTATTCTTGATGTTTAAATTCTGCAACTGCTTGGGGGTTTTCTTCGGCCCAAATATGGTTTTTGTTAGTTGTAAAGTTCAACTTTAAATACTACTTCTTGGTCAAACAAGGGATAATGCGCAATTTTCTTCAAAAATCTTTCACAACAATTAACACGCAATGGAAAACCTCTGGAAAGTAATGTTTGGATTCGTTGAATGTGATATGGATACAATAGAAG